ATTAACTAACCCTAGCATTGGCTTTCTAGTCACAAAGAAGTGAGACTATAGTAAACTGTTGTACGTCACTATATTAACTTGAATCATGAGATTCCATGTATGTAATCCTAAGATATCAGCAAGATGCTCCTCAACTCAGTATTCAGTCATACTTGGCAGTCAATAGATTGATGTGGTGGGACCAGATGGGGGGGTAGATGAGGGAAGATAATGGTAGAAAGGTATACCTTTCAAATGAGCTCCCTCCCAGCTTTATCCACCCAGGCTAGCTAGAGATCCATGGTTATCTTTCAGGGTTGATGAAGATCAAATACCACTGATAAGTGGATACATTGCATTCTTAGTATCTCATTCACTTAGGATTTGAAACTGAAATACTAGAGGTCTGGTTCGAGGTATCTGAACATATACATTACCTACTGCATTGGTTGGAGTATCAGATATTCCCTTTGTTATGAGTGAAGAGTGAATCCAGTGATGATATAGTATGATAGTGATCAAATATTCTGGTCAATGTATGGTACTGCTGAAATCCTTCCTAGTGGTATTTGAATCATGCATTTACCCCAAGTAGTTATAGAGATAGAGGCTCATCAGTTGTAGATCAGTAAGTGATTGGCTTATGCTGGGATAACCATTCAGCTGTGACTATAGCTTACTTAATGAAAGTTGTTCGTATAAACAAAACATACAACTTTGGTTTTGTGACGATCTGTGACATCCTCTGATGATTGTACTGTCAAATGGCGAAAATTTCCTTTTTTGGAAATTTGTCACACTATGTGACCTTGTATAACAGCGTGACTCAGGCGCTGAAATGACACAAGTCACCAGGGGTTCAATTATTCAACATCATTCATAGCATGGTATACTTGTAGTATAACAACTAACAAACCACTTTGTGACGTCACATACCAGTTCAAGTCTGAGTCTTATGCTAACTAATAAGCCTAAGTTACCTTAGAGCTTGGGATTTATGCACTTTATAGCAGCTTTATTAGAGTATTTATCATAGCGTAGGGTTTCAGAGCCATCCTCTCTAATTAGAATGACCAGTGGGGGGTAATGGTCATTCTAATTAGAGAGGATATGCGGAATCCACAGGTGTGGAGAACGGGACTCGCGCCAATAACCTCGAAGATAGGCAGGGAGACATTCGTTTTGAGAATGGTCTCTAAAATACCGGGTGGGTTAGCGCGTTCTTGGCGCGCAGATGTTATATGAAACTTATCATTTGCAGGCTTATTTGCGTCCCTCATCACAACGTCTTCGCCCTGTCCACCTGCTTGCGGCGCTCGAGCGTTTTTCCAGCCATCTTTGTGATTAATCGGGTTTGGTGGGGTGGGAATCTTGTTATCAACGATTGGAGGTGTTGGAGCTTGAGCGGCAGGAGCTTTGGGGGCTATTGGTTGTTGCGCAGATTGAGGAGGGGCTCGTGGCGCGGGTTTCGGCGCGTTTGTCGTGCTCGATCATTATCCGACTGGGTTAAACTGGTTCGTGTCCTTCCCACTTCTCGTAACTGGGTTTGCTAATTGTTCGTCATAGCTAACCGACGAAACTGCAAAGAACTCATTGTCAAGAACTTGTGAAGAACCAAATGTTAGGCCAGCCGACTGTGTTGTGGCCGCCTGGACCCCATCGGCACGCGCGCGCATATATGACGACACGCCTCCACGCCATCCTTGTGGAGTCTTTGGCAAGTCAGATCCATCCATCTGGACGTAACGCTGGGTATTTGGGTCAATCTTGACAAGAGCTCGCTTGATGAGCTCACGCATTTCGGGGCAGTAACGTGGGTGAAGCTGGTGAGTACCAATCTTCCCGCAAACGAAGCAGCGCTTACCAGTGTTTGCTGCTAGCTGTCTTTCAGCTAAGTGGAGCCGCATCTGCTCCAGCTGGCACGTTAAATCCGCAATCTGGGAATCTGTTGAGGTCATCGGCCCCTCTTGCGCCTGTTCTTGAACGGGTCGCTGCTGGATTTGAACTGGGCGCGGTTGCCCTGCTGTTGGTGCATGGTAGTCTGAAGAAGATGTAGTCTCGATCCTATTACCGGAATCGTCAAACTTAGCTTGATTAGGATTGTAGGTCTTTTCACTCCAAGGCTCGAATATCAACGAGTCGGGATCGAAACATTTCTTCAAGATATCGACTGTCGCGGTCAACGTAGGCGCCGTGTCACGGGTTCTATTGGTGGTTGGGGTCCGCTGGTAAAACCAATCTTTCATCGAAGAGGGGATTCCGCTGACAAAAAGATAGTTGGCCATCTCTTGTGTGATTCGCTTTTTCTTGACGAGGTTACCTGACATTCGCAGGAACTCGTGATAATATGCGTCAACTGCGATCTTGGATACAAAAGGTGACTTAGCGGCATTATCCTGGCAGAAGTCCTTTAACTGTTGCTCAGTGTAGTTCTGGACCGAGTCGTCGTCCGAGTAGACTGCAAGCAAGGCTTTTGAAGCGGCAACCCAGGTCTTTCCAGAGGCTTCGATATCCAATTCAGGTATGTATCTGATAATATCCTTCATGAGTACTTGTAGATATGATCGACAAGCTGGTTCTTGTCGACTATACCAGCTTGGACGCCGCACTCTGCGATAAGATCAAGGAAGTCTTTGGTGTACTTTCCATTGAACTTCGGAGCATTTTGCAAACGTGGAAGGGGCATAGGGGTATGAAGAGTAGTGGTTGCTGTTGGAGTTGCCATAATCTCTAGCGACTGAGGTGAGTGAACAAGTTAGGGGTCAAGTTAAGATAACGCAGCATCTGTAGTTCTCGATAACGGAATACCAGCCCCCTCGCAGTGGGCTCCACTGAAGAAGGACCTGTTAGTCCAAGCGAGGACTGATAGCGGGCCGAGGTCGAATCGAGAGAGATGCTGTGAAGGGAGTAGAGATGCGGGGTGGATATGATAAGATGTACTTATCTAGTAAGGTGAATCACAATGCTCGGGCTCGAAGATAGCGCTTGCTCTCGCACCCACTATGGCTCTCAGGTGAAGGAAAGAGGTAAGATGTCCTAATCTCCTATCCAATACAGTGCCTAACTACCGATCGGAAGGGGTCCATGTGTATCAGAAAGTGTCTTGGATTTGTAAATGATCGTCCACCAACCTCACGCAGATGCAGCTGTACGCTCCAGACGTGACGATACGAGATGCGGCTGCCCCATCAGCTCGGACTGTGGCTGACCAGGCCAAGTCCGATGCGATCTCGGTCTGGTCAGTACAGCTGTCTCCGTGCGAGACTGGATTCGAATATCGTGGAATAAGGAGGGGGAGAGATAGAGTAAGAAGATAGTAGGTGATAGAGTTGAGAAGGAGATGAGATGGCAGCTGTTATCGCCCAATAAGCGTGACACGTGAAACCCGCGTGACTGTGGTGGCGACGTGGCGGCCACGAGACACTAACACAACGGTCAATGAATGATGCCTCTTAAGCTTGAATGTACAATAGAGGCTCCCAGTAGTAGTAGTGTTTGGCGTCAGCTTGTGTGGCATCGCTTACATGATAAGCATAGTGGTAACGTGTTTTGCATCCTAGTGATCTATACATTACTGTTCATTGAGTATAAGGCCAAAGACTTACCAGTACAATAAAGAGATACTTCATAAGCAGCGAGAACTCCTCAGCGCAACGTGAAAATGTGACAGGGAGAACATTGAGGTTGAGCGAGTCGATAACCCCGGCACCTTTCATTTAGTTGACTCATACAGTTACGGTGAGGTGGATAGAGCATTTCCGTTCCTAAAAGAAGGTGAATATAGAGAGCTGAAGCTGCAAGAGGCTATCCACCTTCTCCTCCAGCATGCCAGTTTTGGATATGGAGACAGGTTGTGAGCCACAGATGGTCAACAACTTCTTCAGTGTCAAACAACAGTATCAAAAAGTCCTTTAGCTTGCTCTGAGACAGAATGAGTGGAATCTCATCTTGATAGATAACATGGGTCCAGAGACAGGAGAGAAGACTGACAAAGAAAGTCAGTGCATATAGCTCTTCTTGGTTATTGACAAGCTGGGAGGCTAGGGTAGTGGTGGAAGACATGATAAAGGAGTGTGTCTGCTTGTAGCTTAATCAAGTTGTCACTGCTGCTTTGTTAGGCCTGCCTTGGCTGAACTGTTCAAACATACCAAATTGTGTTACTCAGAACCTCATGAGAAGCCTTGAGAAACAGCCTATGATGTCTGAACCTGGACACCAATAGGTGCCTTGCTTGGAACAGCCTCAGCTGCTCTTCTAGATCACCCTGGGCTGCTGTTCTAACTCATCTCATGGTAGATTAAGTCAGCATCCATAGATGTATGCCAGCTATGACATCTACAGTTGGATTACCAAGGCATCTGAGCCTGTTTAGCCTGTAGGCAACTATAGTGGTACTTGTAAGAGACATGGGTTGGATTGTGTAGGCAACTACGGGTGGAAAACTATTTGCGAGCGAAGCAAGCAATTCTTCTGTTCATGTGAGAGTGAGGGTGATCAATGTGCTTTTGCTGCACAGCTTTCTCCAGAGGATTGATGGCCAACCTATGTGTAGTAATTTGCCTCAAATTCATTCAATTCTTGCTCTTTCACCCTATAATTTCTCAGTTACTTTGTGGTTATGTATTAGCACATTCTGTAAAAGTTATAGACAAAATGTTGCTGAATTGACGAAGTTCTATTTTGTGTATTCATCCATGCCACTGTGACCCCTGTGACAGTGACAACCTGAATCATGCTCTCAGATTGCGCAGCGAGCACCTGGCGTGTCCGCGGATTCCATATTACAACCAGAGCTGCCTTGGGAAAGCAGCACTCTCCATGGAGAGTTGATAGCAAGACTAGCTATCTGAATCATACCGAGATTAAAATATAAGCATGTCAAAGCAAGGTTGGTCAGTCGCTGCGAAGTGGTTTGGGTTATTCATAATATTTTACCCGCTTTGCCGACGACGCGTCGTGTTAAGTCACGGGGTGGTACAGGCGGCAAAAGGATGACGTGGACTCTCTCACGTAGCCTTGTCCTCATTCCACGATCAATGGAGGACACTTGGAGAGCCCTCCTAAACTCGCGCTTTGGTCGCTGGATACTCGGGATAAAAAGATTAACAGTCAGTCTATTCACAGATACTCGCTCGTCCTCATAATACCTAGTTTCGACTCTTCGCGTGGCTGTGGACTCGTGAAGGCCCTACCAATAAAGTCCATCCACCTCAGAGACCCGGGCTTCATGGCCTCAACACGGACGTCTTCTCGGAGCTATTTTCACTGCTCAATGGGCGGGATCGACAAACGCTGTCCTTCGCCTCCCGCCAGCTCCGGTCCTTATTTATGCCCGCTCTATTTCACCGCATAGAGTGGGCGCCCTTGCTCAAGCACGAGCTTCCTCCGTCGTCACTATGGCCATACATACGGTAGGAAGCTTCAATCCTGCCAATATACGCTGATATTGGTCCATAGTACTTTCGTTGTGCTGGGCGACGTATTCCCTCGTGGATCCGACAACAGGGTTGAATATCAGTACACGCAGGAAGTCCAAGGTCGAATCGCTTCACAGCTCCAGACCCTGGCTTCCATGATTAATTTGGATCAGGTCCAACTTCATGAAATCCCATTTGGACCTTGGCCACAGCTTGTCTCGGTAATCGCATCGAATCCAAGTGTCAAGAGGCTAGTTCTTGTATCACCGCCCTGCAAGAACCCCAGCGTTTTTCCCCTTTCAACTGCCTCTCGACTTACACATGTCTCATATAACATTCATCGACCTCTCATGCCTCACCACTTTGTTTATCATGAACCCACTTGCCGATACCCAGCGGACCTCGTTGTGAGTGAAGCACGTCTGGCACAAGCATGGCTTAATCCGCAAACTCTCGAAAATCTATCCATGCCTGGCGAATTCGTCCTCGAGGCCTTGGATATAACTGTTCGATGGGAGGCGATGAGGGAGCTTCACCTTGAAGGGGTTTTCCCTTCAAACTCTAAAGGGACCGAAGCGATGCTTGACGTCTTACGTGCCATGCCGCATTTACGAGTTGCGCGTCTCAAGCTCGAACAATCAAAGGGGGACTCTGAATGCCGCGAATATGTGACGCAAGATGCATTGTCAAAATTCGCCCACAATGAGTGTCTGCTGCCTGACCTGGTGCATTTCGAAGCGCCAATTTCTGCTGATGAAAACATTCTCAGTGTTCTTCCTCCAACGTTAGAAACACTACTCCTCATCGCATATCCTTTCTTCCGTTCCATGTATTTTGATCGGCTCATCCTCCCCGCTTCTACCTTGATCCGCATACTCTCTCATGCCGAGTTCCCGACTCTTCGTTCGTTGGAGATTTCCTACTCGACCAAAGCCGATGGAGAACTATCAGCAGAAGAGCAACTTCTCCAGATCATTCCTCAAAAGTTTCCTCTTTTGAAACATCTCATGCTCCGACGAGATTCCAAGCGCGATGGGCCGGACGACACCCGTTTGGCGGATGAATGGGACCCAACTGTGAGCTATCTATCCTACTCCCATCACCAAGCAACTCTGATCCATTCATGCAGCGTCCCTTTGGAACTCTTCTTTCTCAACTTTTCCATCTCGAAACCTTCTCGTTCGACGCTGATATTCCTGGTACTCGCGAGATGGATGTTTTCTTCGCAAGCCGAAGTTTAGTCAACTTCACTGCGTCGCAGGCTTACGTTGATATACTAGTTCCTAGACTAGCTGAACAGAGAGCTCGTCCTTCTATGCTTCGCACGATCTCGGTCTATATGTTCACGAGTGGACCGACGCTGCACTACCCATGGGGCCCATGGTTGATCTGGGACATTGTGCCAGTGAGGCTCGGCGGAGAACTTGAATACCAAGTCCGTTACCGCAAAGCCCCAAGTATTTCTGCATACAGGTATTAGATTGCAACAACCTATAGTGACAATGGGCTCTGCTGCGAGGGCTTCTGTTAGCAAACCCCGCAATGTAATGCCTTTCGTTACTGTGGGGTATCCTAGTTTAGTTCCTGATAAGTACAGTAGTCGACGAATGCTATTTGTGTTACCAGCTCTTGATCATTGAGTTCATGAGTTTGAGAATACTGAACTGCAATGTCAGGTACTTACATCAATGCAGACAGAAACACGAGACGCGATGTCAAGTGACCATGTCTGTGATGGATTATGATAGAAATCAATTACCTCGCTGATTTTGGCCATACAATGCCGGATCAACTTACAGCGATTCCTGAATGTAATGACAATGTCACATTTTTTTTCGCGCCGTTCTCAAAAAGGAAACCATGCCTCCATTTGCATTTCTGGCATTGACTGAGCCTCAAACTGTATCCAAAATCATATATACTGGTGAAGAGATGTACATACACCATATAATGGCTAACATAGAAGAATTTCAGTCAGTAGATGTAGTTGGTCGAGAGTAAGAATGTGTTGTTTAAGCAAGAATGTGTCATGCCGATCGGTGCCTAGCGCTCGATGAACCTGTCGCAAAACTGACCTTCAACCCATCCACTATCCTTGAGGACAAGTAATTTGAGTGTCCACCATAGCTATGAGAAGTATTTAGTGCACTGAAATTGTTTGTAGTGCAATTGGAAGCTTGGGAGCCATGATTTCCTTTTTGAGATGGGGCGCAAAAAAAAAATGTGACATTGTCATTACATTCAGGAATCGCTGTAACATGACTCAGAAGCTTTTCTGACTCTTATTATTCTGGATAATTCTATGTGACTCATACTAGCTGTATATAAAATAGGGAAGTCCTCCCCTTGTGAGGACACCATTCTTTACCCCACAATCTATCTAGTTGACCTCAACTTCTGCTGTATGATCCTAAGTAGTCTTTGACACTTGCATCATATCTACCTACCTAGGATAACGGCTTGGCCTTATTTTATGGTACTAGTACAAATCCTTACAACGGCTTTGCCTTGCATTGATTTGTCAGCAATTGACATCATCTGAATAGTTCACAAGGTTTTAGAACTACGGCTTGGATTGACTATCTTATCCACAATCTTATCTTATCTTCTTAATCTCACCAAATACACCTTCAATCCTTTACAATGTCGCTTCGCACGATCTCACTTTGTATGTTCACGAATGGAGGGGTCACACCGCAGTACCCATGGGACCATGGTTGATCTGGGACATTGTGCCAGTCAGGATCGGCGGAGGACTTGAATACCAAGTCCGTTACCGTGAAGTCTCAAACTGATGTCCTTCTGCGGACAGGTAAAAGTAATTGCGACGACATATATGTAGTGACAATGGACGGCTTCTGTTGGCAAACCCCACAATTTAACGCCGTCTCGTTCCGGTACTAGTACTCGCGAGAAGGATGTTTTCTTCGCAAGCCGAAGTTCAGTCAACTTTACTAGTACTAAACACCTAGTTAAATAATGAACTGTAACTCAACAGTCCTGAACATTTATCGATGTTCTACCTATATGCTCTTACAAATGTCAGTCTCTTTGATTTAGACTATCGATGTCGACGTCGATTCATCATCTCCAATATAAACCTCGACTCCACGTTGTTTTAAAAGCCGGAACGGTCCAAGGACTCCATCGAGAACCTCCTCGTCAGGAGCCGCATCTGGATCATTTGCATCCCATTGCACACGCAAATATCGCAATGTCCACAGCGGCTGGAGGGCAAGACGCTTCGTGACTGCGGTTGCAATCAGCGGCAACGCGTAAGCAGCGTCCGCAGTGCCAACGTCCTCTTCCGCCGCCTCGCAGTTGAGCGTGAAGCTCTTTAGTCGCGGGAGAAAGCCGGCATCTGCACCGAGCGCGGTAAAAAATCCTTCCAGACTTGTTGCTTCGGCGAATGAGACCTCTAACTCCTCGAGGGTTGCGAAGGAAGGTTTGTTGAAGATATCAACCGACAAAAGGGTTTTGTCTCCAGGCGGGCTGAGCTGTAGTGCTCTGAGCGTAGGCCACGAGGAACGTGCTAGTAGTTCGTTGACGGTGGATCCTGATGCGGCCGTGTTTTCTACACGCAGTTCTTTGAGAGCGGGTAGTGTCAAGAACTGGAGCAGCATAGGCGCTGGGGATAGATCGGATACGTCTTGGGTCAAATGGAGACGTTGAAGTGTAGAATGTGGCAACGCTTCAGTGGGCTGGACAGAAGAGTCGGACTGGTACTCCTCGAGGTCGAATTGGAGCAGGTTTGGGAGATTAGAAAGCGCATCTAGGCAATGTTGTAGCTTTTTATATCCTCTCGCAACGAGATGCGTGATTGAAGCGAGCGGAATGCTGAGAGAACTAAGAGGCAAGCTATCAAGCGTGAGTTTGCGGAGGTGTTTAGACGAGCTGAAAGACGTGATAGTTGGCCAATCCGGATCGTCGTCTTCATCTTCGATGTCCAGTTCCGGGGTAATTTCCAGCTCCTCGAGAAGCGGAAAGGTCCATTCGTTCTCATCGAGCGTAACCACGTCCTCCAAGTTCACCAATAGGTGAAGAGCACGGATATGCGCTGTGTGTTCCGCGAAAACCTCCCAAAACCCTTCAACACCATACTCCAGCTGATCATCACCATACAAATTGCCTTTGATGGATATATCCAGAGGGCAGGATCCAGCGCGCGAGAGCCACATCTCTGCAAGCTCGGAAAGACGATCGGGGTGTTTCAGGATGTCGATGTCGATGTAGAATGTTTTCCAAAGTGTAGGCGTAGATAGCGCGAGGCGTCGCCACAACGAGCTAATTTGGGTGAGGAGAAGGGGAGCCCCATTTGAGTCGACGAGATGGGGTTCATGCTCTGCGTCAGTGCTAACAGGGAGACAATTGTGGAAGATGGCGACCAGAAGTTCAGGCGGAAGTGTGTCAACGATGTTGCGGGAGTTTCCCGAGTCTGAGACGCGTATAGGAGTAGAGCGAGGCATTGGGAGGCAGCAACAGCAATGTCCCAGTGAGGGAGGGTTCAAGGCAAGGAAGTTCACGGTTGGATCGACATGATGTGACAGACTGCACGTGCCGCTCCAGTCACACTCAACTTCCTCCACCGACTCGGATCCAAGGCACTCCGATTGCTATGCTAAGCACTTACACTATTCGTACATCTGTTCGTTCCATTTGTATCTATTAACTTTCCTCTAAGCAGAAACGGAAACCGTGGGTGTGGACAAGATCGATTCGCTCTTCGCCTGCAAACAGTCAACTCTAGATCTGAAGCTGGAAACGATAATGAAAATTCACCTCGTTCTTGACCTTTTCGGCCTGCTCTAGCATATCATAATAGTTCTTGTGCAGCCCGCACTCCGTCTTCTCCCGGCCAGCCCACCGTCCTGACCGCTCTCCCTGGCCTTCTCCTGGTTTGCTGGTGCTATGCCAGTCGCCTACAGAGCGATAGCCCTGCGAAAGCAGCCTGTTCCTGGGCACGTCGTACTCGTTCGTATACCACTCGATGAATGGGAAAGTCCACTCGAACAGCGGATTGAGCTTCAACAGGCCCGTCTCGTCGACCTCCAGCGGCTGCAGTCCGGCCCTGTCTCCGCCCTGCGTGGCCCTTCGTCCGGTGATCACGGATTTCACACCGAGCTCCTGGTATGCCCGTCTTGCTGGCTCTACCTTCACAGCAAAGTCATACACATTCTCGTCGCGCTCCCACAGCCTCGCGCCCCACTTTGTCTCGAAGTCTGCGACGGTCTCGCAGTCAGCCGGCTTATAGACATAGAGCGGCACGTCGGGATACCGCGCCTTGACCTCTTCGACAAGTTCATAAGTCTCTTGGAAGTGGTATAAGGTGTCGAGGAAGATGAGTGGCGGCTGGGATCGCGGGGAAGACGCAGAAAGCGAGGGAAGCTCAAGCATAATCGGAACGGGCGAATGCTCGCGGCTGGATGGAGCCGAGGATGAAGGCGATGTCGACGCAATTTTGTCAAGCATGTCGATTGCGACGAGCCCCGTCAGGCCAAACGCTGTCGTCTGGTACAGGCCAGGCAAATGATCGATGCCCCAAGCTAAGATTTCCTCCGGCGTCAAGCCTCGAAGATGGGCGTTAATTTCCGCCAACTGAGCGGGCGATAGTGGGAGGTTAAGCATTTTGGATTTGGATGAAGAGGCCATTGAGCGGTTTTGTAGTTCAGGTAAAGAGGGAAGAGGCGATGGTCTCCATATGGACTATATAGCGACCCCGCTTTGCAAGCCGGCTTTTTTCGGACTCGCCACAAGCACGCCATTTGGCGCGAAAGCAGCGCGATCACCTGGGTTCACCATCAAGTGGTTTGTTATCTTGCCTTCGCTGATTCATCGTCATCGTCATACTGTGTTAACGCCGCTGGCAAAGTGCGTTCAGTTGGAGAGGAGAATGGTGGATCACGGCTTGTACTAGTAGGCGTCACATCAAAATGAAACCCTCCAAGGTAAAGGTTAGATATTAGCACAAAGTGTCTCCATTAGAAATTCAATCTAATAATATGGGGCTGTATGAGAAACTGCTATGACATCGCCAACTCAAGAAGAAGCCTCGGGAACGCGACCAGTAACGCGCGCCTTTATTCGCTCCTCCTCTTGTCGGTCTCTTTCTTGTTGCTCCAACTACCGGAGTCGGTAAGCATTTTCACTGCGAGGAGTTACTCGAACTTACCACCTCCATCCAGGAATGATCAGGAATAGGCTGAATAGAGGTGTCAGAATCAGGCAAGAGACAACCAGGAAACCGCACGAACCCGACTGGCTGATTCGCCTTTGTTGAGATTTGTTTTGAGGCCAGCGGCAGTGAGGATGATGCCTATTGTGAGACCTTGTGCCCACATACGCGCCTGCACTATTTTCTGCGCAGTCGTTTGGTATCTGTCGTTTGCTATGAGGTATGACATAAAAGGAATCCCAAACCAACGCACCTATCTCGTGATATTATAGCACCGGCAAGGGCCAAACTCAGAGCCCAACCACCGACAATGATGCTGTACTCGTGTCTCCGCGCCCAGTCCGCAATTTTGTCTTTTGCACCGAGATTTTCCCAGCGGTCCATTGCTGCTTGCTCTTGTGTTTCTAACAATCGCGCAGAGTCTCCCTCCCTGGTATCCGGTGTGAGACAGAATGACACTACAAAAAAAGGAGTGCAAACGCACCACTGAGACCGGTCATACTCGAGCCCTCTTCGTTCAGCTTGGATCGATAGGGCTGGAGCAGTGACGAATAGAATGCCGAGGATTTTCAGGGAATGAGGCAGAGAGCGGTAATAGGCCCATCGTCTTTGGCCATAATATGAAGCTAAAACGCCTAATCCGCCCCCGACGAGTGTGCCTTCGAGCGCTCCACGACGGGAGGCAGCAGCGTGGGCTTTGAATTGTTCTTCGGTAACGAGCTTCATGAGGAGGTGATGATAGGAGAAGGATTCGGGTGGAGAAACGGAGGGTTGTGGTTGAGACCGACAGCAACCACAAGCGTCTTATACAAGTTCGCAAAAAGTCGGAATCGCATGAATGACGCAGACGACCAATCAAGTTCGCCGAGTTCGCCCGGCAAAGGTCTAGACCGTGACCCTCGTGTGACCCGGAAAGTTACTTAAGTATTAGCATCAATTCGGAACAGTTCCCTCAAATGCTCGGGACACTATTTTACAGCTTTTGGCGCAGTTCAATCCAGCAGCATTTGAGCGGTTATAAACAGAAGAGATTTGGCGGTACTTGATTCTCAGCAGATATAGCCGAACCGTGCGACCTTATGACTAAGCGATTCTGATCCCATCAGGTTTGCAGGGTTCAACCAAACCTCGATGGTCGGATTCAACGCTCTGCCACTGGAGCTCACGACTCGGATCTTCCGAGCCTGCATCTCGAAGTATAAAGGCGAGCCGGACCTCGTTGACCGCCGACAAGCCCCGCGTCTTCTTACCAATGTTTGCTCAACATGGCGTCGTATTGCCATCTCAACACCCGTGCTCTGGAGTAGCTTGCACATCGACTTCGACTCGATAGAACGTATGCCTAACTTCTACAAGCTTGTAGAACTATGGCTTTCTCGCGCTGGCAATCATGCTCTTGATATCTCAATCAAGGGGTGCTTACATGCAGACGACTCGGACCCTGGTGACCGAGAAGACTATGGTATCGAGGAGTTCTTCGCTATCTTCGTACCCCACATCCAGCATATCCGCGTTTTCTCCGTATTCCTCAGTATCGATGACCTCAGCTTGCTAGAAGACCGGGTGGAGAACAACAAGTTCCTCATGCTTGAGGAATTGGAGCTGGGGATGAATATTGAAGACATTGAGGACGAGGAAATTGAATGGATTGACACCTCGCTCTTTCGCTCGGCTACGAAGCTGCGCGAACTTGACATTCAGTTCCTACCTCTGTCATTCTTCAAAGGACCGTTGCGTCAAATCACAGATTTCTCTGCCCAAGGTTATAACCCCCAAGAGGCCAGGGATGCTCTCGCTCGTCTTCCAGGTGTCATGCGCTTTGGATTGGATGAGTGCCGATCCAGCGTGAGCATTGGGCGTGTCAAGCCGCTGGTGCATTCAACATTGAAACACCTCAATCTGACTCTCGAGTGGAGCAATATGAAATCGCAAACGACCATTCTTCAACGGTTGACCCTGCCGTCTTTAGAAGATCTCCGGCTCGAGCATCCTGCGGCGGTTGGCAACGTATTGAAAGAATTCCTCGCTCGGTCATCGTGGCCAGCGTTAAAAACTCTCCACCTGACTCCTCTCGCACAGCATGCGCCCCTACAGCTCGAGGTGTTCCACAAGCTCACCAGCCTCGAGGAGCTCGTCATCTGTCGACCGAAAACAAATGACCTGAAAGTTTTTTGCGAAAAGTTCGGCTCGGATCCCGCATTTCTTCCCAAAATCGTTCGCCTGACGATAGATTTCCGGACGCAAAAATCTGATGCGCAAGCCGCAGACCCTGCGTCTGCCCTGCAATTCATCTCCAAGGCAGCTACCAATCGCGTTGCTCTGAAGCCATCGTGGTCATTACGCACACTCCGGGTCAAATGGGAGCCACAACTAACCGGAACTCTCGCAGAAGAGCATCTTGGGGCGCTCGAAGCGCTGAACAAGAAGGGAATTGTGGCTTGCATTGGTGCCAATACTAGTAATGCGGATACTGCTAGTAGCGACAGCGGCGACCACGATTCAGGGGTTGAAGAGGACTCTGACTCTGAGATGGAATAGTGATGTCCATTACTAGTAATGCCTACTGGTCGAGGGGTGCAAAGACTTGATTTCAGTCTATTTCGTAGTTACATCATTCCATTGATCTAATCACAATGATTTTGGGACTTCATCCAAACCTCGATGTTCAATGCGTTGCCTCTGGAGCTCATCACTGAGATATTCAGTCTTTGCCTCCCTGACCCAGAGCTTGAGTCTCACATCATTGACAAAAGGCTCGGTCCTGTCCTTCTCACTCAAATTTGCTCCGAATGGCGGCGCATCGCTGTCTCGATACCGAAACTCTGGAGCGCATTTTCTATCAATCTACGCTTGGTGCAAGACACTCGGCATCTTGCCTACTTTGCGGATGCATGGCTTGCGCGGTCGGGGAACGGCCCTCTCGACCTTGCGATGACTGGCAAACTCCGGCGGACCGTTGACGGGGTCAACTTCAAAGTGGACGATGGGATTGGCGCTTTTTTGGCCACGTTGAAGACTTTCAGCCGGCGCATCCGATGCATCCGTTTATCGTTAAGCCCCCCTGACCTTTTGAAGCTGGACGAGCAAGGATTTGAAATGCCAATGTTGGAGGAGCTTGAAATCCTAATGCCGACAGAGAATCCCAGTCTATCCCACTTACCCCTCACGTCATTCGGCTCCTCACCTCGGTTGGAAAAGCTAACGCTCGACTCATTACTCCTGAGGCCAGTGTCTGTTGGGCTCGAACACATTCTGGAGTTTACTGCGCATGGGTATTCAGTACCTCAACACTCCACAGACGCCCTTAGCATGCTCCCAAATTTGCTTTCTTTCGAAGTCGAGGACTATGGCAGAGACGTGGAGCTTGATTCACCGGTAGAGCATCCGACACTGGAGGTCCTCGGACTAACACTGGCGATCACTAGTAGAGACATTGATTCGACACTGCTCGAATCTCTTACACTCCCCGATCTAATGGATCTCAGGCTTGGCTCCCCCATCGCAGTTGCTCCCGCGTTGGAAGATTTCCTCCGTCGTTCATCTTGGCCTCCTTTAGAAGCGTTGTACATCGTTCCATCTAAACAAGAAGCACCCTTGTCAACCGAAGTCCTCGCTCGTCTCGGTGCAACCCTCGAAGACCTAACGGTTGCTTTCCCCCACAAAGACAGTCTGGAAGCACTGTGCGACAAGCTTGGCTCTGACGTCGCCTTTTTGCCAAATCTGCGCGAGTTGTCCGTCTCGTGCTGGGCGGTGACTGCGGAAACGGGGACTGCTGATATAGCTTCTACCCTATCGACCGTGGCGGAAGCAATTCTCAGACGCGAAGCATTAGAACCGGTGTGGGCGTTGCGTTCCTTGGAGGTGGGTTGGTTCAACAATGACTTGGTGGCACCACAACTCGAACCACCCCATGTCCCCGATAAATCTCTTGAAGCATTTTTGGCGTTGAGGAACAGAGGAGTAGACGTCTTCGTCGGTCGGAAGGCTTCTTCTGACGAGGATGATTCTGACTTGACGCTATTTTCCTCGATCGTTTGAAACTCATCCTCATGTCGCTACAAGGGCTCGTCGAAGCGTTGACGTCGGCATGCATGTAGTAATCTGAGTAAATTCCACTTTGGCTTTTCTCCATCAAATTATCTCACAGCGTTTCTCAGTGAGTGTCCAATGACCTACGTTTTCAACTCTCCCCCAATCGGCCCTCAACTGTCGAGTTAGAGAAGGCCGATAAGAAGTGGTGCTGGAATCCACAGGAGGTGGGCAGACACGAGCAATTTGAACTCGATAGTTATATTGTGCTTGTGGCGTCTATACAAGGTTGCCTAGTCGACTGCAACGACGATAGCTCCTAACCAAGTCTACTTTTGCTGTCGTTTCAGGGTGGGGTTTCTGTCTTCGTGTACTGGTATACGACCTTCGGGAGTTCCCGGAATCGTTTTGGCGAGACCCTGGGGAAAGCGACGAGTATAAGCACACGAATGGAGCCGATTAAACAGAAGACGAGTAGAGCAAGTAATCGAGGGAGGGTGCAGCAAAAATGATAAGTGACCGCACGACTCGCTCAGATGCGATGGGACATATGGAAGGAGAATGGGCCACGAACCAGCTTCTCGAACACGCAAGAGTTGAGCGAATGCTCTGCTGGGCGACAACGGTAATATTGCTTAGGAATTTGAGTATAGCAAGAGATGGTAGAAACTGAACGAACGCACTTGATTGTTCTGCTCAAGACACGCCCAGTGCGCCTCAAATTGTTGCAGGCAGTTTTCACGGAGCTTTGTTATTCTGGTGGGTTATAGTTACGCGAGGTGGGGCCAAGTATAGAGATGGGCCATACAATTCCGTTGCGCATCGCGTCACTCGTCGGCCCTCCTTCAGGCAATGAGCGGGGTCTCGGTTCTCGTCTTTGCATAACATGAAATCCTCTTGAAAGGTTTGAGAGACGAGTACGGATTCCAGTCTATGGCACACACCATTATATTCCTTGCAGTATGCGCCGATGAAGAATGCCGCGCTCTTGAGGGGAGCACTTGTTGTACCAAGTTCAGCCACCTTAGGTATGGCCTCCGCCGATGAAGATTGTTGGGCTGCAGCTTGGCTGCTCATCGTCGTCGGCGGGTAAATGGAGGTGACGCTATTGGTCGACGGTATTTGCGGCGTTGGCAAGCAACGTGACAAGTCACATTAAAACGCGTCGTGACAGACCAATATTCGCTTTCCATCTCATTCCATGGTTAGTTGTAGCTGTTGGACGCATCTATGACTCTGAATAGAATATAGCCTGCTTTAGGCGGGAAGACAGCATCAAATGTTTTCTTTCTCCGCGTCAAGATACATAAACTAACCATCGCGACCACGGTTTCACCCACTATCAGCATCGGCGCGCTCAAAAGCGAGATTCTCAGTGCATTGACCTCAGTGGCACTCGGCTCAAACCAAGATGGTATGCTTCAAACTCATACGGCGTGTTTGTGCCCATTATCACGTAGATGAAGAAATGCCAACAAGTTTGGACATCCCCTCCGTCACCGACACCTCTGAATTCGAGCTCTGTACGGCGGAGAAGGAGACTGGAAAGCTTACAGGGGTATTTCCTGTGCTGCGAAACTCAAAACAAAGCATTAGAGATGCAGGAATCGTGAATTGGGATGTGCTATTTGTACGGTTTAAAGATGTGGCATCCGGTGCGTGGTTTATCTTCCTATTGTACACCAAAAATGATATGGTTCCAAGGCGCTCTGGAGCCCGTCGTCTTCGTACCCATCGAAGACGATGAAGAGCAAATCACTCCACAGTTTGCCGAAGCGATCTCGGTCCAAGGCAAACGGAAAGCGCGGCCAGACTAATGTGTCTTTGGCCAACGATACGGAGCCAGTGGGGCTAGCGCAGCGGCTACCCGACGGCCCTCTTCCGCAAGAAGATTGTATGTTGAGCAGGCGTTGCGCTGAAGCAAGTGTTTAGAACTAATGAAATCTGTTTGTACAAAAGAATGTACCGTGCTCATAACGTCTACTTGGATCCCCAATTCCGTCAGAAACGAGCGGAATGAAGGTGGAGGGTGCGCTAGCTCTTGACCAGTTCCAAGGATGAGAATTTCTAGGAAAACTGAGAGTGGTTCATTCACAGGGGAATGCAACCTACCTGGTCTTGGGACTACGACCTCGAATAAAGCTAAATGTTCTCTCTTCCACTGGGTCACACTATCTGGTACATCCCATAGGAAGATTTTTCCATCCAGAAAGATTGCAGCGCCAGGTAGCAGTAACCCATCCTCGAGAAGAATACCTGACGAAGAAACTGACGCGATTTGGGTTGGGGGAGGTGTATCAGAACCGAGGATATTCGTCAATGAAGTAGCACTGTGGGTCGCTCTGAAAGCTGGGGCAAAACGAGACGGAGAAAAGACGCGTCGTCGAAGTAACAAGGAAGCCATAATGCTTGTGACCGGCTTGCTTTCCACACTCATCTCTGAATGTTACGGAGGACCCTCAAACGCTGCTTATCGACCCTTGCTTCGAAGCCAACACACTCCGTTTATATTTCACGTTCAACCAACCCATTCGTCAACCTCGCTTTTGAAGATTGGTCCGTTCCGGTTTAGCTCCCGCACCTGTCCGACATAAAACGAAAGGCTATTTAGAAATGCTCCAGTTGACTCGCCTCTGCTATTCCTCTATCAAAATGCACCCTGTGTAGTAATTGGCAGAAACCAAAACCCATGGAAAGAGGTCAACCTGGAAACGCTTCGGTTCCGTAATGTGCCTCTAGTGCGGAGACGAAGTGGAGGGGGGACAGTCTACCATGTTGGTCTTTCTAACTTCATCCAGCCTGTTTAACACTTCTCAGGACTTGGGCAACACAAACTTCTCCATTCATCTGCCTAGGCGGACTTTTGACCGAAAGGCGACCGCGAACATTGTGCTGCAGGCTGTTCGAGCAATAGGCATTCCTTCTGCTCGGATAAACGACCGCAACGACATTTACGTCGCCTCTAACAAGATGAGTGTTTTTCTCTCTCTCTCTCATATCCACGAGGCCTAACAGCCACCACGTCTCTGGCTCCGCATACAAAATCGTGTCAACGCGGGCCTATCATCATGGGACAATGCTACTCTCTTCGCGGCTCGATATGCTGGGAGACTTGTTACATGTGGATAAAGTACGTTCCTCTTTCCCCGCCGTTGCGCCTGCTAATTTCCCCCAGCCAACAATGAAAACCGCTGGTGTTGCATCTGTTCGCGCTCCGGTCACCAATCTCCAGATGTTCAATACCCGCGCAGAGCACAATCTCTTCACACAACTTGTTGTCGAACAGTTTCGACGTGTTTACGAACTTGACGGAGGCACAAATACGACGTTTATAACACAATATGTGGATGAAGAGGCGATGGTCGGGTTGGATGATGTTCGTCAGAGTGTTGAGGAAACACAGGTAAGCGTTTCTGCCCAGCCTGTTTTACTCTGACTGGGTCTAGACCTGGGAGTGGTTATATGGTCAAACCCCACAATTTACATATACCATAGGAGAAAACTTTACTTGGGGCTCAGTTGTACGCATTCTCGCAGAGACCTTTTGCTTCTCTAAGACCCTTGACACAGACCGCGGAAGTCGTTGCCAAGCATGCTCGTATCGGAAGCTGCACCCTCAAACTTACTTCCGATTCTTCACATCCCATAGAATCGCAGGATGTGTTGCGTGAAATCGAAAAGTCGGCTGTGGGTCAAGTCTATGGGAGTTGGCCTTCACCACCTATCGCAGGAGATGTTGGAATAAAGCGGGACATAGAGACATGGTTGGTACAAATGCTACGATAACTAGAATTTCTCGATTTGGGCTGTCGAAAACCCTAATTGGATTAATGGCCCCCCTTTGGCTGTGAGCGCATTCTCCATTGCTGGTGGTCCGCAGAGCAAAACCCTCATTCCGCTTGTCCCAACGCCGGCCAATCCCACTCGTTGCAACACTTCCTTGGTCACATACCCCTTCTCATGCTGCGAGCCCTCGACTGGATGCGAAACCACATAATGGCTTTGGAATTGAGCCGGATGGTGTGCCTTGAGATGAGCGAATTCATCTTTCAAAAAGAGGTCTGCGTCTGAGTTGACGCCCCACACAAGTGTGACTTGCGTCTGGTCTTCAGGGTTGGACAGAATTCCTTTCAGCAATTGGTACATTGGCGTAATTCCCGCGCCGCCAGCAATGAGCACTACACGGCGGTACTGGTTTGGCTTCCAAACCACGGAAGGAACCTTGAAGAAGTACAGCGAGTCGCCAGGTTTCAAACTGTGCATGAGCGTGCTCTGCTTTCCATTCGGGTACAACTTGATCATGAACTCAATGAAACCTGGTTCATCTGGCGACAGATAGGTCGTTAGAGCGATCAATAAAAGCTATACACGCCATACCAGGGTCACTGGTGGGCGTATATGGTCGAAACACGGGTGTCCAACGGCCATTTCCTGGGGGAAACGAGACGGAAACCACCGCAGAGGTAAGGGGAAGCCCGCTGCGTGTGTCGGGGTCGGGAAAGGCAAAACGCAACTTCTTGACGTCATGGCTCAGCTCCTCCGAACTGTGTAGCGTGAGGCGAGTGAACGAGAAGGAGCCGATGGCGGATTTAGACATGAAGAAAGTCAGGGGAAGCCAATCATCTGAGTCCTCCTCTTATGAGGAAACCGGATAAAGCGAGCAAATGTGGGTTTAGGCGCGTTCCATTTGCTACCACCCTTCGCTCTCGATTGTGAGCCAGTCCAATCCATCCTCCGAACGGTAAAACGGGCGTAAATGGAGATAATAACTCTGCCGGTGATTGTTCCAGTTCTGCCTTAGAAAATCGCAGTGGACGGTCGAGACTGTACGAGGCCCCATGGTTGGAGGGAAGAAGAGTGGTTGGTCAGCTGATATCAAGTGACTGTAATTGAGAAGGCATGGGCCAATGGGCCTTGAATTCTTGCTTGCATTTGTGGAAATCTCAGACGTCTTCAAGTTTAGTTACATTATTCAGAGGTCAAAGTCGAGTACAGTACAGTTTAGTATTGGTGAATTTGGCTCGCAGAGTAGCCTAACTGAGCTAGAATACCGCTACCCCTCGCAGTCAACGCCTTTTCCATCGGCGGCGGTCCGCAAACCAGGACCTTCACTGCTCCATTATTGTCTGCCTTGAGCCCAGCCTGCTCTAATAACTCCTTCGTCACATACCCCTTTTTAAACCGCGAGCCTTGTTCCGGATTCGAGACGACGTAGTGTGTCTTGAACCGCTGGGGATGACTTTTCTCGAGGGCGGCAAATTCCTCCTTCAAGAACAAGTCCTCGTCCGTATTGACGCCCCAAACAAGGGTTATTCGAGTTTTGTCGTCGGGGTTAGAGAGAATGCCATGGAGGAGCTGGTACATCGGTGTGATTCCTGCACCTCCAGCGATGAGAGCGACGTGCTCATATTGGTTTGGCTTCCAGCCGAGCGAGGGAATTCGCATAAATGATAGTGTGTCGCCAGGCTTCAGAGAATGCATCAGTGTGCTTTGCTTGCCACCCGGATAGAGTTTAATCATGAACTCGACATAGCCAGGCTCATCTAATTGTTGGCGTTAGCGCGCAAGGCTGCAAAGAATTAAGGTGGGACGGACTGGGGTCGTTTGTGGGTGTATATGGCCGCAACACGGGTGTCCGTAGACCATTTCCTGGCGGCAGAGATACGGATAACAAGGCAGAGGTTAACGACAGCCCGGTGCGAGTATTTGAATCGGGAAGGGCGAAGCGTAATTTCTTGGTGTTGTGGTTTAGCAGCTCTGAACTTTGCAGGGTCATTCGTGTGAGCGACAACGGCCCGATAACCGAGAAGGGCGTTTTTGACGTCTTTGAGTAGGCGACCGCCCCAACAACTCCGACCGCTGTTGCGAGTGCGAAAGTAGCCCCTTTGTGCATTATGAGAGATTGTGAGGGAAGAAGAGGTGTGGAAGCCTGGTTTTATAAGACAAGAACGAATCGGCCAGAATGGACGCGTCATATAGACCGGTCTAGGACCTATCTTCGAGGCAACGCTGTTACTGCCGCACCCTCATACATCCGGGAAAACTCGGTGTTACCTTAAAAAGTCGAACCGACTCCCGTTTTCCCGCTGCAGCGGATCAAAAATATGTGATGATAGTTGATTGATCCGATCCGAGAATCTTCAGCTCGAAATATCTCGACTCTCGAGCTAATCTCGAGCAGTGATAAGGCCAGCATACTTGGTGGAAATTTTCTTAGTGTTGGAAAACAAGATTCGGGAGTCTCTGTTGAAATAGTTTTGCCGTCGTCCAATCATAGGTTCAAGCTTAAACCTCTGTCCTGGAACGTCCAAGGCGTATCAAACCTTAGCGCAGGTCCTGCGAGAGACATTCAGGCCCGTCTGCACTCCATAAGCTCGATTCAATGATATAATAGAATATCGCTGTAGTAATGCAACTTCAAGTTATAGTGGTCAGTGAGCACACAAATGCTCGTTTTCCTTACCATCTAGGTTGTTTCTTAGGCTGACGCAATGGTATAGCCCGCTGCTGCAGGATTCCGAGTCGATGATTGAGAAAGCTGGAATGCTATTGCTTTAAGTACTTTTCAAGTTCACAAACTCAACGGAAAGAGAGCAGTGTTGTAATATCAGAATGTAGCCTGAATAGTCTTGTGCTTTGTCTAGTACTTGCAATCCCAACAGTCGTCGGGCATATTGAATTCTATTGGATGGTTTAAAATTTGACGAGGATGGCCAGGAAAGCTTGAATCGTCAACTTGAATCAGCAGTACCAGGAGCCCCTCCAATGTTGATAGCAAATGTATGGCGTTGGAGTTCCTGAGCACGCCTTATCCTCCTAGACCCAGAGTAGTCAAAGAGCACAAGCAGCAGTGGAAGCTTTTCAAAGCTAGACCTGAATGACAGTCACACTGTGACCAGTCCCGTTTGTAGCTTTTATGCGTACCACCACGGACTTGGTCCAGCAACTCGCTCCGCTTGCAGCAGTTGTCTTCTTGTTTCTCTTCCCTCTAGTTGCGCTTCGCGCCTTCACTTTCCTTCGCCCTCGATTTGCGACTTTTCAGAGCTCTGTCATGACGTTTGGGGCGTTCTTGCCATGGAATTGGGGCTCTCACGACAAAGCTGTTTCCTCGTCGCCATACAATCTTGCCGATCGTGCCAATGGGAAGAAAGCGCGAGTACGGACGCGTGCAGACCAGGTAGCAGGTCGAAAGTCTCCCGCCGGAGAAAAGGGACCAGAAGTTGCATCGGTGGTGTTGCCTCAGGACGCCCTATTCCCTGGACTAGTCAATATGTCGGGCACTCATTGTTTTATGAACTCCACGCTCCAGGTGCCGTCTTATCATCATCAACTTTCAGGGATAGGAAAACTCATTTCCCCAGGCGCTTGCATCACTCACATTCCTTGCACCTTACCTCCTGGCAATTCGCACGCGTGCCGAGGCCCTCGACGTCCCCACCCCCGTTGTCGATGCCCTCATTGACTTGCTTGATGCCTTGAACACACCCGAACCCTCGGGCCGGCCGCTTCGAGCAACGGCGCTTGTGGAAGCCTTGTGTTCTCCTCCACCCAATATGGATGGCTCCTCCGATGACCTCGCACCTACATCAGCCTCTGCATTGTCAGCCTTTTGGGGCTCTGGCTCTTCCAACCTCAACCTTGGAGCCAGTGCTAAGGCAACTGCACTCCTTGCCTCACACGAACATCAAGACGCCCAAGAATTATTCCAACTCATATCCGAATGCGTCAGAGAGGATAATGCCCGTGTTTCAAAAGAAGCAGCGCGAGACCGGGGATTTGCGATTGCTTCGTTAGAAACGTTGTCGCAGGCGTCTCTAACAAGTCCGTTCGACGGATTAACAGCGACGAGGCGGTCATGTGTGCGTTGCGGGTATACTGCTGCAATCAGGCATTTCGCTTTCGATACAATTCAGCTTGCATTGGAGAGCACCGGCGGTGGATGGGGACCAGTTGCGTATACCACCGTGTTTCCGGTCCTTTACTCAATATTTGCTTAGACATCAGTCCACGATCTCCTCAGGGCGTATATCAATCTCGAGGTTCTTCAAGATTGCGCATGCCGACGTTGCGAACTGAGAGCGACGGCCAGAAGACTACACGAAGAAGTGGAACGACTTGAATCAACTACATTAACCGACGCAGGTGGAATGCAGGTAGACGCGGTTCCTAACGGACACACTAATGGCCATGTGCATGAATCGGACGACGAAGATGGCTCTTCCGGTAAAAAGAAGAAGAAGAAGCATAAACCTGCTGCTGAAGCAGGCGGGCCAACGCCTTCTCGACTCCGGCGGCTGAAAGTTGTTCGCAGGATGGAAGCAAGAGTTTTGAAAGCACTCGAGACTGGGAGGATCGAGGAGGAGGATCTGGAAGGAGACTGGGACTGGGAAGCCAAGAACGATTCATTTGTTCATGGACCTGGCGGAGATGCATTGAAGGGGGTCAGAATAGAGCGAGTGTCTGGTGGAGTATCGACTAGACAGAGCATGATTGGACGGGTGAGTTTTTCCTCTAATTGATATTCCTATTCTGATAGCTCGCAAGCCTCCAACTGTTCTCGCTCTACATATCAACCGATCCGTTCACACTGGCTTGCGCGTTGCCAAAAACAGCGCTAGCGTAGCGTTCCCTGAGATTCTGGACATCACTCCCTACACAACGGATGGTGTTCTAAGTCTTGAGCCAACGGCCTCCCTCAGTGGTGCAGCAGATCCAGGTATCCGGGGGGCGCTTTCCGCAAGTCGACCGAATCCAAGTCCCTGTTTATATCGACTCGCTGGGGTAGTTTGTCACTTTGGGCAACATTCTTTTGGGCACTACATCTGCTATCGACGGACCCCCTCCCCCTCACCAAGTGGGAAATACGTCCCTGCTTCCCCCACTCCTGAAAGCAGTGCTGGAACTGGCACTGGCTGGCTGAGGATATCAGACTCCCACGTGGACCAATGCGGCGTCGAGCATGTGCTGGCGGAGGGCAGTTCTGTGTTCATGCTTTATTACGAGCGGATCCGGCCACCACAGCCCTCTTCCCCACCCAAAATTGTCGTTCCGCGAATCTACACTGGCGACACGGAGGCCGCAGACTCGGCAGAAACCATTCGGCCTGTTGCTTCTTCGTCTCCGACTGGGCCGCGGCTTATCCGCAGCGTCATGTTGGGTCGCGCAAACGGCTCAGTGTCGTCTCTTTCGTTGCTCTCGGCGGGCTCTCCGGAGCCAGACGTACCCGGAACACCCAAAGCTGCCACGACGCCTTCTGTGTTGGATGAAACAGAGGTTGTCGAGCGGTTAGATCTTGACGATGAGGAACCACTTGACCTCGACAGACATGAAGCTACGGAGACGTTACCGACTCCTCCACCAACCCCGCGCGGCGGCTCCGAAGTCCCACACCAAAACCCGAAAGCCAAAAAGAAGAAGAAAAAAGAAGAGCCAACCTGCGCAACCGGAGGTTTCTATCACGTGACACATAGATCGCTCATTAGTTTGTAACTGTTAGAACCACTTTTACTGTATCTGTACTCTAGTTGGTTATATAGCTTTAGATTTCGTAGACCCCCTCTCGGATAACCTTGTTGTCTACGGGCGGCGGGGACTGCTGTGAACCTGAATGCTAGGAACATCCCGGCACTGAAGAGCTGCAGGAAGGAGAAAAAAGAAACCCACATGGGACCGACAGAGCTTCAGAGCCGCGCCACTTCATCCCAGCACTGCATGTCACACCGTGTACCTTGTTGTTTTGTTATTTGGGTTTTTGCTTTACTAGTACAGGGTGTGACACACAGTGCTGGAATGGTGTTGGTGACTACATACTCCAACTCCAGCCTGCATACTCATGTGAGTAATTATTCAATAACCTGGCCAGATGACAGAATGTAGCTGATGCACTGTGCTGGGGAACCCAGATGCATGATCTTGGTATAATTGGCGCTGGTGGCTTCGGATTCAGACAACAGTTCCGATTCAGACTCGGAGGAATATCACGTGCACCGAGTGCCGGAATTACGCTGAATCTAGGAGGAAATAAGTACTTACTTCCTACTTACTTACCTTACCTCTGTGCAATATTTCTTAAGGCGTCGAGGGATTCAGAGCTTCAATGTGTCTGGTCCGACCAGGTGTTACCAAACAAGCAGTCACTTGCGCGCGATCGTTGGTAATGGCTGCCTCTTGGTAATTGACTGATTTGTTTGCTGTTACTCGTACTACAAACAAACTCTCAAGCTATGACAAGTCTGTTGTCTGACTGCATTCGGTCCTCCCATCGCAAGGACAAGAATACAATAAGAAAAATGTGTGTGTGATATATTCCGACTGAATGCAATGAATTATACACCTGGTTCTTTAACGACCAGAGGATGCTAGGAGGAACCAATCCGGTTAATTCCGACATTGAGTTCTACGAGACGGTGGAGAATGGACACCGAGAGGCCGACCCTGCCAGCTGGCGACAACGGTGATGATGCTGGATGGGTGAGGGTAGCAATCACCAGTAGATGCGACGCTCGATGGTGCGGCTGCGGCCGAGAGAGGGACGCGCGTAGGAGACGGTGCGGCGGACACGCGTTACGCTGGGGTACCTGGCAAGCACTGAGATGGGATTACAAAGCAATGGAGAAGGTACATACCACGCGTTGTAAACTTCGCCGGCGTCCATCTGGACCTCAAGAATTTGACGGCCCTGCAAAATGACGTCAGGCTTGGAGGAGGGTTCTGGGGAAAAGAAATACCGCAAAGTCGATGTGGGCCCCGACGACGATTCCCTCCCTCCGGACTGCGTTGTGGGTGACGGCGACGATATCACCTGGCTGCGGACAGGCACAATCGTCAACGATGGCTAGCTAGGGACGGCCAAGAGCATACAGCGATGTCTTCAACGACGGTGGACATGGTGAAGGATTGGGCAGTAAAGAGAGCGGGGCTCGCGAAGTGGGTGGGTTGGGGGGAGGGATGCGAACGACAAGCGAGGTTGCTGGCGGATTGGCGAGTTTATATACCCAGAGAAGAGGCGAAATTACGCCAGGGGCTTCTGTTCCGACAGCGTTGTTTACGCGCGGCTGCCTCGAGGCGTCGGCGAACGGCCCTTTTTGGTCGTCTGCATTGTTGGTGTGAAGTCATTGTTACACGAGGTTTCATGCAGGCTGTTCGCAAAAAGTGGCTTTTTCGGTGGGCAGTCGAGGGCAGGGGAGCCATGCGCCTAAAGGGCGGAGATAGCAAGGTTCACCCTCAGAAAGGACGACCTTTTTTCAGTTGGGGCATGGATGATGTTGCCATCAACCAGCTGCTTGATTTGTCACGTGGTCTACATTTTTTTCGTCTCGCCGCTCTGAGCCATCAGAGATGCAAAATCAGGCATCACACTCCACTTCTTCAAGTCTACACAATAACAGTTCTTCCTGAAGCGGCCAGGTTCGCCGCGGCCGTCCTTCTCTCGTCTTACATCTTAATGTGGGTAAGGGTGCGATTCCGTTGACCGCAGCGCTGAACCAATGCATTGTGAAGCCGTCCATGGGGTTCATGGACCACAACTTGAAGCCAAAGACTAAGTCTGCTTATCGGAACCGCTGTTGGAACCATCAGCCTTGAACCAAGTCAATAATCGGGATGACCCCACATTCGCCGTTGTGGAGAGAAGCCTCCTTGTCCGGAAGTAGTGTATCATGCGCTTGATGTCGGGTATGATGAAGAGCGGAGAGATGACGATCACGCAGGGGAGCGCAATAATCCAGAATCTGATCAACAAGTGAGTTAGGTTGAAAGACAGTCAGAAGGGGCCCGTACAAGACGTCGGTCCACTCGGTTGTCCAAGTAACACCATCAAAGTTCATACCCTTGATATTCGTCAGCAGAGGAACGAAGGGCAGAAGCAACGCACAAAGTACCCCGAGACGAAGGTTAGAGGAAGACAGATGATGGTGATCATAGTCAAGACACGCCTGAGCCCGTGTTAGCGCACCAAGGGGAAAGGGGGGTAGCATACATCGTATCATTCATCGAGTAAGATGCCATCTATGGCGTGTTAGTGCTAGTGATGCTGGGCGACTCTACTGACATTGAAGCTGTAGTCTGTCAAGCTGTCGCCAATGCCTGCAATCATGTCCAGAGTGCTGAGAATATACTCTGTGTGGTCGAACGTGTCGGCCTGCCGATAACATTTCAGTTACCGCATCAAAAACCGGAGAAAACCGACCAAATATATCTTGCTCTTGTGGCTCATGAACCCAACAATCTTCTTGCCCTTCATCTTAGGGTCACTCTGGTCGACAAGGGCAGCACATCGGTCAACGTCGTACCGCCTTAGCCCGTAAACAAGGGTCTTAATAGGCTCAAGCGTGCGTTTGTGCAGGACAAGGTCGCCAGAAACAATGTGAACTGTAGAATACAGCTCAAAATAGACTCCGGAAGACGAAAGTAGACGCTCACGTTTTCGCACCGTTGTTGGTTTCGGCTTGATGAGAATTTGGCGCTCGATGTCAGAGATTTGCTGGTGGTACGAGTCGATGACTTGGACAGCTTTATCGACGACTGGATAACGGATCAGAGAAGCCCCTAATTATAACCAAAACACACACCCAAACTTATCAAACTCTGTACAAGCAAGCTAGGGTCTGCGGACTGCCTTAGAATAGTGTCCGCACGGCGAAGTCGCTCGCTGATGGGCAGCGTGAGACCGGGTGGCGCGCGTTGGGTGAGGGAGATGACGGTGCCATCGCGGAACAGGAAGATAAACATGGGGGTAACCGAAACACGCAACGTGCCCTGCTTGAGAGCATCGATTTTGGCCTGCTCGATTTGTCGTTCCCGAATGGCCTGTGGAATAAATGAATATGTTTTCAGGATATGAAAGGTACCAACATTTTCGCTGTGTGATGCTGAAGGGTCTTGAGACCATTCATCAGCTGTGAATCCGGCCTTGTTGCCTTCGCCCTCGACGTCGTGGATGAGGATGCGGAGGAAAAGGTGGTGAAGGAAATATTCCGCTTTCGAAAGGTTCTCTGGACGCCTGTGTAACACGTCTTCCAGTGCCAACGGGTGAAGCTCTGGGAATTGACAGTTAGTCATACAGACGAAATTGTGCAACAGCATACGCACCATGCTTGAGAGACAAGGCTTTAATGACATCCCAGCTAATACCGGCGATATTTATCCACCTGACTTTGACCCAAGGTGGCCGCTGGCTTTTCGAGCTTTCACACCAGCTAACGAACTGCTTGTTCCCCATGTGCATGGACTTTTCCGAAACGGCAGAGTAGTCGACGACCTCGATTTGGCAGTCGTGTTGCACGGAACGGTATTGTACTTCCATTGAAGCACGGCGGGGGTCAACGCCAGGTTCAGCCCCAGCCCCAAAGGAAGCGATGATATTGGTACTGCGTTGCATGGCGATGATCTTTTTGACGGTCGAGCGGAATGTGTCGATAGGCTTGCGAGACAAAAGGGTATCTGTAGCATGGTGGGCATGTAGGGAGCGTTTTGAACGAGAACGGAGCGAAGAGCCTTCGCCATAAATCGGTGATTTAGGAGCCTCTACATGGAGTGCTTCTGGCGCTGACGTGCTCTCGCTCCCGCTCGACATCGTTGGAGAGGAAGAGAAGTGGGCAGGAACAAGGGTGAGGGACGGAAGCAAGTGGAAGGCCGATCCAAGTGATCAAGCGCCCGGGTTGCGTTGACCACAACCACAACCGAACCAAATGGACAGTGCCCTCTCGTCTGCTCGAACTCTGGGGTCGCGGCCCATCTTTGTCTATATATGTCGGTGTATAATACTTCAAACAAGACAAGCACTCGGAAGTCAAAGCTTTCTCCTCTCCGAGGTTTTGAACGATAGAATGCCTTCAGCACAATGGGCTCCTCTATATTCCAAGTCGACGGCGGGGAGGTTGGCTCCTTGGTATTCCTATTCATGGGGAGGTTTTCGCCGAACATTGCTGTCGAACGTGACCCTGTTTGTTATGTTCTCAGCACTAAGACCCACTCGGAGTCTTGCTTTGATCTAGGACGAGTCTGTTCAACCGATACAAAACGCCCGAGCTCATCACTGGCCCAGCAACTCAGTTCTTCCTTCTCATCGGCTCTCTAATCTTACATCGTCGCTGTGGAGGCCGCAAATATCAATGCCTGTTGTCTGTGGCCCGGGGAGCCTTTTACGTCTTCTTTGTGTCAGATAAACCGTGATCCAACAGCAACCACCCGTCGCGATAACCCCTAGGTTCGAACCAGCCCCGTTTTGACCGGTGAAGATGGGCAAGTCACGATCATCACCGCCGGAGGGGCTGGAACAGAATCACCGGCGGCTTAGGGACACGAAAAGAAACCGGGATGAATTACCGGAGTTATCACGATCAAAAAAGGGTGGTGGTCAAAATTCCAGATTTTTGCACATTTAAGGGGACCATTTGATAGCGCTCGTTAACGCGAGTCGCGCTATGTTTTTAGTTTTTTCTAAAATGAAGTATTTGGACCAGAATTCGATGATCTTCATTGGCCTGTCATCACAATGATGTCACACTTACTTCTTGCTTCAGAACGACGATGGGCTTCAAACGACAGAGAGAGGAGGATGAGGATTATGTCCCTCCACGGCAGAGGGACAAGAGAGCTACAAGACAGTCAACCCCACCGATTTCCCCGCCAACTTCTCCCTTTATTCTTCATCTCCAATCAGCAAATACACCAGTACCAGCAACGTCTTCCGAGTCCATTGACTATCCCATGTATACTGAGCCTCCAATCAATGAACAATACAACTCTCCTACTGCTCCCTCTCCCACATCTGAGCTGTTTCCTGACTTCCTGGCTGCATCGAGCTCTTTTACTCCACACACTCCCCAATTTGGACGTCGTGCGATGTCTGCTGAACCACTGTCATCGCCCATCAGACCGCTTGTGTTCTCGCCCGTCAAACCAAAACGAGGGCGGCCTGCCTTCTCACCCGAGACAGTGAGACTCAAGATGACTGTCCGTCAGCTTCGTGGGAGTCAATATACACCTGATAAGTGCTTGGTGGACAATGCCAACGAGCTTCTCAGCGTGAAAGCGGTACAGGCTAAAGAGGCCCAGCAACAGAAGGTTGAGAATGACCGTCAGATGCGAGCTCAAGAGCGTGAGGCGACTCGTCTGCTGCGTGAGAAGGAGGCAGTACAAGCATCTCAAGAGGCGGCACGAGAGTCTGAAGCTTCGGAGACACTAAAGGCGCATGGGGTGGTGAAACAAATTTTGGGGGATCCGGAAGATGGTGGCTTTGGATTTGGCAGTCTCAAACAATTCTTCGATGCGCTATGGCAGCCTGGCGGTGATCGTGCAACGTCTTCTCTGCTCAGCAAGTACGTGGAGAAACATGGAGCCGACCATGCTCGGAACATGTTTCGGCGCTCGAATCAGGCGCGCGATGATTATATCTCAGAAGAGCTCTCGCAAAAATTTTGCAGAAGGAGGGACGTGCAATCCAAGCTCTTTTGACACGGGAATGGACATGTCAGGGTTCGGGTCGGGCCAACGGGCCCTATACGGCCCATCGGGCCCTCACCACCCTTAGAGCCCTAGGGCTTGACAAGCCCTCATAATTCACAAGCTCAAAGCAATGAGCAACAACACTAATATCCCAGAGAAGGGACATAATCACGGATCGCGCTTTAGTCAGCCATCAAGCCATCATGACCCGCCATCAGGGATCATGATGCGCCGCCGGACGCCCTTGACAGCGGGCCCAATCGGCCCTAGACAACCACAGGGTCCAGGAGGGAGCTCCTTACTGTTGCATTGCCAAACACTCCTTAGTGTCGACTTTGGCATGGCTCCTTTCCAGAGGAATGGTCCCTGGGCTCCTAGCGGAGCGACCAGGGACGACCAGAGACATCCCCTGCTCCCTTCTGATCGACCCTCAGCGGGCCCGATCGGCCCCTAGCCCCCACAGTATATAAAGACTAGAGTATTACTCCTGTACCTTAGGTTTAGCATTGAAGTCTCTTCCTTTGAACCCTACTCCGGCCTGGTCCCCTAGAGCGGGGTTGCTGCGACCATACCCCAGGAAAGGGGCGTCTAGACGACTTCCAACACTCCAGGCTAGCTTGCCTCATTGACCTGAGCCCTTGGTTGGGCTGGACAGCTCAGGCTCTTATCTCTTATGTTCACCCTTGTCCTAGCCACTTCTTCCTGCTCTCTGGCCTCAAGCTCTGGGTTCCCCTGGTCGGGGCGATGGGAGGGTGCGGGCCCGATCGGGCCCGCATGTCACGCGTCACACCGCGCCGTCACGCGGTGTCTAGGAGCCACAGCGACTCGTTACTCCAGGAAAGGAGATATGTCGCCCCTTGGACTGGCAACCCTTCTCAAGCGCTCCAGGGGTCTCGGGCCCGCAGCCCCTGTTGCGGGGCGACTCCCCTCGACCCCCAAACCGTCGGGCGTGACCGCGTTACGTCACCCCCGCCCGAACGGCTTGTTCAACTGGCCCAGCCTATGCCTTGCCCTATGTCCTGGGCACCAACTCTACTAGGCAGCGATCTTTGGCTATGGACTCGTTCCCTTCAGCAGGGGTAGGAAACTCTAGACGACTACTCGTATCCTGTGACACCGCTGTCACACAACGTGACAGCGGGGGCGTCTCGAGTCGCCCCGAGTTGTCCCTACCCTGCTCTCTATTGCAGCAGTGGCACCATCTACGCTGCCTGGTTGCCGACCACCCAGCTATGGGGGTTGAACCATCTTTCCCACACTTGTCAGACTGGCAGGAGACCGTCACGTGGGCCCGGGCCGGCCCCGTTCCTGACAGGACAACCAGTGTAACCGACCTTCTCCAGCAGTTCTCGATGGAGGATCTAACAGTGCAGCTTGAGCAAGTCGCACCAACATTATGGGAAACGTTGGGTTTGGTGTCGACCCCAGACCAGTCGACACGACGTCAATCAAGTGGAGATAATAGGCGGGACAAAAGTCTGGTATGTATATTTTTCGGATCAGCCGACAGACTCAAGCTCAAGTTTTTGTAACAGGTTTTCACAACAATCTGCGCCCTTGTTAGCGTCTTGCGTTCACAGAAGGCCAACAATTTTCAGATGGTCGTTGGACTCTTTTTACTGGGTTCAGGGGCATCAAAAAGAGAAATCTCTGTCCTTGCCCATGCAGGTCTCTCAATCTCATATGCGCTCATTATCGATCACGTCAAGAAGCTGTCTACTGAGGGCTTAGTCACTATTCAAGAGGTGTTCCGGACTTTGATGGTCCAAATCGTATGGGATAATCTTAACATCGCCTTTCGTATTGCAGAACAGCGGATGGGCTCAAAGAACCATTTCGACAGCGGCACGACAGCAACTATGATTCCTGTTTTTGACCCGGCGACTGGCAAGCATGCAGCTCATGGGACTCTTCCGCTTGAAACAAACCTGTCCCGAGAGCGAACACTCCCAGTCCTTGATTGGACAGCAGACGACATATTACCCAGTCCTCAAGAAGCGGAGCAGATATCGCAGACATGCCTCTGGCAGCTCAAGCGAATTGCACTTGAGCATATTCCGGGTGTTACTGATGTGCTTCGTGAGTCGCTGGGCGAGTGTCCTACGGTCCATCAAATTCCGCTGCATAAGACTGAGCAGTATCCCTTACCTGCCATGAAATTGGACGAATCAAGTCTTGACGGTACGATCGAGGTCTACGAAACAATACTCCGAAATATCGGGGTTAACGATGAAGCACTCCGTAAACACGGAATCGTGTTCGATGATGGTGATTTGCTGACTGACTCGCTGAAGGAGAAGGTATATTTTCAGTCAGCTATAAAGTACAGTACTGACTGGTGTTAGTTTGAGTCTGCTCGCCGCAATAGCACCACACCAATTGCAGGATTTCGAGCATCATGCCGCCGATTTGGTCTTTTCCATGCTGAGATGGCAGGCTGTCGGCTCACTATCAACGAGCACTGGGGTTCACCAAACTCCGTATGGCCTGGGAGCTTATGGTGGGAGCACAACAAGCTCCTACACCGAAAGCCTGTCAAGGCTGGGTGGGGTAACAAGAAAGCGACTGATTGGAAGCCTGCTCATGAACTCCTTCAAATTTCTATTGCAGGTCATATTATGGATGGCTTTCGGCTTTATTGTCCCGACAACGAACTCGAAAAATGGGCTTCAAAGGCAACAGTTGCGCAATTCAATGAAGTTGCTGATTCTGTCATGCAGAAACTTTTTTCGACCAAAGCAATTGTCAAGCTTCACTCACAAGACAAATACGATACCGTGCTTGAGAATAATATTCTCTATAATCGCGACACCCTATTCTACATCGATTTTGTCCATGCCCTCAAGCAAGGCGACATTAGTCGAGTCGTGAATATCTTGCGCATCTGGACGTTAATGATGCGGTCACCGAAGACAATGCCTCGATATGCAGACGCCATGTTCGAGACACTTGTTCGCATCAAGCACTTTCCAGACAAACAGAGGTCAGCATTCATTTCCTCTATAGAGAAGGATCTATAAAAGTTTTGAAGGGAGCTCTACCTTGCAAATTGGCTGGTTAATCTATCTGGTCGTCCCTTCGGCTTCAAACCTGTCGACTTGCTACAAGAGCACCAGAATATGTGGGCGAAGACAGTATACAATGCAAAGAGTGCCAACAAAAACTGGAACTGGCTCGCGATGATTACGGTCTGTATTTACAGTCTTCGTGAAGCTATGCGAACAGTACAGACCTCATTTCGCATTCCAGCATATGGCGAGAAACATAAGAGCCCCGAAATCAAAGCCGAGGTTGCGATCATCACCGCTGCGCTGAAGGACAATAACATCTAAGCATATACAGCCAATCGACCTGCGAACGATCATATAAAGCCGGTTCGAGACCTGCTAAGGGAAGGTGCCAGCCAAGCTAGCACGCGAAAAGCCTTCGCGCGGTTTACACGGGACATCCGTCGCGCAAAGCGACACGGGTTTGAAGTGAATACTATGGAACAGGAAGCGGGAGAGGAGGATGAAGGTGACGAGGCAGAGCAGCACGAATATGATGCTCGACAGAAAGACCTGGAGATTGATAACGATGAGTTGGCGATGAATCCCGAGCTGTTGCTTGAGGCTGCTCGGGAAATGGCGGATGCGGCGTTCGCGGAAATGGATATCGGCGACTGAAGTATATCTCATTTCATGTCTCATTACAAGCTAGTCAACGTAATGTGTTCTGGCAAATCATCTGTCTCCTCTGAGTTTGCTCGGGAGGGCAGTTCTCCTGCAGCGATGATTGGGACAATATCAAAAGTTGAAAGATAATGGACTGACCCAGGAGGTGTTCATAACCGGGTACTCGATGCTCGTAGGTGAGGCGCTGTAACGCACGGTCAAAAACACGACGCAAATAAAAAGAGCATCGTTGTATATTTCCGAGTCCGGAAGATTGAAGGCGGTGGCATTGTCGAACATCCGATGCCAGTCGTTTCGATAATCCATGATATTTGTATAATGTGTTACCTTCTCGCAGAGTTTCTTGATGTTTGACATGGAGATGGGGTTCTGGATTTGAACATAGTAGCTGGGGTATCGCTAATGCTGATATCAGACAATGAGAATCAATACAAATTTCAGCGTACATTCTTCTTGGGTAGCTGTATGAATAGTTGACAGCGTCGCCGAGGATTGGGCTTCTTGCGCTTTCGATTGGACACGGGCAGAGCTGGCGGCTCCACCATTTCCGAATAAACAGCCTCGTAGCACCCTTGAAATACCAGCTCCAGTTGCTTTCGAAGGTTCTTGAAGGCATTGCGTTCCATAGTCCTCTGCTCACGTTCCGCTTCTTGTGTTTTGCGTGCCAGAGCAGCAGCATCCGGATAGAGGGTGACAATATTTTGAATAACGGAGACCACTCTGTCTCCGTATTTCGGTGCGAGAACCCAGTGGGTATGCTGACCAATAGCTTCAGAGTTGACGATGAGCCTAGCGCGTTTTGCTAGATCGTCGACGACAGCGTCAGAGAGAAGGATCGACCCAGAAAGGAAGTGCTGATGCGGGTAGAGTTCATCCACCAACTCTTCCCTAAAGGCCTCCAGCTTTGCTCGGATAGCAGCATCAAGCTCTTCTGAGCTCGCTCCTTTCCGCCCCGCCTTCCTCCCCCGTCCACCAACCAGCACCACTGTTTCCAACTCAAACGTGTCTGGGTCGCAGTTATCGCAGCATGGACCGGGAGGACATGAATGGGCCAGAGTAGCTGGTATATTCGGTGAGCATTTACTTCGCGACACCTAGCGCAAGCTTACCTTTGCTTTCGTTCCCAAAGAATCGGTCCCAGACTCGGCGACGGCATGCTTCTGTCACAATGAACTTGAGCAGAAATCGTTCATCTCGCAATTGAATCTCTGACTGCTTCTTCTTTTTAGACACGCGTTGCTGGAAAGACGGCCGGTCCACTCTCTCCTCGGTATTCTCTCCCTCTTGCTGGTCCATTTCCTCCAACGCCAACTCCCGATCGTGCCCTACCTCTTCCCCTTCATCTTCCGACCCTTCCGACCCTTCATTTCCAGTCTCGACATCCTCGCGTAAGCTTTCCGACTCGGCATAACAACGCGTCCTCATGTTCTTGGTGATATACAAGACCGCCTCGCCACGTTTGGTGAAATCTCGAGCACAACGACCGATTTTTTGGACTGTAGAGAGAAAGGTGCGGGGCTTCATCCACAGGATGACGCGCGCTCGATGCTGCGAAAGTCCATTCCCTGGTGGAGGTAAGCTCTAGTGAATTTGCGCTGCCACTGGCACTCACGAGGCCTAATGCATCTGTTGCTGAGACAGGCGCAGCTTCGCCGCTGGCAATTTGGCGTTTGGATGTCGACCTTCCGATCTTCATGAACATGTCGGTGATAAAATTCGAATGCTTTCTTGGGATCAAAACACGATGGTGCGTGGTCTCGAAGGAAATCCTGGATTTTTTTCGGCAGTCTGACGGTCATTTACATAGATTAGAGTTTGTGGAAACTCTTCGGGGGCCTTGATGCTATTGGGAAAGAGCAGCAACAAGTCGGCAAATGAGTCCGGCTCATTCTGCAGTTGCTGCACTGCAAGCGACACATTTGGTTTGCGTTCGACACCTGCACTTTGGCAGTATCTCGGGAAGTCCCAGGACATCCAAGATGTCGCATAACTTCGTCAGGTGCCGTGGCTGTTGCTCCTGTAATCGGGGTCCCGGGAGGCAGTCGCGCCACAAGCTCAACAATCTTGCGGTACTCTGGGCGAAAGTCGTCGGTCCCCCACTCGGAAATGCAGTGTACCTCGTCGATAATAAGGTTGATTATATTCTTTGTGAATGGTATGCTGTTTAGCACTTTCTCGTGGAATAGCGGCGTGAGACCCATCTCTGGCCCGAGAAAACCAACGCGATACTGATTTTGTCCCAGTTTCTTGGTCTAGGTAAGTCAATGAAGCAGTTATAGAAGCCTCCTGACATACAGTTAATGCCTGCTCAAGGTCTGGAGTGTTTGAGGTAACAGCTATGGCTGGAATGCCTTTGGAATTGAGCAGCTGGGCTTGGGCCTCTAGAAGCGCGACTAGCGGCCCAATAACAAGGACTATCTTGTTGGAGGCTTCGTCTGTGCACCCAGGCTGCCAGTAGTAGAAGAGGGCGAACCAAAATGCGAGGGTTTTGCCTCCTCCTGTGGGGACATCCAGCATGGTATGCTTGCCTTGAAGCACGTTCAGGCCGACCTTCTCTTGAAATGGGTGAAGGGAGGGGATGTTGAAGACACTACATAGTGTTTCTCTGGCGATTTTGAGTCGCCATGGTCGATAGAGTCAACGGGGACGAAAGGCATCGAGCAAGCCCCTAATTGATCAGCGCAGAAAGATTGCTCATTTGCGTCGTCAATTCTTGGAATTTCGAAAAAATAAAAACATAGCGAGATTCGCATTTACGAGCGCTATCTACTGGTACTTTAAAATTTGTGAAAATTCAAACTTTGTCCCAAGACCCTGGCTGAGTCATTAATTCCACCCGGTTTCGGCTCGTGTGCCTAAGGCGCCGGTGATTCTGTTCCAGTCGCTATCACAGTGACCGATTTTGTCACGTCCGCGATGCGACTGGTTCGAGTCTAGATAACCCCCTCCGCATGCAGGGGTGTATCACGATGCTTCTGCAAATCATCTGGCTGTCCCGTAACAATCCGCAACTTTCGGCGTTGGCGCCGCGGGAATGGGATCAAGCCATTACATATCTTTTGTAAGCAGTTCTTTATAACAATGAGCATACTAGATACTTGTTTATCTTTTAGTGAACCGGCTCCAATGTACTTGAGACACTAGCTATACGGCATATGCATCCCGAGTCGTGGACTTGGCTTCCGAGTCCTTGTGTCTGCTGGCCGGCATCACCTGCATCGGCAGTTCTTCTGCCTTCCCGGCCCGGAGCGCGCGGATCTCCTGCTCAAGTTGCCGAATACGGGCGCGGTCGCGGCGGCGCATGTATACATGACGATGGCTGTGATGACGAGAGCCAGGACAATAAGCCCAGCGATACACAGGCCAATGATGGCGCCGATGACCTCCGCACTGGTCGCCCGCTCGTTGTCCGAGTCGAAGACAGTGTCCCGCGCGATCTGCTGCTGTGAAGTAGGGTCACGGCCTGGGTCAACATGATGGCATCTACGGCGCTCACCTGTGTGTGGGCGCCTGCATTAACAGACACTGACTTGGACAGCACCAAAAGGGAGAGTGAGTAAGTAGCGTAGCGTGGCATTAATTGTTGTTCGTGAATCGTCAGAGGGTATGGGAAAGACTTGGGAGAGTAGGCGGCGCGATTGCCTTTTGTACACATCCAGAGCTAGGGCCCCCGAAGACACAGCCATAGCTGCTGTCGAGGGCTGTGCATGAACCCTAGGGATCGCTGGTGAGTCACATGTGCGCGACACTTGCGCGACACTGAGCTAATGATTCCAACAAGCCGTGACTACTTAGTAGCACAAACCAATTACTAGGAGTCTTCGGCACATGCGCCGTAGCCAATGACCTTGCTTTCTGCCCTAGCAGTGTTAGTATAACACCAACTAGTTTACTTTGTGCATATTATATCTTGTAATGCTAGCTCAAATTGAATAAAGCAACATGCATATTATATACAATTGATCATCCTTCCAACCAGAACCAACCCTGTTAGATTTAAGATTTTTTGTACAGATATTTCAGGTTACAAACAACAGATGAAAAATTCCATATATGATATCAGGAATTATGATAGGCATAGTATGATAGTTCTAAGATTTGGCCACTTCTGGTTCTATCATATTTTTATCAATACTTTTTATTGAAATAGGCTGAGATAATATGTAACTAAATTAATTACTGCCTTTGAAATCTTTTATTAAGTCCTATAGGATTAATGGATACCAATAAATTACCTAATAAATTCTAAAAAGTATTTATTTTCATTCTCAAATAATACTAGTATAACAGCCCAACCAGGCAAATGTCTGGCACTTCTCAAAATGGGGACTGGCACATCAGAGCTTTTGATGGTGTGATCATCAGTAGCACAGCCACCAAAATTGTGTCCACAAGAAAGAGATAAAGATTGCATTAAGTAAAAAGAGGTCACTAGCATAGTTTGAGTACAATCAAGTCCTAATCTTTATATTTGGTATAACTTTGCATTAGATACTAAGATAGACAGTCATAGACTGTACTTCTTTTATATGAGGAGGGCCTATGCCTATATACTAGTAAGATTCTAAGCTGCTGGAATACACCTCTACATGGTAAACTTGAGAGGAACTTGAGTTTGACAGATGTGGTGTGTCACAGGGTGGTGTATAACCCACCTGAAAAGCATATTTTGGATAGGATTTTATGGCTTCAAGAAAGCATGGCTTGCTAAAATTTTTGATGATATCCCTTAGAATGCTCTTATCTATGTTTTCCTCAGAACATATTTTTATTAAATGAATTACATCTTCTAATCCTGCTGTGCAAATCAGATCAAGAGCAGATATCAAAATTCTGCTCTGAGCAGACCAAAGACAACTATAAATGGCATTGATTTATGCAAAAAGCTGTCACGGATAAGACCTGGCCTGTTCACTCTGGCACTGGTATTGGGCCACTGTGGGCCGGCAACACACAGCACATGATAACAGGGAACAGGTGCCCCAGTAGGAAGGCATGGGAAGCATATGACTGAGAATGACATGTCGAGCTGTTGCCAAGCCCAACTCGATACAAGGAGACTGGGGAGGAGTGCTAGGAGGTTAGGAGTAGCACCTGGCCCACAAGGGATGTCCGATCGTCCCCTCCGTGGCCAGGAATAGAGGCAAGGAGGAGCAGGAGAGGCCAAGGGTGTCCGATCACCCCTTAGTGGGCCCACATATATAAGGCGCGATAGTGTACACTGTACTCTATTGCCTAGATTGTCTATTATGCTGCTTCTCTCCATGCAAGGAGGTACTGCCAACTTATCAGGCCCGAAATGACCTGATTCGACCCTGACACCAACTTTGACAAGGGACCATATTAACAGGCCCTTTTGGTTTGATTCTACTCAGCTCGCTTCACTTGTGGGCCCGATGATCTGTCTGTTCTGTTCTGGGCACATGTTCTTAGGAGAAGCCTTGTACGGTGATAAGCCCATTTTTGCTTTTAGTATTTATATCACCATCTTGTATTTGAGGGATTCACGGATTGTCCCACTTTACTAGGTGCATCTGGGGATCTAGCTCGTCAATCTATCTTGCTAGCTCTTTCGAAATAGTATCATTGTGTGTGTTGAAGGATTTATTGGTTAAGGGTTTCGGTTGCTGAATTAAAGAGTTCTAGTTGCTGTATTATTGGGTTTCAGTTGCTGGTCGAGAGTTTAAGGCAGTTAGTTCCTGACTCGAGATAACTCAGCGGGTTCAAGGTAGTTAGTTCCTGATCCAACGAGTATAAACTCTCCAGACATCATATTAGCGCTTCTCTATTGCAGAGTTTCATCAATAGTATGCTTTGGGGCACACAAAATCAAAGTTTTCACAAAAAGACTTGTATCTACCCTACAACCTTACACATCTGTGCCAAGGCTCTGTTCACAGGGGCCTGTTCTTGCACAAGGAGAAGACAAATTTTAAGTTTTGTGACTTTTTTTACTTAACATTATATATCTCTCTCTCTACAATAAGTGGAGTTTGGTTGTTTTTGTGGGTTGGTTAGTTAGAGAGCTCAGTTGCTATCTGCACTCCGCACTCATCAACGGTTCATGTGTAAGTGTGTGTGCAAAGAAGCAATGTCAGCCATCATCTGGTATCTGCTGAGGGACCTGCCCCCATCCTGTTGTCGCACCTGTGCCTGTGTTCCATGCCACAAAGATGGATGCTGACTGTGCCCTGTATCGCTTATCCACTGTGCCTTGTTGCCAGTCTCAGATGCCCTGCACCCCCACTGCTATACATTCTGCCACTCATCCGAGGGCCTTGACTGCTGCTGGCAGGCCAGGTGGGCATTCATAACCAGCCTGCCACTATCACCACCTAACCTACATGGGCTGCGGCTCTTACTCTCCCTACTTCTCAGTCATTATAACCTTACTCCCTTTGCACTCTCTGTCACAGATAAGACCTGGCATCCACTCCAGTGCTGGTGTTAGGCCACTACGGGCCTGCAACACGCAGCACGTGACAATGGGAACAGATGCCTGTAAGGGCAACCCGGAGGCCCGAGATCAAGGTCCTAGTAGGGGAGAATCTAAAGAGAAAAAACTCTGAGGGTCTGCCTGCTAGGTAGCTGACTATATACTGCTTGTCTGTAGCTGCCACTGTCAGGCACAAAAGGCCTGGCCAGCGTCACAGGTGAGGTCCCAGGGTGACCGTCGGGAGGGTGTTGACAGATCAGTGATTGTGTGGGCAAGATGGAGGGCTGGAGCAGAATTGAGACCAGAATCGGACCAGAATTGGAATTGTCTCTGAGAGGCCAAAAGGAAGGTTCCCCTGACAGTCCAGATGACTGGTATTGCATGTAGTGGTGTCAATGACCTGTGTAAATCTTCTATGTTCATGACCATCTAGCTTTCCTTATGAAGAATCCCGTGTTTTTGAGTAGGATAAGTTGATAGCTTGGCTTCCTAGCTTTTGAATGACACTCATAACTCATATCTTATATGTGTGTGGCCTTAGCAGTAGTTGTCCCAACTCTCCTGGTACAAATCCAGTATTCAGATGTCCAGTTCCTCGTCAGTGTTTTAGAGTCATCATTGATTGCAGGTCCAGGCCCCAATCTATTGAGTTGGTTTTTCCCCTTTAACCATTCCTTGGCACTCTCAATCCTTCAGCAAGATCCGAAACCATGTTCCAATGATGTCAGTTATCAATACCAACAGAGATAGGGGTACCCCTTATCTAGGAGAAGTCGACTTCAAGTCTCCAGTGCACACTAAACTGAATATGCCTTTTGGTTTACACTCCCTTTGGGTATTTTGTATAGGATTGGATAGATCCTAGCTGTTAGGGGAACCTCCATTTCGGCCCCTCGAAGATGACTCCGATTCCGGTCCGACTCTGGCCCCGACTCTAGTCCAGCCCTCCATCTTACCTGCACAATTACCGATCCGTCAATGCCCTCCCAAAGGTCGCCCTGGGACCTCGCCTGCGGCGCCGCCCAGGCCTTCTGTGCCCAACAGTGGCAGCTACAGACAAGAAGTATATAGTCAGCTCCCCAGCAGGCGGACCCTTAGAGTTTCTTCTCTTTGGATTCTCCCCTGGTCAGCTTCATTTGTATTTGCTTACCAATGTTCATGCTTTGGATCCTCCTCTGCTAGGACCTTGATCTCAGGCCTCTGGGGGTTGCCCTTACACTAGCAAAGAATGAGCCCTGTAAGCTTTGCTTGGTCAAGAATTCAGGATCACTGAGCGCGATCTGATATATTTCGACTGGTTCTTTGGGAGATAAACTCTCTAGTTGACTATTTGGGACTCATGTCAACTCTGAGATGTGCGCTAAGCAACAAAATCGACAAAAATAGTTGTTTCCTGATCTGTCCCATGTCCCAGGCTGCGGCTTATCAGTGCCTCTACAGAGAGTATGCTGCCAGGTACTAGTACACTCATATCATATGCCAGATGCACTGGACAGCGATCAAATGGAGGACTCAGAGGGCCCCAAATTCCAATGTGTCATGGTGAGTGTCCTCTTTATCCTACAGCAAGTGACTGACATGTCCCCATGACAACTGCAGTCGGTGGACCCTCAGTGCGACGCTTGCTGCGACGAGAAATCTTTGAATGTAGAATAGTTCCAGTTTTCAGCCTGAAGCTGCAGGGACTCAGAATGCAGTGGAGTTGACCAGGCTTATTATACAATTTTCACATACTACACTATGCCAGCTCGGCCACCCGTTCTTAACTGCTGTGTAGTCACCCCGCTCGTCGCTGTCCTTTACCACGGGCCAAGGACAGCAAAGTCCAGCTGCCCCCCAATCTTGAATGAGCCATGTTTCAGAGCAAACCGAGCAGCTTGTGCCAAGCCAACAATATCGCGAGAGTTGGTGTGGGAGCCACGGTCGGAAACTTCGGACCGGCATTCTGGTTTCATCTGAGTCACAGTTACATCATGTCTATATACAATGTTTTTGCTGTATATGAAATACATAGTAGTCTTTGATATATTGCACAAAGAGTTTAGACAAAGAAAAGCTGGCTGCCATGTGAACCCCCATTGGGTCCACCATGTGGGCTGTCAATCAGACTCCCATTTCCCAGCCGCCATTGCCGGTGTCATGACCATCTAGTTTTCTTTATATAGGCTGGCTCCTGTTTTCTTGGGTGTAATAAGTTGATGGCTCTACTTGCCAGCTTTCAAATGACACCCATAACTCATATCTTGTATGCATAATATCAGTGGTGGTTTGCCCAACTCTCCTGGCACAAATCCAGTGTTCAGATGTCTAGTTCCTTGGTAGTGTCTGTTGATTGCAGGTGCTGACCTCACTCTATTGAGTTGGTTTCTCCTGTTAAACCATCCATTGGCCTGATACTAGCATTAGAGAGGATGGGCCGGGTCTTATTTGTGACACATATTAAGCACTTAGATATAGTTTTCTGTAGCTAAAACCACTGTCTACATGGGCTTTGAAGTTGGTTGAGTTGTCTTAACTTGTCTAGATAACTGAAGCCTTCTAATTGGCTCTTTCTTTTTTGGTAATCACTACCTCCTTGTATCATAAGTTATACACCCAATATATAGTAAGTAGTAGTAAGGATTCTGTTTAGGTAAATACAACAAGTCCCAGCATATCACAAGGATTATAATTTCTATAATAAAGAACTACTTAAAGATACAATATTTAAGCTTATAATTATACGGATAGATGGCTTAATCATCCAACAGCCGCACAGTCACCATTCCCGCGGCGCGCAAGTTATCCTCGGTTGGCGTCACCACGCGGTCTAGCGCCAACGCTGAAAGTTGCGGATTGTTACGGGACAGCCAGATAATTTGCAGAACGTTGAGCGTCGTGATACACCCCCCGCGCGAGCTGTCCGACTGTGAATCATGCCAAACGAGTTGGAACGCAACGACCAGCGAGACAGTTGAGGCCACAAGGCCAGCAAAGACCTTGAAAAGTCAGTAGTCGCTAGGATGGATAGGCAGGCGGACATACCGCAACGAGATTGAGCTTAATTAATCAGTTGTCGCGCTGCAAAACGATAATGATAAGGACTTACCTCAAGCCGCGCAGTCAGGCTGTCCATCTCGACCAACACAGTCTTTCGTTGGAGGTCCAGGGTTCTGCTGTTCTTGAACGTTGAGTTCTCATGTTCACTAAACTGATATCGCAACTGCAACGGCGACAGTACAACGTGGCCGGCTAAGACGAGCTCCAGACCACTGAGATGATATAGAGAGTAGAGTCGACTCACCAGCCCAGAAGAAAGAAGCAGCAAAATCTGCCAGCGCGTTTTCAACGTCGTGGAGATACACCGTTTGCATGGGAGATGGAGGGGCGGTACTGTTCTTCAGCCATGACGGGTCAAGCTTGAGCTTGTCCATGACAAACCTGAGCCAACGGGTTATAATGCATCATAAACCCATCTATGGACTTACAAGTCCATGATTGACAGCATGTCGATTTCGTTCGAGGGCAGTGACAACGGAACAAAACTAGAGTGAAAGCTGTCAATCATCCACTATGCACCGTCAGTTTATAATAAAGCCAACAAAACTATGCGGCGCCTACCAGCCCACTCTCCATCGGCCCCCGCGGATCAGCAACCCGCTCCGCGACCGCAATACCAGCTGCTGGATCGGAATACGCAGCCCATGTCGAGCTTGTCTTGCGGATATTCGGAGTCAGACTGTCGGGCTTCAGCAACGTTGTTATCGCGTCCACGGTCGCGTTTTGCTTGACAATTGAACGCGAGCATTGAATGAACTGGATGGATGAGACGGTACCGTTGAGATCGAGCGATTCAGGCGAGAACTTTACAGGATTTCCTACAGCTCCCGTGGAGTCGACGACGTTGGCGGTGGTATAGAGAATCAGGGACGGCCATCCAAGATCCGACTCTACGTCGCGTTGGTCGACCATTGCGAAGGATGTCAAGATGTTTGGACCTAGCAGCAGACGTGAGATGCGGGGGAAAATGAGGGCATGAAGACGTGCCTGATGGAGGTGGGGAAAATGAGATCTTCTGGCCATTTTCAATGTCCACAGAAATATTCCATTTGATGTTGGGCAAGGTGGGTAGAGTAGCACGCGTCAGCGAAACGTTTGTCGGGAAGCCACAAGTAACGTCAAACCCAATCGCAGCTACGTCAACAAAGCGAGAACGACTTGTTGCGGTGGAGGTTCCCTCGCTGAGAACATCATAGAGCGTGTTTTCCCTTAATCCACTTCGAGTCATCGAGTCGTTAAGGGCGTCCCGCCATACCATAAACTCGCTAATGTCCTTCAAGAATTGCGTGCTTCGACTGCAAGAATGAGCAATCTGCTCCAGATACGATGCGGTGGACCAACCTTTTCTCATCATCTTGTGAGGGCCATAACGGCTTGCCTAGTGTCGTCACAGGAATGGTAGTTGTGAGGTTGAAAGCTTGTACGGAAAACATGGAGGGAATCGTCACATGTAGCAGTGAGAGGACCCCGAGATAGATGAGGACTGCGAGTGTTCCGTTGATTGCGGTGGGGACAGTAAATTGATTAAGGATGGCCGCAAGCGCCGCGCCGAGGCCACTCCAGGAAGATACCTGGTCATGTGTGGCGGAAAGTGTCTGTTGGATGTCGAGCAGTCGCTTCAGCGCAGCCCGCTGAGTCAGGAAAAGTACCAATGCAAGATAGAGCTGCGGGAAGGTGAATCAGAGGAGTGTATGTAGCGTGTTTACGCACAGTACCAATGCTTGTTGAGAGGATTGTGACCCACAAGGACATTGACTGCTGCTTTGATAATGGGAAAGTACACCGATGTTCGGTATGGTTGAGAAGGACGACGAGGAGAATCGCATGAACGAGAATCATCGCAACATGGAGTCCAAGGCAGATGAGCTGATCTCTGCGTGAGTACCGCGGCTTATGCGTATCTGTCCAGTACACATCAGGAAGAATGATATACGTGGTAATAGTGTACTCACCAGAAGCAGATCCAGGCTGCTTTGTAAAGTCTCGCGAAGCCTCGGCTTCTCTGTCTTGAGCGAGTTTCAAGTGGACCATCCCAGCGCGGCGAAGCCTTTCGTTACTGGGCTTGTGAATTTGGACCAGCTTTTTTTGCAGCTCGCTGTGCCGTTGTGAAAGCCATAGCGTCTGCAGTACACCTGGAGTATTGATTTCGCGCTGTAAAACAGACTCCTCGTTGGTTTGCAGTGCATACCGCAGTGCTAACCCGCAAATCAAAATAGAGGCAGCTAGACCAATTGATATCTACAAGGATTTCATTATGAGTGCTGTCAGAGCAAGCGGGAGATATCCACCGCGATGATATTAAGCTACGCTTATTATTCACATATCGGACTCAAGGTGAAACAGGAACACACCTCTAATCTGGCTTGCAACACGTGTGCCTGTATCGAAGCCGTGCCAGCACGCAAAGTGGGTGAAATGATGTCAGTATGGCCATCACTGGCAGCTCCCAAGTGCATCAACGATGACTGAAAAGAGTTAGGAGTGACGTGTCCAACTGCAGGATAGCGCGTCAGCCATCGGACTCATAGAATACAACGTGTGCCACTAACTCGTCCAGAAAGTTGTTGCCGCCAGCTCAGAGAGCGCGTTCTCTATGTTGTGAAGATATACGGTCTGTATGCTGTTGACCACATTGCTAGATGTATTCTTTCCCGAATAATGCCAGGTTGGCTCGAGCTTGAGGCGCTCCATGAGGAATCTGGAACGTTTAGAAAGAAAGCGAAAAGAAGGAAGGAGACCGTACAGGGAGGCAGTTGATAGTCCAGTCGAAGTTTGAATAACACCGGGGGCTACCGAAGAGTCCGGCAACGCGTACAGCAGATCAACCCACTGGTAAAATGAAGGGGCTCAGCGAAGACCATGGTTAGACGCGAATCACATACCAGCTCGTCATTTTCAACTACACTCATTGTGTCATTGCGGATAGGTCGCTCCGGTGACCAGACATCGGTATAAGGAAGCCATTTAGAGTGCGTCTTGTAGAGGCGGGGGCGAAGGGATTCCGGATGAATCTGATTGTCTTGAAGTGAAATGGTAACACGCTGGCTAACTAGCTCGCGAGTACAAAGGATAAACTGCAGCATGTCGATTTTGAAATCGCCAATGCCCATGGGCTCGTCAAGGTGAACCACGCCTCCGTCGGGCAGCCTTCCGCTTGAATCGACTATTTGATTGGTGGTGACAAGTATTATTGCGTTGGTCGGTGTGTCGTCGATAACTGGTCCCAATATGGTTATATTTGGACCTAAATCGAAGGTAAATATCATATAAGTAGCGCATCCTACATAGCTCACCTGTAGCAGACAGTCGCGTTTTGGTGCGTATTCCACCTTCACTGCCTAGATTAAAGTCCCAGGCCCCCGATCTAAAGTTCGCCGAGCCCGGGAGATATCCGCAATTGAAAAGGAATCCAGTTGCTGAAACATCTGTGATTCCTAGAGGTAAGTCGGGATTGACGGCATGATTGACAGTCTCGTAGAGCGACCCGTTAAAGAGGCCCATCCGATGGGACTGGTCTATATTCGACAGCCACGGAAAAAACATAATGGAAAGTCCGATATATGCACTCATACCACTGAAGAAAGACAAAGATGAGCACGAGTTCAGAGCGACAACAGCTACTTTAACGCACGGATCCTCCCGCAAGGAAGTGGGATAGCTCGGCAGCCCCAAAGTCGATACAACGCCAGAAAATTGTGTGCCATTGAAGCCTGCGACGGAGACCAGTGCTGGAGCACTGATTTGTAGAATTGATACCCCGCCCAGGTATAACACGATTGAAAACGAAGACCAGATGGCCGCAGGAGCTGTCCGTTGACGATAGATGTTGAGGAGAGAGGAGCCGAGACCGCCCCAAGAGGCAATGTTATCGTTTGTCGCGGTAAGGGTTTGTCGTGAGTGAATGTCGAGGAGTGTGGCGAGGCGTTGCGTCACGAATACAGCGGCTGCAAGATACATCTGGCCCAGAGTTAGTAGTATGACCACGTGGTCAGAGGTATTGGACGTCGTACCGTAGACCAGCCCGTCAGCAGTGCAGTTACGAGAAACGCGATCATCGACTGTTGTTCAATTGGGAAAGTAATGCGCCGCTCGACGTGCCGCCGTGCCAGAGCAAGGAGAACGACGTGAGCGACGACGAGTCCAATGTGGAGAACGATGGACATGATATTGGTCCAGCGAAACCAGCTCCTTCTCCTCGACCGCGGTGTCATACAGACTGCGAAGAAGTAAATGAGTAGGAGAAAACAAGTCAGATAGCGCAGGACGGACCTGATGACGACCTCGACAGCAGAGAAGTTGTCGATCCGTAGTCCGACTTGGATGTCCTGAGTGGGTGTGTATGCATTTCCTCAGCCATTTCCTCATCGACCTAGTTCCCAGCCTATTACGCTGCGTCAACGTCCAGAGGGAAAAGACAAGCCAAAAAAGAGAGAGAAGTGACGATGACAACTAAGTAAGGGATAGGATAGGATAGAATCACCGGGTCTACATACCTAAAGGGTGTCTTGTAGTATGTTACGTGTGTACCTACTCTCCACCGTTGTGATTGTGTGTGGTTGAAGGGGCAGGTACACACTTAACATAGTACAAGACGCCTGCTAAGCATGTAGTACGGCCCTCGCTCTACCCCGCTACGCCTTCCGGTGCTTACTTGAGTATCATGCGGGGGGAGATTCATTGGTGGGACACTACCGCATGCCTAAGCTGGCCCTAATATCAAACAAATCCAAGGCTGGCACATGTTCTCTCCAGTATAAACGACTGCGTTTGTAGCGGCGAATAGAGTGATAGCTTGACGGTACACATAAGTCGGACGCATTCGAAGGAGCGCCTGCGGCGCCTGAGACTGAACTTGAAGGTGAGCATTGTTCCTGCACGAAATACGACACGTTGAGCTATGGGGTTTTAGTTGCAGGCCAACGCGTTGAGGAGAACATACTACTGACTCGGATTGTCTGCGCTTGGGCCGGTAGACTCGACTGTTTGTTTCTTGAGCTCGTCATCTTTTGCGGCTTTAAGGCGTGTTTATAGTCCTACAAACGGTCAATATTCTTGTCGCCAGAATCTGAGTCATAACCGCACCACCATGATTCTCGACACCACTCTGGCCTCCAAACTGGGTCGTATTCTACTTGTCCCGCCAACCGAGGCGGACGACAAGCACGTCGGCATCATTCGGTCACTTCCGGAAACCCGGCAGTACCTTCGCTTCTTCCCCCCACACTTCAGCGCTGCGGATGCCGCTGCCCGCCGAATAGCACGCGAGCCAAACAAGTCCCTTGTCGACATCCACATCCACACGCACAATGGGGACTTTGTTGGCACGACAGGGTATTTTGGCGTCGACCCGACGAGCGGGAATTCATGCGAAGTGGGTATTCTGATTGCGCCAGCTTATATGCGTGGAGGGTATGCGACAGAGGCATTGCATACGCTTCTTGAATATATCTTCGAGAAGCGAGGCTTCCACCGCGCAGAGTTACAGACGCGTTCTGACAACGCTCCAATGCGTGGCTGGCTCGAGAGTGCGGGAGCGACTTTGGAGGGGATTCGGCGGGGAGTTTGGACCGATCCAGACACCGGAGAGTTTAGCGATTTGTGTGTCTATGGCATCCTTGATGAGGAGTGGTTGGAGACGGTGAAAGGAAGGTTGGAGGAGCGATTGAAGCGGTTGGAAGATAGAATTTGATACCCGCTTACATCAGCTTGTTCTCAGAATCGGACGGAGTTTATAAATAAAGGCAAATAAATTGCAAGCAGTACGAAAGAGCGACATAGAATGGATGTGAAACAGAGCTGTTGAAGTAGAAAATAATATAAGGAAATAAATAGGAGATCATAGTAGAAAACGCGTGTTTGTTTGTGAATGTTAAGTGGGAATAGCCATATCGTCTGTGCCTCACTTAAGTTGACCGCAGATGAGAGACGAAGATCGATATGGTGGGACGGTAGAAGGCGAGGATATTAATACAAATGGTGATTAAAGGAAGGAGGGCATGAAGCGGGAACTGGAGGTGTGGTTGAAGCATGAGTCGCCGTCGCATCTGAGGTTTTTATCATCTGCAAGTCGTATTCTACGCCTAATGCACCACTGAGAGAGCTCAGAATGGTGGGGCTTCTGGCGTTATGACGGGTAATGGATCTTGGTTGGGGAAGACGGCTTGGGCCTGCGACTGGTCCACTGGTCGAGCTTTCGGTGTAGCTATATGGATGAAAACGCCCTGATTCGGAAACCGGAGACCGTTGGACATGGTCACTGGGCCTAGAAATGTGTCGTTCCAGTGGGAAAGTGGCCGGCATCCCGAAAAGAATGCCGCCATCTTGGGGAGTTGGATAGGTATGATCATGTTCTGCTCGTGCCGGTTCCCATCGAGGCATTTCAAGATAAGAAGATTGTTGATCACAGGAAAATGGAGCAGGATCGTCGTCCAAAGCCAAATCAAACAAGCCATTGGCCAGCGGTGACAAGGTCGCAGGTGGCGCGGGGGGAGTTGTCGAGAAAAGAAAACTACCCGACAGGTCGAACTCGGCAGTATCACCCATAAGGTCAGGCAATACTGGCTGCAGCTCGTATGGGGACGCGAAGGACGGCGATTGAGTGAGTGCCGTTGTTTTAATCTCAGGTGAAGAATTATAACCTGAAAGTGCGACTCGGAAATTCCAAGCGTGCTCCAGTTCTGCGGGGGTGAAGAGATTCAATGGAGGCAGGGTCGCGTTCATATCATTGTAAGGAGTGTGGTTGTTTGGAAGAGAAGTCAAAGGTGCAAAAGGTAAATTGGTGTCGTAGTCAACCGTGTTGAAAGGCGGAAGTGTCAGCAGTTCATTATTGAGGACCGCGTCAGCACCTGCTGGCTTAGAGTACTGTCGACGAAGAAGTAAGTTCTGATCTTGACCAACAGTTGGGTGCGAGTTACGCCGTTGGCGGTCGGGATGTGGTGGAGATACCTGTTCGCGGGGGTCAAAGGTGCCTGCTACGCCTTGGGCCGATTCGGGGGTAGCTAACTTGGGTGACCCCCACCTTGTGCCCCAATAAGGCATCTATATCAAGATTATTCAGCTTTCATGAAGCCAACATATATCTGAAACACAAACACGGTCGCGGTATTCACTCATGTGCTCCGGGATCGGCTTATTGGTGAGCTGACCTCGTCGGATTGGACGACGCTCGGACAATATAGCTTTTCTCTTTTTGAGCTACATCATCTACCGGTCGATCCCCTGAGTCCTCCCGCTCCCCAGATTGATTTGGCGTAACTGCTTTGTCGATGGTGTTGGATGACGGTTTCTCTGACATGAACAAAAAGAAGCCTGGAGTAATCCAGAAAGTAGGAGGGCTAGACGCGCGCCTACGAGAAGGTACTGAGAAAGTATCTCCCAAGTCAACCTGTTCTTTTAAAGTGCTTGCGTCGTGGCTGGATTTCTGTTCGCTCCTTCACTGCCTCCGCGAGCAGCCAACCGCCAGTGACGCGGTAGAAAACACGTTGTCGGATATTCTGGAATACGCCCGTATCCGCCGGTCGCCTGCAGTAACAGACACCCACTACGCACGATTGCCTTTTTTGGGCATACGAATGGTGGCGCATTGGGATGGGAAAATCTTAGTCAGCAGAGGACATCAGTCACTGAGCGCAAAATCAGCGATGACGCGCACCAAGACAGAGGCATGCTGTCCTCAGAAATTCCAACTGGAATGACAACGCCCACATAAGCACAGCACGTCTCTGCGCAACCCCAAGTGCGGTGTGACTTTTCTGTTCCACGTTTCGCGCTCCATTTTCGCCTGGCTTGAGGAGCACCTTACTACGGTTCATTCAAGACAGCTTCTGGACTCAAACACCATTGCGGAGGTCAAGCACGGCCTTGGGTGTCGATATCCCTGGCGTGCGCATCTGAAAAACACCGTGGCTAGCGGAGCCGTCCCCTATGGTGATTTGCGGCTTACTTGTCGCAACGTTGTGACTCGAGAATGTGTACGATATTGGCTGTCGAGAGGGTGAAACAGATATGCATAGCCCAAGGGAGGAGGCACTGACCGACGTAAGGCCCGGGCTCCCGCGGAAAACAGGCATTGATATTTGCAGCCTCCACAGCGACAATGTAAAATTAGAGAGCCGGCGAGAAGGAAGAACCAAGTTGCTGGGCCAGTGATGAGCTCTGACGTTCTGTATCGGTTGAACACACTAGGTCAAGACAAGAGTTCGAGTCGGTAGTGTTGATAACATAACGAACAGGGTCACTTCGACAGCAATATTCGCCGAAAACCCCACCATGAATAGGAATGGAATACCAAGGAGTTGACCTCCCAGCTGTCGACTTGTCATGTAGAGGTGCCCATTGTGCTGGAGGCATTCTGTTTGAGCTTTGAAGTTCACATCTTGGAGAGGAGAAAGCTTTGACTTCCGAGTGCTTGTCTTGTTTGAAGTATTATACACCGACATATATAGACAAAGATGGGCCGCGACCCCAGAGTTCGAGCCAGAGGGCACTGTCCATTTGTTCGGTTGTGGTTGTGGCAAGGTTGTGGTCAACCATCAGGAAATTTGCAGTGGGCTGATTTGAGATCGCCAGTACTGACCAGCAGTCCCATCACTGGTAGTGCTGGCCAGTGTGTCGCCCGCTGGTGAGCTTCTGGCCATAGCTGATCGGACGCTCACCGCCGCGTGCGACTTCAGCCCTTACATACCAGTTTAGCCCTCGTCTGGTGTGTATCTCGCGAGCCCGAGTCAGGCTTCCCACCCGACAGGCCATGGTCTGTCCATGCCAACAATATCTGGTGCTCACTGTCGATTCTTCGAAGCTTTCCAGGCAGGATGAATGTGAATGAGAAATTGTAATATATAGAAAACAGAAAATATAATTTCAGCCTGCCGCCTGTTCAGCGTCGCCCTGTTCTCCTTGCTCATCCTCCTCTTCCTCCATGCGCTGCTGCCACAAACTCTGGGTAGTAGTGATTGCAGTCTCGTAAGTCGTTGCTGATGCACCGTCCGCCGTTGCTGTTTTCCTAAAGCCACCAGCGTTAGCGGACAATAAGCAACATTATCAATCCACATACTTGTTCCACCATGCTTGAAGCTCACCAACGCGTTTTTCGGCCTTGGAATTTGGCACATTGTCCTCAAAGTAGTCGACGAGGAAGGTATACATGTTGTCGAGATCAACACCATTGAACTTGCGACGCCATTGGCTCACATCGGAGAGCGCAAAATAAACCTGCAGATGGTTAGTATCAGATGTATGACAGAAATGTTGCGCACAAGAACAGCAGTGTATGCAATAGTGCGAGGGGGCACATGGCCGTCGAACCCAAGGAGTTCAGCCACTGGTGGGCGTTTAGAAGTTGCCTCTTGAGTATCCCTGCAACGAGTTGGGGCCGTGTTTTCATCTTGATCGCTAGCTGAAGCCATGAAGATGGCTAGCCACGCCTGAAGCACAATTGAAATGAGAAAGATTTAGGAGAATACATCGATATACCTTGACGAGAAGTGGACTCTTGAGGAACCCCTCCTCCACCTTCTTCGCATTTCCGTGGTAGTTGGCATAGAAGACACGAAAGAAGTAGTTCGGGGCAAGGCCCAGTTTGTTGTCACGAAGGTCGCGTCGTATGCTGGTGAGTGTCAGACAGAGGAAATACTCGTCACATGTCACTTACCTCTCTTCGCTCCAGTCATGATCAATCGACGTGCAAAGCCCACCAGTAACATCGTGAGTCAAGCCCCGACCACTCCGCGTAGTTGGATTCAATATGGGAGCGCGACCAGTAATCTCGACTTCACGGCCACCGCGTTCCTCGAAGGCATTGGGTGTATGATCAAATTTGCGCAGAGTTGAGTTTTGGCGGCTGAGATCCATGTTGATGTGCTCCCCAACCAGTCTAGTGACCGTTCGGACGTTCTCGCTGCGCGCGTCATTCGCGCCTTTCTGAAGCTGCAATTCACATCAGCCAATGTCCAATATCAAACGCAGCCCACACCCACCAAGGCAAAGTACGCCTTCGCTCCCGTGCTGCCATCAATCCTTTTGTCGATACCGGGCACCAACCGAGCAATTTGTAGATATCCTTCATAGATTCTTTCGCCCCTACATATACCTGGTGAGTGGATAGTCCTGATACAAAAGCATCATGATTGACTTACTTTCGTTTATCAATCAGTGTGTTCTGCTCTTCCTCTGTCAAATTCTTGGTGAGACGGTCGTATCCCAGGTCATCATATGGATTCTTTGCATAGGCAAGGGCGTCCACAATGTACAGCTGCAGTGGGTCGAATAGCACAGCTATTTTGCGAATACCGCGACCCAAACGGGAGATGGAGTCCTCTCTGAACAGAGTAGTGAGTACTGAAGTCTTATTCATGCTGTTGACTTACTTCTTGTTGACAGGCACGTTGGCTGAGTGCTCCCGCGACCGCGACCGTGGGCGAAGAGGCTGCCGACGACTGCTATCTCGATAACGGGGGGAGCGTGACCGCGAGGAGCGCGTCCGGCGCGAGCGTGAGTATGACCGCTGGCGGTGACGGGATGTTGGGGAACGCGATGAACGCGATGAGTAGTGGTGGAGATATGGGGAAGAGCATGAGGGGGGGGAGGAGGAGGGTGGAAGGGTGGAAGAGGAACGGCGCTCTATACTGCGTCCACGGTTAGACATGGTGGTCCAATTGTGGTGGGGGGAAGAAAGTAAGGGTAAGCAATCAAAGATGGGCCGCCCCTTTTATACTCACTCTAAACAATCAACAGGTAGTCACGATTCAAAACGCGACGCGTTATGGCGATTTGCATGATCGAATGTAATTTGATTTTCCTCTTATCTAACTTGTGACCTCCGTCGACCTCTGTGCCGGATACACCAACATCACCCAATGCGCCGGGAACTGGCGCAAAGGGTGCTGCACCTATCTCTTACTCTTATCGTCCTCCTGATGGTCTTATGTCGAGGAGGATGCGGCACTAACCCTAAAGATGAATCAGCACAAACCCGACACCACAAAATTTGCTCTGGCTACCAGGATTACATTGCGCGTATGGGCCAGGTGTTCCGAGAAGACTCATCTGAACTCCACGCTGGCTCATCGTCATCCTCTGCTCGACCACCACTCGGCTTTGCTGCTCGGAAGCGAGTCAGTACTGCCACAGCCGCAACACGGTCAAATGGGAAACAGCCGCATAGTCTTGCCATACGAAAGCTTCGACTCTTGGGACCACGCCAACCTGCAAACCTCGCTTCCGAGCCGGCAATGGTATATTGTGTACTTGGTTTCCTTGATCTAATCTCACTATCACAAAAGATCCAAACTTTATCGCAAGTAGACGACAATGCCAGTGGTCTCGGCGCAGACACCATGCTAGTTGACAACGAGCCACTGCAACTGAGCTCATTGGAACCTATCCAAAACGATGGTGTTGCCCAGGCGCCGAGCGCCGAGCAATCAGACTCTTCCGAGCAGACTGAAGTTGAGCGTGGAGTCCCACCACCTCCGAGTCCCAGGCCCACCATTCGAATCCGGATTCCTGCTCGCTTTCGAGAGCTACTTCCCGAACGGCCCACATTGCAACCTGCTGTTCAAGGCTTACCGTCGGTGCGGCTTATTGTTCGCGACACATTCAGAACAACGATGAATATATTCAATCTCTGGCGGTCCTACCTTCATCGACCAACTCACGACCCCGATTCCTTGCTCTCAGAAGATGACCTCTCTGATCCACACCAACCTCAATCGCCTCTGTCGCCTTCTCCCGATCGCAATACCGCAATTCCCGCACCATCAAATCGGAGCGTCTCGCTATTGATGGCGTGGCAAAATAACGGGCATACAACGAAGTCTGCAAGTCAGCTGAAAACGCTTGTACACGATGTACTAAAGCACCCCGACTTTGATGTCAGAGATCTTCCCAAGAACTTTGACCCCGCTCGTGCCGAGAAACAAGCGGACAAAGTTGCAGAGCAGGCCTTTCCATGGGTGAAAGATTTCAAGCACGAGACCATCAAGATTGAGGTCCCATCGGGCTGGAAGGACGTACCCCCCAAGACCTTTGCAATCCCCGGTCTTCAATACCGCAGCTTGGTTTCGGTTATCACTGCCGCCTTTAAAAGTCCCCTCGCCCTTCGATTCCATCTGTCGCCGTTTAAGCTGTTCCATCGTGTGCACGGAACAACAGATGACATTCGGGTTTACAGTGAATTATACAACTCCGAGGCCTTCTTGGCAGAACACGACAATGTTCGCGTTCGTGGGGAGCTGCCACCTGATGACCAAGACTGCAAACTGGAGAGAGTTGTTGCGGCATTGATGTTTTGGTCCGACTCGACTCATCTGGCGAATTTTGGTATGGCGAAGCTGTGGCCGATATACATGCTATTTGGAAATTTGTCAAAATACATCCGCGACAAGCCCCAGTCTGGCGCTGAACACCATATTGCGTTTATTCCCTCGGTAAGCAGGGATCACGAAGCTTGACTATAACTGATAATAATACGACACTAGCTTCCCGATTTCGTTCATGACACACTCAAGGATTGGCACCCAAAGTGGAGAACGCAGAAGAGGCACATTCTCGCGCATTGCAAACGGGAGTTAATGCATGCAGTGTGGAGATTCCTTCTCGACGACGAATTTCTCCATGCATATCGCTATGGCATTGTAATAGTTTGTGCTGACGGCAAGGCCCGTCGTGTATACCCACGAATCTTTACCTACTCAGCGGACTATCCAGAAAAGTACGTGCAGTTGAGGTTGTGACACAATGTATTAACCACAACTTTCACCCAGAGTACTTCTTGCAACAGTCCGGGACGGCGGCCTGTGTCCCTGCCCTCGATGTCTGGTCACCAAGAAGGAAATCCATATCATGGGCTTTGTGCGCGATATCAAGTCCCGCATGTCCAATGCGCGCCAATATCTCTTCGACAAGGTCAAATCCGCGCGAGATTTCATCTACAATCTTGGTCTCAGCATTACTTCCGACAAGGTGGAGGATTTGCTCAAAGAGACCTCGTCTGTGCCCACAATTGTAAGTTTGGATGTGCTTGTTCAAGTTGTTGTCTCAAGCACCCCAGAATGCATTTCTCGACCGTCTTGGACAAGACTTTGATCTTCATCGCATGCTTGTCGTTGACTTCATGCATGAATTTGAGCTCGGAGTTTGGAAGAACTTCTTTATCCATTTAATCCGCCTTCTCTACGCGCTACCAGATGGTGTCAACAAAGTTTCTGAGCTTGACCGCCGGTATGGTTTCGACAGAACCTCTGAACACCAATGACTTACCTTCTGCTCTAGTTATCGGCAGACTCCGACCTTTGGCGTAGACACAATCCGTCGATTTGCAAACAATGCCTCCGAGATGAAGAAGCTCGGGGCTCGAGACTTCGAAGATCTCTTGCAGTGTGCAATACCGGCTTTCAATGGACTATTCCCCGAGCCCCATAACAAGCGTCTACTTCGACTTCTATTTCGATTGGCTGAATGGCATTCTTTTGCAAAACTTCGGATGCACACAGAGCCCACCATCGAGCATCTGCGACGGTTGACATCGGAGATGGGTCGACTGATGAGGGAATTCCGGTTGACTACATGCAACGACTTGGTGGCTTATGAGCTCCCCAAAGAAGTTGCTGCGCGAAGTCGGACTGCAACTAAGAAGGCTGCAAAATCTGCGGCGGCCACTGGTGACTCTACGATGGCACCGCCAGATGCGCAACCACAGGCTCGGACAACCAAGAAAGTCAAGACGCTCAGTCTCAGCACGTATAAATGGCACGCGATGGGAGACTATCCTGGTACAATCCCACTATTTGGCCCAACAGATATCTATTCAACGCGATATGTAAGTTACTCACCACCGTGCTTGAAGCTATGATTGACAAAATGTGTCCAAGGGCGAGGCGCTTCATCGACAGCTCAAGCGCCTATACGCTGTCACAAACAAGCGTGACCATACAGAGCAAGTTGCTAAACGCCTTGTGCGACTGCAGCGTACTCGGCTCAACTCGACAATCAAGGATGCCCAACGCCGCCACTTGACTTCGACCACCACTAGCAGTCGAAGACGCTGCAACATTGACCTCGCATATGAGGATCCATTTGGCGCCGGCCCGACAGCCATTCACTACTCAATATCTAATGTACGACGCAAGCCGGATGATGTCTTTGAATTCTCGCGTCCACACAAACGGGACCCAGCGTTAACAGTGAGTGACAACAGCTGAATTCAATGTCCGACTTAAAACCACAAGAACTTTGTGCCCAAACTAAAAGACCACCTACTTGGGCGACTGCTTCAGCGGGACTTCGATGGGGATGACCACGACGACTACACTGATGAAGATCGCCGCTCACTCGTTATCCACGACAACAAAATCTATTCAACCCAGCTCCTCAGAATCAATTACACGACATATGATGTTCGTCGCGCTCAAGACGTCATCAACGCGCGCGTCCATCCGTTTGTTATGGTTCGCTCGGCCACTCCCGCGACACACCCATACTGGTATGCTCAAGTCCTTCGTATATTCAATGCGACTGTCTTCCGGATGGAGAAGTCAGGTGCTTTCTCGCGGCCAACTCGGATGGAGTTTTTATGGGTACGATGGATGGGAGATCAGCCAGGCTATCGGTCGAGCATCAAACAGGCGCGGTTGCCCAAGGTCGGCTTTGTTCCTGACACAGACGCATACGCGTTTGGATTTCTGGATCCAGACCAGGTTATCTGCGCTGCACATTTAATCCCTGACTTTGAGAGTGGACAGACCAGCTTCTTACTCGACACTCTAGAGCCAACGCTCGCTCGTATCGGGGACGAAATTGCGGACTATCAGTCCTTTTATGTGAACATGTATGTATGTTCTCTTTGATTCTCTGTGCTCATAACATGTTCACTAGCTTTCCGGACCGAGATATGATTATGCGTTATGTCGGAGGGGGTATTGGTCATGTCGACACTGAAGCACTTGATGGGAAGGATATTGAAGAGCAAAAGGACGACGATACTGGCTTGGACCAACTTGCTGACGATGCAACGAATGCATCTGACTCGGAGTCAGTCTTGGGTTCGGAAAACAGCAGCCTTTGGGGCAGTGATGATGACCAGTGGGATGATGAAGGCGGCGACGATGACGAAGGGGGGTTCTCAGATATACAAGACGAGGAGGGAGAGGCAATGGAATATGGGTCAGACTCAAATTAACATGTGTAGTTCATGTTAATACATGCAGTACCTACAAAAATACGCAAGCCGCTCAATCAAGGTCAGTATATTGCCCGACGGCTTGTGTCCTGGCCCGACCATGCCAGGACACAAGCCGTCGGGTCCCTATCCGACCATCGCCCAACAAGCTGATCTTCTGCTAGTGATGAAATGGCGATCGCTGGCATAGTCGCTACCAGCTGTCTGAGACTGGTCAGCGTGACCAGCCGAAATCAGCCAACTGCAAATTTCCTGATGACGCAACCCGGGCACTTGATCACTTTGATCGGCCTTCCACTTGCTTCCGTCCCTCACCCTTACTTCTCTTCCTCTCCAACGATGTCGAGCGGGAGCGAGAGCACGTCAGCGCCAGAAGCACTCCATGTAGAGGCTCCTAAATCACCGATTTATGGCGAAGGCTCTTCGCTCCGTTCTCGTTCAAAACGCTCCCTACATGCCCACCATGCTACAGATACCCTTTCGTCTCGCAAGCCTATCGACACATTCCGCTCGACCGTCAAAAAGATCATCGCCATGCAACGCAGTACCAATATCATCGCTTCCTTTGGGGCTGGGGCTGAACCTGGCGTTGACCCCCGCCGTGCTTCAATGGAAGTACAATACCGTTCCGTGCAACACGACTGCCAAATCGAGGTCGTCGACTACTCTGCCGTTTCGGAAAAGTCCATGCACATGGGGAACAAGCAGTTTGTTAGCTGGTGTGAAAGCTCGAAAAGCCAGCGGCCACCTTGGGTCAAAGTCAGGTGGATAAATATCGCCGGTATTAGCTGGGATGTCATTAAAGCCTTGTCTCTCAAGCATGGTGCGTATACTGTTACACAATTCCGTCTGTGTAACTTACTGTCATTTCCCAGAGCTCCACCCGTTGGCACTGGAAGACGTGTTACACAGGCGTCCAGAGAACCTTTCGAAAGCGGAATATTTCCTTCACCACCTTTTCCTCCGCATCCTCATTCACGACGTAGAAGGCGAAGGCAACAAGGCCGGATTCACAGCTGATGAATGGTCTCAAGACCCTTCAGCATCACACAGCGAAAATGTTGGTACCTTTCATATCCTGAAAACATATTCATCTATTCCACAGGCTATTCGCGAACGACAAATCGAGCAGGCCAAAATCGATGCTCTTAAGCAGGGCACGTTGCGTGTTTCTGTTACCCCCATGTTTATCTTCCTGTTCCGCGATGGCACCGTCATCTCCCTCACCCAACGCGCGCCACCCGGTCTCACGCTGCCCATCAGCGAGCGACTTCGCCGTGCGGACACTATTCTAAGGCAGTCCGCAGACCCCAGCTTGCTTGTACAGAGCTTGATAAGTTTGGGTGTGTGTTTTGGTTATAATTAGGGGCTTTTCTGATCCGTTATCCAGTCGTCGATAAAGCTGTCCAAGTCATCGACTCGTACCACCAGCAAATCTCCGACATCGAGCGCCAAATTCTCATCAAGCCGAAACCAACAACGGTGCGAAAACGTGAGCGTCTACTTTCGTCTTCTGGAGTCTATTTTGAGCTGTATTCTACAGTTCATATTGTTTCTGGCGACCTTGTCCTGCACAAACGCACGCTTGAGCCTATTAAGACCCTTGTTTACGGGTTAAGGCGGTACGACGTTGACCGATGTGCTGCCCTTGTCGACCAGAGTGACCCCAAGATGAAGGGCAAGAAGATTGTTGGGTTCATGAGCCACAAGAGCAAGATATATTTGGTCGGTTTTCTCCGGTTTTCGATGCGGTAACTGAAATTTCATCGGCAGGCCGACACGTTCGACCACACAGAGTATATTCTCAGCACTCTGGACATGATTGCAGGCATTGGCGACAGCTTGACAGACTACAGCTTCAATGTCAGTGGAGTCGCCCAGCATTACTAGCACTAACACGACATAGATGGCATCTTACTCGATGAATGATACGATGTATGCTACCCCCCTTTCCCCTTGGTGCGCTAACATGGGCTCAGGCGTGTGTTGACTATGATCACCATCATCTGTCTTCCTCTGACCTTCGTCTCGGGGTACTTTGTGCGTTGCTTCTGCCCTTCGTTCCTCTGCTGACGAATATCAAGGGTATGAACTTTGACGGTGTTACTTGGACAACCGAGTGGACCGACGTCTTGTACGGGCCCCTTCTGACCGTGTTTTAACCCAACTGACTTCGTTGGCCAGATTCTGGATTATTGCGCTCCCTTGCGTGGTCGTCATCTCTCCGCTCTTCATCATACCCGACATCAAGCGCATGATACACTACTTCCGGACAAGGAGGCTTCTCTCCACAACGGCGAATGTGGGTTATCCCAATCATCCCGATTATTACCTTGCTTCAAGGCTGATGGTTCCAACAGCGGTTTCGATAAGCAGTTGTGTTGATTTTTAGTATTTGGCTCCAAGTTTTGGTCTAACACAGGGAGGATAGTTGGAAACACCATGAACGTATACCGGCCGAAGAAGGTCTTCTGCGCTGCATATATAGTGCAATCACATTCACGTTTGTGGGCAACCGATCACCCGCCAGAGTACCGAAGATCTCTTCTTTTGAATGAAAATGCATTTGTTCAGCGTGGTAATATTGCAACATAAGAGAGGAGGATCTCCGGCTGCCTCAGAAAAAACTTTTAAGGTAAGGTTTTCTTGTTAGAGATGTATGCAGAAGTGGAGCCCCGAATGCAGAACACTGGAATCCGTACTCGCCTCTCAGTCCTCCCAACAGGATTTCATGCTAAGTATGCAAAGACGAGAACCGAGACTGCCTGCAGTGCAGGAGGGCCGACGCGATGCGCAACGGAATTGTATGGCCCATCTTTATACTTTAGCCCACCTCGGGTAACTATAACCCGCCAGGATAACAAAGCTCCGTGAAAACTGTCTGCAACAATTTGAGGCACACTGGGCGTGTCTTAAGCAGAACAATCAAGTGCGTTCATTATTCCATGCCATCTCTTGTAATACTCAAGTCCTCAAGCAATATATTACCGTTATCGCCCAGCAGAGCCTTCATTCAACTCTTGCGTGTTCGAGAAACTGGTTCGTGGCCCATTTTCCCTCCATTGCGAACGAGTGAATCGGGCGGTCACCTATTTTTGCTGACCCTCGATTGTTGCTCTAACTCGTCTTCCGTTTGAATCGTGTTCGCTTCGTGTGCTTATCGTCTCAGAGTGAGGGTCGAGGAGGCAAAGGCCAAAAATCCCGGTCATGGGCTCCAGTAGTCATGCATCGAACATCGAGGTTGTTGGTACTCGTAGCTGTGTGTATTTCAAATTTGATCAAATATTTTATGGAATGGACGACTGTCTCTATTATAATTTTCAGTTCGACTCCTCGATCACAATTTGGGTCTGTTTAACAGAACATGTTTGCAGCAAAAGTTGAGGGCTTCTGCCACTGGCAGTCTGGCACGTGGGAGTACTATCATAACGCTTCAGATAACGGAGGGCGTTCCTGAGTGAAGAAGTCTCGCAAAGATCCAATAGGAATTTGGCGATCTGAACGAGAAGTATACGGCGGAAGGGGTGAGATGCGTTTGAAAGTCCTCGCTATCTGAATAAGAAAAAGTCCTAGTTGAAACCTATGCTTTCGACCAGGTAGGCCCAGGTGGAAGTTGCTTAGATTGCTGCACAAGTCATCAAATCTTTGGATGACTTCGCCTATTGTTGGCCGCAAGGCTGGTTCTTCGCGCACCATGGTATCTACAAGAGGCTCGAGGAAACGGAGAGAGCGCTACGAAGCTGTCAGTTGCGCTTTATGAACGACATACTAGTATGCTTTACGAGGATAGCGCGCTTTTTGCCGCGCCGTCTTGAGTACAGGAAGAGGCTCTTCATCAGGTTGCCGAGAATGTAGATGTCTGTCGGGAATGGGTTACAGCTCAGTCCGGACTTGCGATACTCCGGGGGGGATCTGTCTCCTCCGCGAATGATGGGTTCGAGCGGCGGTCCATTGGCAGGATCATACCGCCTCGATAAACCAAAATCGATGAAGTAATAACGTGGCCAGCACTCTGTCCGTGTAATGTGGTGGGCAGGACGCCTGTCTTCGGGATCTCTGTCTGTCCAGATGGGGTGAAAGCCGTTTGGAAAGAGGAGCGTTGGGTCGAGAGCAAGATTAGGTGCCCAGCAATCCCTGTCAAATATTCGGAAGGGCCGTCAGGTATCAGGGCAAAACACACCGATGAGCGACAAAGTTTTCGTGCATAAATTCCAGGCCCTGGTTCAAGAGTATGCATATCGTGGAGGAGTGAATGAAAAGACACACCTCAAAGATTTGTCTAAAGCAGTCGATCACCTCGCCAACTGTTTGGAACTTGGGGCGATCAAAGTTAATCAAACGAGGCATGACGATTATTTGCTTGTCTGCGTCACTTGGGTCTTGAAGAACATCAAGGATAGGAACACAGTGGTTTCTTGGATTTTTGGCAAGGGGCGGAGATGAGAAGAAGCGCCCTATTTCAACTTCATGTGGGTGGACACGCATCGAAATGGCTTTTAGCATGACAGGGTGCTCATCAGAGATACGATGAGCATCCATTATAGGATTACCCTGTACAGTTATTTAGTATACATCCATTGTTCTTGAGTCACCAACGAGATACGCTGCCCAATAGTCATCATGAATTGTGTCAGGGCTAGGTACATAGTCTGGCTGGTATTTCGGTCGTAAGCGGTAGCCAGAGGCCTCCAAAAATGATCTGCTTTCAAGCCAATAGATGTCGTTGGGGTTGAACTTGCGTGGTGGCATTGGAAGTCCAGGTAAGTCCTCAACACGAGGTGTCACGGAGTCATGTCATCGTTACCCGTACGATCAATCATAAACTGTTATCCTCTGTTATCCATGCAGCCGAACTTTTTAAACTTGACCTATGCTTGTCCTGGTTATTTTCGCTCTCGCCTCATGTCGCATACACTCCGTTTCAGCGTGGTATCTTCTGTGACTGTAGAAACTTGTGCTCGACGACCACTTCCACCATGCCATTGAAGATCCCAAATCTATCGACCACGGATGCAGGACTGGCTCTGACCCAGCTGGAGAACAGTCTTCAGCAGATTGAGGCTACCGGAGAGGCGTGGCAATACAAACAGAGAGAGTTGTCCCAAATAATCGATAACTTTGAACAGTATACTTCCGTTGCTTCACCAGGGTCGCAAACTGAAAAACTCCCTTCAGGTTGTTGGCAGAGAAAGTTCCACTGTATGAGAAATTATCTGAACGCCCAATCCGCGTCGCGTTGGATGGTAAAATGAGGGAACAGGCTCGTCTCTTTTACAGAGATGTGACCGCATTGCGGTGCCGTATCGAGGTATTGTCTTGAGCTGCGGCATTAAAAAACGGTCTCAGCACTCTCCAGATGCATTCTTCCGACGCTTTATCGCTCCAAACCTCCGGAACTGACGAATTTTCGTATTTTAATACTGGTGCTGAAGGTATTTACTGATTCGAATGCTTCGCCGAACATAGACTAAAATCAACAACAGTGTCTGTCTCTCCTTTCAAGTGACAATCCGATCTTATTGCTACCTACTGTTCTAAGCTACTTTTTCAGGAAAGTACAATGGATGAAAAGTGGTGTCTTAAAGTTCGTCTTTTGTGACTGGCATGTATGCTAATAGTACTGATAATAATGACTTTTCAAGGAAAAAAATAGAGCAACTAGTGCGTGTATTGTGCTGGTGGATCATGGATGACCGCTGCTTACTTTTTTTTCAGCAATTGGAAAGCAAGCAGATAATTCCCCGCATGCGAGCATATCTAGCTTCACTATCCGTCAATTTGAATGCCAGTGATTCGGAGACGCCGGCTTCCCTACCCACCGCAGTTGCTCCTGAGTTTCTTTTACCGCCCACCAATGATCGTAATCGTCAAGCTGTTTGTCGTGCATCGTGGATGAGATGCTTGGACTAATGCAATGGTAGAATGGAGAAGAACAATTTTACGTGACAAATTTCTCGGACGCTGACATACTGGATATGAGCCCTCGAAACAGCTCTCTTAGTGCTTCTCCTCCACCATACTCCTTATTCGATCCTAGCGAACAGGTAAGTGATTGATGAAATCTTCATAAAATTATTGACTGTTACAGGCCTGCATTGCGGCATTAACGTCTGAGCATTGGGCTCAGGGTCTACATGCAAGTCGACTGCACATAGCTGAAATACAACTCAACCTTCTGCAGAACGCAACTGCTGGCAATCATAGTCCTCCAAGCTCCCAATTGCGCGTCGTTATCGATGGCCTTGACGCATGCCACGCTCATAACGATGACCCCGACCCAAGGTTCGTGGATTTTCTGGTCTGCAATGACAACGACTGATCAAGTGATCAGGCTTAGCATGATGTCGACAGCCACTTATGTTACGGCCGCGTCCACTCTACCTCCAAGTAGCATTGGGAACCTATCGACGATTCCGTCGTTGGAGTACTTGTAGCACTAAGAGCATAGGAATAAAATGTGTGGAGTAAACAGATGACTTGAGAAGAGGAAATGACTCGCCTGAACATGCACGAGACTTATTTCCCTTTGTTGTAGCGGAAGTTTTAATGTCTTTTCGCGTCTTTGTAGCAAGCCACATCTTGCCTTCTCCCACCACTTTCGTATCCATGGCCTCTACCCAATCCGTCGTGAAAACCCGAGCTGGGCATCGTCAAGGGGAGCAACAAGCGTTAGTGCCAGCAGTCTATATGCCCTCGACGCCAGATTCAACAGCGCCAACCGTCCACATCACGAACATCTACGTCGAGTTGGCCGCTGACGATTATTCTGTTGCTCGAGTTCGCGGCGCGACATCCGGCTTGCCCCGACATTCCCGCCACAGAGCTGAAACGAGGGAAATAGTAGAACTGCGAGAACCAACCACAGCCGAGCGACTGTGTTTAGTCCTGCAGGCCAGCGCTATTGCGACGGTGTTGACCTTGCTCTTGCTCACTGGCGCAGTGTATTGGTTTACGGGATAGTGTGTCGATTCCAGAGGGGACAGAAGAAGCGAAGATACATCTATTCATTTCAAGACGAAGATGGTGGTGGAATTACAGGGTCCGACTGGGGGAAAAATGAGGTTCGGGTTACGACGAGGGGAGTTAGAAGCACACGCACTGTCTGTCCACGATTATGCCCTGTTAGTTTATTGTCCCGCGCAATCATCATCTCGTCCCAGCTCTCTAAGCCATACCGCGGCGGCTAGGTGTTGCTTAACAACATATAGAGGCGCGACAAACGAGCAACAGACCTTCCACTGATTTTGAGCGCGAAAGCTGATGTTTGCTAGTGTTCCTGTCACGCCAAACATGGAAACAAGGAGAACTGAAGCAGTTATGTAGAAGGCGTACCCGAGCCGATAGGCGCGTACCAGTTGGAATTAAAGCCTCCCAGGGGACAGGCATCGTCGTCGGATTCAGAGGTCAAGAAATATGTCACATTCGGTCACGGTCTTCTCTTTCTGATTCTCATGCGCGGCGCGTTTATCGTCGTCGAAGGCCTCGACCGCTCCGGCAAGACGACTCAGGTCGCCAATTTACAAGCCAAATTAGAGAGCTCTGGCACCCCCGTGAAGCTGTTCAAGTTTCCTGACAGAACAACTGCAATCGGCCAAATGATCGACTCGTATCTTCGCTCCCAATCCGAGTTGGACGACCAGGCGATCCACCTGCTCTTCTCCGCAAACCGCTGGGAACTTGCGTATGCTATCTCGCCGCCTCCACGCCTCATCGAAGTCATACCTACCCAGCACGTCGATCGAAAGCTTGCTTGAACAGGGCACGACAGTCGTTTGCGACCGCTACGCGTTTTCTGGCGTGGCGTTCTCTGCAGCAAAGGGCCTGCCCCTCGAGTGGTGTCGGGCGCCCGACTCTGGACTTCCCGCGCCAGATCTGACGATTTTCTTCGACATCTCACCTGAGGCTGCGCGTGCTAGAGGCGGGTATGGAGAGGAACGATACGAGAAAGAGCAGCTGCAGAGACGAGTGAGGGAGCTATTTGACGTGCTTGCGAGCGAGTTCGATGATGAGAGATGGGTTACAGTCGATGCTGGGCGATCGAAAGAGGAAGTAGCTGGAGAAGTATGGAAGTATGCGGCAGCACTGGTGGGGAAAGTATCACCACAGGTTGATAAATTGTGGGTTCCAGCCCTGCAAGGACGAATTGTATGACTATTTCATTGTAAACTGCGAATCAGCTACTTGTTTACTCAGATGTACTCTATGAAATTGTGACTCTCGATACTAAGACTTTCTGAGTAGTCGGTTGACGCAATGGTCGAGCAAGCCGTGACGTAAGTAGCTGTCGACATGATGCTGTCTCTGACCTTCTCTGACTTGCTTTTACTTAGCGGTCGTTTTCGTAGAAAAGGATATATGCAAACCTTGGGTTAGGTATTTCAGTGTCGTCGGACACGTGACTTCCAATTGAAGATCAAAACGGTCAATACTATTAGTGTCCTACAAAAACTTGAACATTGGACTCCTTTTTCATGGGAAGCAATCAAGGAAGCAATTGCGACCAACGTTCATAGTAGATTTCCCTATGACGGTATTTACAGTATGGTCTGAGTACCTCGATTCAGTTACTGCAAGGTAGCCAGCATATATTATGTCGTCACGCAAGTTCTGTACTTGGAGGTACGATACAGCGTTGGTGGGGCAGTTCATAAACAGTACACTTTAATTACATGGAGTACAGAAAGTAAGTCACCAAAAACGATAAGGAAAGCGTAAGCTTGATAACACAGTCCACTTGGTTCACAGCATTCTCGTGGTAACGCTGGCACTCGTCCAGCACTTATCGGAGCTATCACCTTCAGTATCTATATCGTGCTGGTCGTTGCTCATACCCGGAACGACGTCGGAGATAGTGAGGGGGATGAAGGGGGGAGACTTTGCAATTATGGTTGCGGTCCACGTGCGAATTCGGTCTATCAGGATGTCCGCATCCAGCAGCTGGTGGTTGTCATGCTCCACCAGTAGCCAGGCATACTCTCCGCCGGCATCACGCAGCAGCTGGGCCGTGCGCGCCAAGGTTTGCACGGTATCACTGTCCAGCTGAGGGGCGGGAGGGGGCGGTTTTGTCAACAGCTGCCGGCCGAGCTCACAGACTGCAGCCCAGAAACCGTAGTCGAGTAGTGCTTCGCCGAAACTGATCAGCTGGGCGGCCTCTTCGGCCCGCTCTGGCGCGGTAGCAATTAGGTGCTCGACGGTGCACCCGATTGTGACGAGCACGATGACTTGGAGGGTGCGGGGGGGTGAGTACAGGGCTCGCACGTGCCCAGTCCCACGCTAGCCCAAGTGGTGAAAGGTGGCCCGGTTCGGCGGCCACAACGGGCCACTCTTGCATGGGCGTGGTGCGCAGGACGAACTGGAGGTAGGCGGTGAAAGGGTCCAAGCATGTGTGAGGGTTATCGAGGGAGCCGTACTGGTGCACCCAGTCGAGGCGGCTGAGCATGAGGGCGCGGTAGTCGGTGGAGGTTTTGTTGCCGTCATGATGCTTAACCCAGGTGCGAGCGAGACTGAAGAGTACGATCGCCTTTGTGGCTGCGTGCGAAGCGGTTGCGTGGTAGGAGGTGTTCTCGAAACATTTTTCGATGGCGGTAGCGATCCCATACACTTCCGCCACCCGGACCAGGTTCTGTAGCCCGACAGGGTCCCCGGTATCATCCGATGCCAGCAACGCAGCCTTCATCTTGCCTATATGCAGAGGAGGGGAGGAAATCATATCCCTCAGCGCTGCAACGGCATCCACAAGAGTGAGTCCGGTGCAGACTCCGCCGAGCGCACCAATAGCCTGGGCAAACTTCGTGATGGTGGTTTCCGACATCGAGGACTTGGACCGCTCCTAGATGTCAGTTAATGTAAAAAGAATTTTAATTGAATTTTAAAGAAACGCTTGCCATAAGTAATAATAATAATCGTGTCACGCCGTGACCGTGACAGCGTGACACGCCATTTTCCTTGTTCGACGCGTTGCCTTCAAGGATGTCAACGCGCAAGTTCAACCCCAACGATATCTACTTGCTTGAGCACAGATCATTTCTGGGTATCGGTTGCGGCTGAAATACCAGCCTGACTATGTTGTTGGCCCTGATACACGGCGGGATGTCTATTGGGCCGCACTTTTTTGGTAATTTTTGGAAGGGATGTTCAAGCTTAATTTACAGGGTCATCCTATTATGGACGCTCATCGTATCGCAGACGAGCGTCCCGTCATGCTCAAAGTTGTCTCCACCCAGGTTCACCCACATGAGGTTCAAATAGCGCGTTTCTTATCTTTTCCGCCCCTTGCCGACAATCCAAGAAATCACTGTGATCCTATTCTCGATGTTCTTCAAGATCCAACTGATGTTGACCAGAAAATTATTGTTATGCCCGGTTTAATTGCCTTTGATCGACCCAAATTCCAAACTGTTGGTGAAGTGATCGACTTTTTCAGGCTATTTGAGTGCCTTTTCCTCGTGCAAATAGCACGCACTGTGCGACATGTGCCTCCCATTCCGTCGTACAATCTTTGTTTGGATCGACGGCTTCCCGCAGGGACCCATGCGGGAATTCTACACGCAAGAGCGGACGCTTCCTGTGGCATCCTGACACCCGTTGGCAATGAATACCCACTGGAGCATGGCATCTGAGGAGTGTACCTATAGAGAATATTCAGATAAACGAGCTTCTAGACCTGGTAAGGAAAATGTCAAACCATGACAACCTGCCTCAGTTGAGCGACATCGCGATAAAAACTGTTTGTCGGTCTCGCTATCCACCATGTTGCACAAAGGGCTATGCTGCGAGAAATCTTCGCAGATTTCTGCTCCTCGGTCCTAGGCACATTCGCGATGCGGTCCTTCCGATTTTACGGACAAACATACCGTCATAACACGTCGATAATGTGCAGCACTTCTGCCTGTTTGTATTGCCATGCATCGCCAGTGGTTTCGATATCCTGAAGGCTTTCTTCCAGTAAGTAACTTCAACGTGAATCCTGCGTTTGTGGTCAACAGGTTCAGAAACATGGGGGGGAGAGAGGAACTTGGCAAAATACAAATTTTCTAGACCAACTTTTGTATCAAAACAAGGACCAAAAATATTCATGTATATTCACTTATATGATATATATCAGGGCCCTGGACCATATTTTTTGGTCCTCATTTTGATGCAAAAGCGGTTCAGAAAAGGGTGTTTGATCTGCCCCCAAAGTGGGTAACAAAACTAAGTCCATTTATGGCATCTATTTCTTATATAAGCAAGCAAATTTGGAACAATCTTTTTTGGGTGCAAATAGAGGCATAAAAAAATTTCTTTTTTTGGTGCATGGATTTTAAGTGTATAATCGATCGAAAGGGGTGCCATTTATTCGAGAACTCCTGCAGTGGAGTGTACTTGAACGCGGGCCTCCGAGAATCACGGAGGATCAAACCCCATCCCAAAACGGATATTTGGTGATGTCAGTGTCATACCGTCAGTATTACTGCAGTATTTGAGGACCCCTGATTATGCCCCCAAGAGGTAGGATACCAAAATCCAGACAGATTTTGGAAAATTTCAACCTAGGTTTGACCAGAATCCGGACAAAAATCGGGTTGGAGCCAAAAAAGTTAGAACCAAAGTCCGGACAAGAGATTTTACCCTGAGACAGGTCGGAACCAAGTCCGGACAAATTTTCCTCAGTTGGGTCAGTTTGGTGGGCAATTCACATTGAAATAGACCACATTTGAGAAAAAATCAGGTGGCACATAACGGCTATCAGAGCCTGAAAAACTGTTCTTTAGCTATAATTCTACCTTTTCTCGGCTAACTTTCGCTAATTTAGCACTTTTTGTCAAGGTCGGATGCGAATCCAGACAAATTTTGCACCTTCGGGGTAGGTCGGATCAAAATCTGGACAAAACGATATGTGTTTGGCGTCCAAAAAATGCGGACAAATTTTTCATTTCACCGATTTCAGAATCCTACCTCTTGGGGGATAATCAGGGGTCCTAGTATTTGCCCACAGCACCAGTATTTAGCCAGGAACTTGACCACGTTGGAAGCGAGTGGGCCCAGCATGAGGCAAAAGATGTTCACAAGACAAAGTTAGAAAAAGTTTAAAGTGCCAGCAGCTCGGCCAGCGGCGATTTCCGGCACTGGAAATGGACAGGCCGTCATGTGACAGTGTGACGGCCTGTCACTCTCAAATGCCACCACGAGACTTCAACCCCAGTGACATCTACTGGCTGGAAAAAAGAACATTTTTGGAGACCTTGGGATACCGCTTGCGGCCCAAATATCAACCCGACTACGTCCCTGATTTCGCCACACGTTATGATGACTACTGGGCAGCACATTTTGTAAGTTTTAGTCCGCAAATGAGATATTCGCTCGCTCACCGTAGAGGGTTATCCGATCATGGACGCTCACCGGGTCTTTGATGACAAACCTGTTATTTTGAAACTCATTTCCACTCGTGTCCACCCACACGAGGTTGAAATAGCACGCTTCTTCTCATCTCAACCCATTGCTGACGACCCAAGAAATCATTGTGTCCCTATCCTCGACGTTCTTCAAGATCCCAACGACACAGACAAGCAAATCATCGTGATGCCTCGTCTCGTCAAGTTCGATCAGCCCGAATTCCAAACAGTGGGCGAGGTGATCGACTGCTTTAGGCAACTATTCGAGGTCGACACTTTCTTTGATGAGGGTCCGAAGTATTGAGCTTTGGACTAGGGACTGGAGCTTATGCATGAGAACTTCGTGGCTCATAGAGATTGTTGGCGGTATAATATTGCTCAAGATCCCACTCTACTCTTTCCAAAAGGCTTCCACCCCGTATGGACCGACAGAGACCCTTCAAACAAGCATCCCGCCTACCACCTCACTCGGACCGAATGCTGGCCGCGCTACTTTTTCATCGACTTCGGCCTATCACGGCGCTATGATCCCTCTAATGGACCACCACGTGAGCCCATTATTCGTGGAGGGGACAGATCTCCTCCAGAACACCACACGAATCTGGCCTGCAACCCGTTCCCCACGGATATATACTTTCTGGGCAATCTTCTCAAAACGCAATTTCTCTATTCCAGAAGGCTCGGTAAGAGACAGCATGTGCTTTTGGTAAACTACATGTCGTCTACAAAGACACACTAACGGTGCTTATAGTCCTCTCTCGGCTTTTTAAAGCCTCTGGTCGATGCTATGGTGCAGCCAGGCCCTGCTCTGCGGCCCACGATTGGTGAAGTCATACAAAGATTCGATAAGTTATGCAGTAGTCTGAGTGAATTTCACCTGGGCCTTCCTGGCCGAGCGCATAGATTCCACTTCGGACTTTTCTTCCGTCAAATAACACGGACCTTGAAACGCGTACCACCTCTCCCAGCGTCTAGTCAGCGTCATGATAGGCAGATTCCTGCAGGGTCTATGCGCGAATTTTTCACACAGGATCGCGAAAGCATATCAGATGGACGGTCGTTGTTGCTGCATTAGACACGTTTTTCGGAGTTCCAAACTTCAAATTAAACTAAAAATACAGACTATAACATCTCAATCGAGGTCTTCCAAGCTGCGAGCGTTCTTGGTGTCCTTCAGGAATTGCTTCAAGGTCTGGAGCTCGTCGGCGTCGAGGTCGGAGAGCGAACGTTTGGAGCTCTGATGCTTCTCAACGAAGTCGAGCAGAGTGATCATCTCGTCGGTGCTCAGGTCTGTCCATGCACGTGCGCTAGAAGAGATGTCAGAAGAGCATCGGTAAAGTCAACAAAGGACACACTCAAGCTCAACATCACGCTTGCCGCTGGATGGTGGTTAGTTAGGTCTTCGGGACAGAAAAAATGCGCACATGTTGAAGAGTTTTGCGAGAATGGGAAGAATCTTCTCGAGCACGTTGCCCGAGCCAGCGCCGGCACCAGCGCCTCCAGCAGTCGCTTTAATGATTTGGCCCAGGCCGTTCTGGATGTCCTCCAAGATTCCACGGGGACTGCATCGGGGTGTCAGCCGAACGATGATGTGATGCAAAAGACGCACAGAAGACCGTCTTGCTCGCGCTTGGCGAACAGTTTGGTGAGGATGGGGAGGATGGTTTGAAGAGTGCTGGCGATGTCGTTTCCGCCCTCACCACCGGCTTTGCCTCCACCCAGTCCGCCAAGGAGACCACCGAGACCACCTAAACCAGCGCCGAGGCCGCTGCCAGCTCCATCGTTGGCGCTGCCTCCGCCCAATCCGCCGAGGAGGTTGCTCAAGCCGTCCTTGATCGAGTCAAGGAAGCCGCGAGATTGAATGTCGAGGTCTTGTCTATATCTTACTTAGCGCAAGTACATATACTCACAAGACGACTCACCCAGCGACCGGAGCGGGGATGGGGGTCGAAAGCGTCGGCGCAGCAAATGCAACGAGGGCCAAAGAAGCAACAAGTGATTGAGAGTACATTCTGAATTACGAAGGGGGGGTGAAGAACGAAGTTGAGAACTTGAAGAACGAAGGGCGGACGAAACGAAGGAAGTGGAAGACTGCAATGGGTGAGCAGAAAAAACGACGAGGTGTGGGCCAACATACTGCCTGATCTAGGGGTCCGACATCGCAACCACCTTGCTTTTATAGCCCCTCGGCTGTATTGACGACTGCATGGCGCCAAGCCCATTCGTCTGTGTCGCATCACGATCGTGCTTATGGGTCTGTTTGGCCAAGCCTGACAACGCTTTTTTGGTGAGCAGAGGAAACCGAGTGGAGTCCTGGCCCAAGTTTATGAGCTCAACATGTACAGACTCAGAATGGAGACGCTCTCTATCCAACGCTTTCCAGTCCAATAGAGATGGCGAGGGTTGCAGGTTATCTTTCTGGTTGCGTGGTGTAATTGATCAGCACGCACAGATTGGGCTCGCCAAGCAAAAATGTCAGAGGTAGTCGAGCCAACGGATTGCGGGATGTATAGCAACACCAGTTTCGAGCATATGGAAGGCTCAAACTGCGAGTAAGAGCCTGCGCTGTTCTACGCTGTTGCGGTATTCAAAGAGCGTTGAGCCAGTCACAGTCCCGTGATGTTGTTTGTCGATCCTCCTCAGAGGCCGAGGCGTTGGCATGGAGATTCTAATTTAGGACATGCTCTGAGCTCGAAAATAAATATCCACATTATGAGAGCTGATCGGCAGCCAGAACCGAGCTACATATGTATAGCGTAAGGGTGTCAAATAAATAGCGATTGTTCAGAGTTGGCTGGGATTCAAAGCATTGTAAGCCGGGCAAAGGTTCTTCCACGCCGCTGAGTGACAATTTGAGAGCGGAAGGACAAAGGGTGGGGATAACGACGCACCAGGAGTATCTTGCTTGGAAATGGTGGGGATGTCCTCCGCGAAGACGACAGCAAGACCGCTATAGGGCTTAGCGTGCTACGAGGCACGGCGGAACAACTCACATGTCCATATGGAGGTCAATGTGGCTAAACGATGTGGTTAGTTCCCAGTGGACAGCTTGCGAGGTCTTGCTCACCAATGCAAAAACCACGGGCCTGCATTATCGGTAACGAACCTGCTGGCCGGTCAGTAGACGCTCACGAAACTGGAACAGGGTCCCAACCGGAAGGTGACGTTATCTCCGGGGAAGCCTGACGACTCATTAAGAACAAACCGCAATCGGTGAAGAAACTGTGTGGAATTACCAGTATTGACGACGTCTCGCACTATGGGATCGATAAAGTTGTAATCGCTCATGTTCGTGCTTCGGACAACAAAGAAGTTGTGCTAGTACTGCGTGAATGACTCGGAGATTGAAGAGTATGAACGCACGCCATGAAGATGGAACGGATGGGGACCTGCGGGGTCAGCGCCTCCCGGAATGCTAACCTCGATGACCTTGTTGGGCGGGAGGGCAAAGTAGCTACCGGCTGGCAAAAGGTCAGATGCCAGATGAGCTCCGCTGAGGATTTGCAACAATGCAGGAGCTGTTGGGGGCGTGAATGACTGTCCGTTAATGGTCAACTTAGAATATCAAAATGCTCAAACTACTCACAACGCCGTTGAGCGAGAATCTCAGCGTGTTGAAGTCAAGGCCGATGTTCAGATTGATATTGACGTCCGCACCGCCGACGAAGGGCCTTCCGGGAACTACTGTTGGCACTAGTGGTCGAAGATCAGCCTCGTTTAGTGGACGAATGCTGGGTGTTTGCTTGGTCTTTGGTTCACTGCTATCGGCGCGGGAGTAATGCAATACGGCAGAATTGACGCCGTTGTCGAAAGTCGTGTCGCCAATGTTGGGGAGTGAGCGGACCCAGTAGTTGACTTCTGGTTGGTTGGCATCTAGGATGAAAGAGTAGCGTTGACCGGTGCTATATCACCTTGCATGAGATAGAAACATTCAAGTAAAAAAGGACGAACTAAATTTGGATGGAGTCGACAATGAGCGGCTGGGGACGTCAGTTATCAAAATGCGCCAATAACAGTAGACGTTAACCTGCGTTAAAACACCGTCAGCCTCAATGATTGTCATGGAGTGTCTGAATCATCGAAACTTGAAATCATCGAATATAACAAGAGGGCATACTCGTCGATGCTGAAAACAAAATTGGGTCCACACGACATGGAGATCAAGCGGAATCGGTACTGTGGTTCTATAAGTACCCCTCTCCATTTACAAGCAAGAGACGCTTACACGTAGGCCCTTTTGTACATTAATGACGGCAAGTTCAGCGGCAGGCTAGGATATTTGCTTTAGAGTGCGGGAGATGAGGGTGCAACGAGACCAACACCGCCAGTGAAACGGCCTTTGCCATTGACTGTGGTAAATGCTGAGCTTCCTGTTTCACCTGAGTTTCGTAGTGAGCTTACTCAGGTTGGTCGTATATAGTGGGAATGCAGTGCCACGCGTGGGCTGGTGGAACCAGTCGGCCAGAGCGATGATGGTTGTGACTGTACATATGTGTCAGTCAAGACCCCGACGGTGAGATGGAGAGAGAAACCAACAATCATCGACATCCTGTTGGTTGAGAGTCTTTCCAAATCAAACTCGAGCATCATAGACAACGGCTCACGTATTCCCGCTAATAAAAGACAAGAGTCAATACTGGAATCACTATACTGAAAGAAGAAATACCCAGTATGGATCATTAGGATCATAGACTAAAACATGGTTAGTTGCTCTAAGTTCCCGCGGCGAACACAAACAGAAGACACGAACTGATCAGCGGTGCACGTAGGCCCTGTTGAGCAGTCAAACGAGTGCAGCGCGGAATATGAGAGGTGGAGGCTTACATCGCATTGTTGCATAGCTGTATTCGAATGAGCATGATTCCGTTTTATAAAGGATTAGAGACGTACAGAGATGGGAGTGGTACCAAAAAGTGCCTGCCTTGTTATGGTCGAAACAGGATCAACGACTCGATTGTGGCTTGTGGCTCACCTGCCTGCGAAGTGGTCAGTTGGATGAAGAACCTGAGGAATCAAACAGTACGTTGGAATGAAATCATATGTGAATGAATTATTCGGGATAATTGGACATTCTGTCCAACAATTAGCCTGAACTAGCTTCAGCAGCAACCTACGAGTAACAAAGGCGGCCCCATCATCATAAGAAGAACCCTTCATCTAATACGATGTAATTAGCACGAGCATAATCAGCCGCTGACGTCGAAAACCCCTCACAAACAGTCCATGCCAATGAATGGAGGTGCTCCGGAACATGGTGGGGTCCGTTAACTCGTTGATCACATTAACCACCATACGATCGCCCTGAATTGACCTTCATTGGAAAGAATTCGAACCCAGACGAGCATCTCGCACCTTATTGATCGAGATGGCTGTGCCAGGAAATTTGCCATTGGCGAGGACGGCTCTGTAACTTCCATTGAAAGAGAAAGGATGAAGCAAAAAAAGCGTTTACGAGCGGGGGAATCCATCCACAGAAATATTTTTGTTCGCAATCCTAAGAGTGGTGGTACGAACATCGCCAGCGAAGGCGGAAATCGCCAACAGTGATAGACCAGAAAGAAAGACGGCCCAAGTGCGAAGAAAAACCATGAAGAATGAGGCGAAGAAATTGAGGCATTTTACACCAATTTATAGGAAACCCTCTTCGCATCACGTACGCGAGCTGTCTTCTCGGCCGCCCTTCTCAGATTGTTTTGAAACGATGGATTCAAGAAGAGCGAAAGTCAAGCATGTGATGAGCGATCCGAAACAGGAATGATTGAATAGGCACTCGGTGGGACAACAACTGCTTGAAGGGATTGCTGTGATATCTAGCAGCTTGAGGGCAGACCCTGACTCGGATGCACAAAGCCTGAATAGAAGAAGGAAGCTTAAGATGGGCCAACAACGCTTCGCGTGCTCACATCACAGTCGATATTGATGTTTGTCCAGGAAGCAAGGCACCGAGAGGAGTCTTCACCCGGGTAATCATATGGTAAGAGGTTAATTGGCGAACGAAGGAATTTTATGTTGCCCAATAGCTAAACATTGTCGCTGAGCCGCAGGTCGATGCCCAAGTACATTATTTGATAGAGGAGAAGTTGAGTCCACTTGGGAGACCGGTAGATAGGGCGTTCCGGCACGTATGGTGGAAGGAGACGTTTTGCTCGTCGTGGTTGAATTGCAACTCGATGTCACAACAAATCATGTCACATCTGTCACGCCTCTTCGGCTCCACGAATCACCCACGGCCCACGATGACCTCAAGTCGGCCTCGCTTCGAGCCATTACCCTGCGTAGACATCAACTTACCCGCACTCTCATCTTCCTGGAAGCCTCTACTCTGGTCAGCGGCCGACTTTCCCCCAGAAATTGTGCGACACTCAATATCCCTATAAACTCACTTCTACAGTTCCTAGTTCGAATCCGCGGTCTCGCAATTAGTGAATCATCCAGAGTACAACTCGACACTTATACTCCGCTCCGAAATCATCGCAGAAACAAGCGATGAGTTTCCGGCAGCGATTCCTGCGCTCGATGGCCTCACGCCAATAAAAACTATCCATCGGCGACTTTTGCCCCGACGACCAACGCGTGATGCAGCTTTGGAGCAATACTGCACTCTTTATGGCTTGGATGGCACTCCAAGCACGCTCGTTTTGACCCCCATAATTCCGAATGGCGGTTCATTGCCATATTACCATCCCCCAGTGTCAAACCTTGCATTCCGATACCTTGAAACAACTCCCCCGACTCTTCGCGTTGAAATGATCCTTCTCTCGCCTGACGAGACACCCACCGATCCAAATTCGCGGTTGTATCGCACCGGACTCGCGCTGCTTGACGCAATCCATCGATACGGCTGGGGCGTGCTTAGCAACTACCAGAAGCGCGTTAACCACGATAGAGTCGTGGCCCGGGAGGCATATCAAGACCTTTATCTTATTATGCGCGAAAAGTTCAAGCACATCGTTGACAATTGGGTAGAGACGACCGATCCGTTGAAGCATGTTTTCGAGGACATCGGAATCGCGACCTTCCTGATGGTCTTATGGAGGGACACCTACCCCGCGCTAGACGCATCTCATCCTGACGAACCTTGGCGGGGATGGGGACGGCCCCCAGGGGGATTCCTCGACTTCGGTTGTGGCAACGGCTTGTTGACGCATATTCTACTTTCTTGCGGGTATATTGGCCGCGGGGTTGATCTTCGCGCACGAAACTCATGGTCAACCTACCCGCAATCAACGCAAGACCATCTTGTCCTCGACTCTTTTAATCCTTCCATTCTGGAAACCACCCAATCTATCTTCTCGACCCCTGATCAATTCGTCATTGCCAACCACGCCGACGAGCTTACGCCCTGGACACCGATTCTCGCAACACTGACTCGAGCCAGTGGATTCATCAACATTCCTTGCTGTCCTTGGGTTCTCGATGCGCGATTTCAGCGGGAGAAAGGCCCGGGCCAGCCGGTCCCTCTGGAAACATTGAACCTAGGCGCTGGCGCGGGCATCAGCTCCGGTTACGTGCAGTATCGTATGTGGCTGGCCCAGTTGTGCCAGCACTGTGGGTGGGAAATAGAATGCGAGATGCTGAGAATACCGAGTACGAGAAACTGGGCCATTGTTGGTTCGTAGTTCATCTATTTGTTTCCTGGACGTCACGCTCACTTCAGCTTCCACAGCAAGACGGCAGACCGATGGTATCGACGCCAAGGCCAATGCAGAAGAAATATTAGAGACCATCAACGAAAGGGGCTCATTCAAACCACGCAAGCCGGAGGGCAAGGCGCATTGACACTTCCGACTGCTCACCTTATCTTCGTCGGTTTTTGGACAAATGGTGGGCTAAGATGTCGTTACTTACTTTTTCTGGCCATTTTGTACTCTGCCTCCTACCATTCTGCTCAGAATTAAGTCGACAGAAAACCCAGTCCGCTTTACACCGAAGGCTAAAACTTGATATCGTTGATACTAGTATTCAGAGTTTCAACTAACTACCTGAAAACCAAAGAAAAAAGAAGTAAAGCCACACAAAATACAATGAATTGAGATGATGGTACAAATGAGTATGTGCTTTCTGTATGATTGGTTGTGGGTTGTTGAGTCGTTTACGGGAACTTGATAATGGTACATGTCAGGAAGACATGGTTAGATAACAAAAGGGAAAACAGAAAAAAAGAGGAAAGTCTATAGGTTGCCCACTACTTCTTCGAGCCCCGGCGAGAAGTGGACGGGCGAGTGGGATCTGTGGCGGCGGCAATTCTGCTTGATGTTCGGTTGGGGGCGACTGAAGCCGTGTTCGGGTTATTGCGTGGTTTTGCTGGGGGCTGTGGTTGTGCCCCACGTCGGGGCTGCACTCGCCGCGGAGTTTCTTCTCCAACCACCTTCCGTCGCTTGGAGTTACCAGCTTTGGAAGGTCGTGCAACAGTTGTCGCAGGCAATTCCGCATCACTAGCACTCTCTTCCTCAACCGCGCTGGCGACCCCCTCCGTATCAGACTCCGATGCAGAAAGCTCAGCCAATGCCGAAGGATTGGCTGCCTCTGACGGTGTAGGCGAGGTACTCGCGCTCTCTTCCCCACTTCCAGCAGGTGAAACAAGATCGCGAGAGCGTTTGCGGCCGGCTATCGGGTCAGAATCGGAAACGGAAGAAAGTCTCGACAAAGAAATAGCTTCAGTCCGTTTCGTCCTTGATCTTGTTGTCCTTGGGGTAGTTGGCTCCGGTGTCCGTAAAGTAACGTCAAACTCGTCGTCTTCAGAATCATCTTCGTCATCATCTTGGTCCATTTCGCCTTCATAGATCCCTAATGCATTTCCTCTCATGTCGCTCGCGCCTCGCGAAGAGCCGGGATTTAAGAGCTCAGGCAGCGACGGGAGCGACTCTCCAAAACTTGATTGATGCGAAACTTCCTCATCTTCCTCTTCCATTATTGGAGCAAATTGGGGAGGCGCGAGCGATGATGAAACAGTGGCAGATATTGGCAAAGGCCGAGAAAGTGGTGTGGCTGGATAGGCCGACGGAAAAGCAGGGTACTTTCTCCACTCATCCATCTGTTTTCTGGCCTCCTCCGAAATGACTGGTTCTGGTTCGGGAACACTCGTTCGAATGGGAAGCGGCGTGGGAGGGTAAGCCGAAGGTATCGGTGGGTACTGTCTCCATTCCTCCATTTCCTTTCGAGCAAGTTGTGCTTCGGGTGTTTCAAGAGGGATTTGCGGGACAGGCATTGGGGGCGGGTCGTCGTCATCTTCGTATGCAGCGCGAGGCGGGTGCCAAATTTGATAGAGCGATGCTGTCACTGAAACTGCCGCGTGCTGAGGACTATCCCCGACTGCAGAACGACGTTTGCCACCACCTGGCTGGAGAGAAATAGGATGGGAAATTGGCTCCGAGTCTTCGACTGGTGTCCAATATGTATTCCACCATTCTGCTGCGACTCGGAAAGGATAGGCAAGCAGCAAAAAGATGACGTCGCCGAAAATGCGGCCCACGTCGGCAACTGCATCAAGCGTGGCGGTGTAAGGACGCAGCAGTGGTCGAATAATATGAAGAAAGATGGGTTCTGCGCCCTGGAATGCAAACGTGAGTCAAAGATTATAGGAAAAAATGATGCATACCCTCGCCCGTGTCAAAATAAGGAAGAGCAATACCAGCGACTTGCAAGAGTCATAGAATGGGATAAATAGCGAGATTAAGTTCTCCACAGTGCTCTCATAGGCCACATAACAATACTTTTAAGCCGGATAAGACGAGTGAGATAGAATATAAGTCAAACACGCACCCAAACAAGCCACACTGCGAGGCATCCCTTCATCTTGCGTTTCCTTTGTGAAAAGGCTCGCTCCGCTGGACGACCATCGCGACTGCGAGCAGAGACACGAGGCGGTTTGAGCACCTTGTAGGTGTCATACACGTTGAGTGCAAGCATAAGAAGGCGTAAAGCCGGGACAATGAGCGTCATTGTTGTCGATGTGCTCCCAATATATTACGGTTGGATGGAGCGGATGGTGAAGATTGGTAGATGAAGTATGTCTGGTCCGTTTGGAGTGTGTGAGTGAGCGAAAAGACGGCGCTGGGCTGTCGTGGGCGTTCAAGCCATCGACATTCAAGGAGTGTCACACGTGTTACAGCTGACTAAGCGGCCAAGGAAACACTTGGGAGAAAGGCCGACGCGGTGCGCGGCGGATACGAGTACTCAATTGCACAATACTATGAGTAAAGGGTGCATACGAGCCCAACCCACACACCCAACCCTAGCTCGGCACAACAAAACAAAAGCAACTTGAAATGTCTGACGATGCGTCAGACTTGGACAGTCCAACCACTTCCAAACAAGTGTGAGTTGGACACCCACCAATGCCGCTTTACCGTTTAGCAGACAAGAACAAGCATTCCTATTTCAAAGGTTGGCTGGCGCTGGGAGCTTGAACAGCCTTGGAAAGTCGATAGTAAGTACAATTCCTCGCGATATATTGATGTACTTAGTGCCATAGTTGCTATACCTTACTTCTATCCAAGCCGCGCTTTCGTAGTAGGCCGCAAACAACTGAAGCCTAACTTGAAGGTGAAAAAAGGCTCTCGACCGGCGACCACAACCCAAACACGTCCGAACTCAATCTTTGGCTCCACTACGGTCACCGCGACCAAATCATGATTCAGATTCGATATTTGAGGTTGTATCCTCAGGCTTGAACATTTTGTGGAGGAATGGTCGTCACGAATGTTTGCAGATGTCTACTAGGGTTAGGGTTGAGTGTATTGAAAGACTACAAATATGATCTAATGGAATTTGAAGACGAGGGGTTTCAAATTTGTTACATTTTAGCTACGGCATTACAATTTTAGAGCGTGACAAGAGAACTGAAATTTGCGCTGGGAGGGGTGTGATGGACGATTACTAAAGTACTCGTAAACTTTTCCAGGACCAATTCAACGGTACAATTTACAAGATTTGCTAGTAATTTATCGAACTTAGAAAGAAATAAGCTATAAATATATGTAGTCAGGTTGCCAGTGAAAAAATATGTGCAACGAAGGCGAATGCTGATCACATTTTCCGTTTTTTTGGGGGGGAGAGTTCATAGACCACCGACTTTATACTCCTCATCATCCTTTGAACCAATCAACATCTCGTAGGACAACACGAAAAGAAAAAATAAGCTCACTTCTGGCTCCACATCCCGCATAACGTGCGTAGAAGTCGTGATATGCACCTTGTGTGAAGGCTGTTGTGTCGAACGAGACGAGTTAAAGCCAGCCTCAAGGTCTCCACTGTCAGGAGCGCCGCCATATCTTCGCCATTGGACCTCTGACGACGCCTGTCTAGCCGCAGCTCCAGCAGCGCGAGTCTCGTTCAAGTTGACCATCGCAGCGCCCCCATTCGAGCCGCTTTGACCACCGCTACGTGGACCGTTATCAATCCCAGCGCGAGCGTTGAGCGTGGTAAGGAGAACGTTGGTGTACAGTTTACCGAGCATCAATGCTCTAATGATCGAGAGGTTAGACGCATCTCGTCCCGAAAAGTTGAGGACATACGGGGTTTGATGTAGATTGGTTTGCGGCAGAAGAATGAACAGAATGACATCTGCGACGGCGACGAAGGTGGTGATAGCCCCAGTTTCGATCGTGTTGTAGATGAGCTTCGCCAGGAGGCCATCCATCCGCTTCCAAGGAGTATTTCGACGGTACTCCGTCAACTGGAGAGCCGTTCAATAATCGGTACACAATTGACTCAAGGGAAAGCGTACAATTCCTAGTAAAGTGACAGTGATGACGATGTCGCACGCAGCGCTACCAATGAGCCAAACCTACAAAATGGTAAGGAAGGCAAATGAGGCAGACAACCAACCCACCTTTACGCCAATCATAAGCGAGGCAAGTTCTGAAAGTTGCGTCGTTATCGCAAATCGAGCATCGGTGATGAAGGCAGCGAGGCTTTGCATGAGAGCAAGCTAGTATACCGCCCATCAGTGAAGACGACCTAGTTGCAGGTAACCAAAGCAAACCATGATGATGACAACGCAAACGAAACGAGCCCAAAGACGAGCGCCTTTCAGAGCATGAATTCGCCTACCAATGAGTGAGCAATATAAACTGGAGTTTAACATGAAGGACTAACCAAGCATAGAAAATTTGCACAGAGGCGGAAGCTAGAGTAGACCTATGTTGATAGAATATCATTGATTCGCAAAGACACGTACTGATGCCAGTGAAAATGGGTACCGCTAAGCTTGACCAAGGTAACTTTGCGAATATTTCGGGTTGTCCCCAGTTGATCACGAGGAGGGAATAGGCAAAGTGGGAGGTGATGGCGGTTTGAACGATCTCTAGCGTAAATAGAGTGAAGACTGATCGAGACCGTGAGCACGGGACAGACAAGAAGAACAATACATACCTAGAGCACGAAGCCACCAGCGCTCGTTCGGGAATGTGACGTGGAATTTATCTGGACGGCAGGTCAATGGGAACTCAGGCAACACTAAAGAAGAAACTCGCAGACTTGGACCGCAAGAGTTCCCAGCAACAGCCAGTTGGCTTGGGTTCCAGCTAGCTGAAGAAAACGTAAATATCCAACGCAAGTAACAAGCACGTCGACAGACGATCGGTGCGGTGCTATGGAAATGATTGAGTACAACTCGTGGCGAGTGAGATGGAAGTACGTACAAGAGTTCGAACTGTACCATCGCACACTTCGATTGCGGGGGACAACGAGAGGGAGATGAAGGAATGGAAGAATAGAGAGGTGGGCTGGCGATACATTCACAAGGCTGAGCAGTATTTAAACCGCCGCAAACGAGCTGCCTTGGAGTGTGTCACCAACACGGCGGATGAACTTCAATAGAATTCAGAACAAGGACTCTAACGAAATGAGGAAACGCACCATGCAAATCACTTGATGCTTCCAACGAAAGCAAATTTATGTTGTGTGTACCTTGACGCGCTATAGATCTCGTTTGTCGACCATTTGACCTCCTGACGCGGTGGTCATTCGTTGACAGAACCAAGGGCATCATAATTCCAGAGAACCATGCAAAGTGCAAATGTAGTTACACCAGATAACGACCACGGAAAAGTCGTAGAGAGTCACGAAAATTGGGTTCCTTTCCTTGCCTGGGAGCGGCGACTACCGTGGACAGGAACAAGGTTGCTTTGGAGTTGCCAGGTGGGTGGCGGAAGAAGAAGGAGTGGCACAGCCACCGCATGTCGTTCTTATTCCGAATCTGGCAATTGTTGTTTTGGGAGATTCTTTGGGTGAACGCCGCTGTCGATGTGTGTAAGTCACCGCCACTTTGCCAAAGGGATTGGTATAGTATAGACATCTGTTGTCACAGCTAAGATACTATAATCTACCATTCTGGATATGTAGCTGGTGTTGGAACCACCGAGTCTAGATACCATGGTGTGGCCTGGCCGCTTGGCTCTTGACCCAGCCGCCTCGCGGGCATTCTTTCGAAGGGTGTTATGGTCCTTGAGCCGGAGTGGAGCATTGTAGACTCGACAATCCTCCGTCCAGATGGGTCAGTGCTTCCTGCGATGGCCGTTTTTATGTTCATCAGAACGCGAGTGCCCACGACAGATAGCAGGCTGGAGAGCATGGTTTGTAAAAGCAACAGTAGTAACAGCAATACGCACCCAGTCGTAAAGCTGGCAGGGAGAATGAGTTACAATCTGAAAAAACAATAGCTTCGGATGCTCACATGATTGGTAGCCGCGCTAGCTCTGGTGGCCCACGAGACCATACCACGAAATCAAAGATGCAGCAAACTGGGTGATCTCAGTCCGTGCGTGGGCTCTCGTATTTATTCAGAGGAACTCACGGAGGGTAGCCAAGAACCAAAAGACACCATCGCGGAGGAACATCTCCAGCAAGGGGGTGCGACCAAAACCTAATGCATGTATTGTCCTTCCGCATTTATATATCGTGAGTGTAAACATGATGCAAGCCTGGGATATGAGTGGGTTCATGTAAAGCAGTATCGAACGCACGACGATAAGAAGTGGAAGGGAGAAGTACGTCAGAAGTCGAGGGACCTCTGGAGTTAGTTTAAGTTGACCTAGGAAAAAATCTATTATAGAAAAACAAACCAAGTGAATAGCATCCATGAACAAGTGAGCTGTAAAAGAGGTCAAAGATGAAAATGGTATGGAAACCCTTGTAAAAGCACACCCTGCGTGTACGAAGTCTGGATGTCATGTCAGTCAGAACACTGGCGATTAATCTGGTACTCGCGTCGAAGCGGTTGGATAGAGAAGTACCCCACAATCAACCTAGACTCCCATAAACAAGGGGAATCACATGGGCCATCGATATCTTACATGGCAATCATCTCTGCTGCAGGACCGACCAAGTAAGCAACAAATTCAAGACCAATGACACGGATGCTCACCAACAAGAATGGGGAACAGTATCCAAGCCAGCGTCTGAGATCGGCAGTATAGAATCCAGACACTATCGGAGGATGAGAGATCCAGAGACTGTGAACAAGTCTGTTGACGTACCGAATCGCCAGAACAATGTCAGCAGACACGACAACAAGCGTGGATGATGCAGATTGAAACTGCACACATGACATCATCAATGAGGAGGCTGGAAGGTGATTCTGCCCACATTGAGGACACTCTGACAGCTGGCCCAAGAGGACAAGAACTTGAATCAGGGAGACGAGTGAATATGGCTTACTCACAACTAAAGAGTTGGTCAGATGTGATCCCAGGTAGGAGTTAGACATGAGGGTTACCTTGTCCGATCCTGAGTCCTCCACTTGAACGATAACTACACTGGTTTAACGTCTTTCAAACAAGAATGGCTTGCACTCACATACAACATTGATGCTGAAGGCAACACAATGGTGAGCTCGAAGACCTAAAGCCAACACAATCGCACATCATGGTAACGAGGGTGAAGTATCGAATCTGAAGGGGAGCTTTCGGAATGAGCGCCAAAGACTATCGACCAGGCTTGAGTACTTGCCCACAACTGAGCATTGTGAGATATAGCGTCGCGAAGCTGTTATTAGCTCACATAAAATACATTGGCGGGACTGAGACGACTTTTCCAGATATGTTCAATCTGCAGCAACCGAGTAGGCTGAATTAGAATGCGCTAGGTTCGTTAGCGTACCTCATCCGCGAAGGTCAGGACATGATCGTATCTGTGAATGCGTTAGCCTTTCTCATTTACTCGGGCGAGTGCAGTCAACGAACGCAATTATGACCAGACCGGCGACTGAAGCACACTTTAGCAGACACATATCGGCGCGAAGTAGACACCATACGCGAGAGGCTGGTCGTTGTTCGTGCTGCATCGAGCAATCGAAAAAGGTGCTCTAGTTGGGCTTGCTGGGTGGCCATAGAAGATCGGGGAAGCTGCGGGGCAAACTAGAAGATGTGGTGAATCAGGCCTATATAGACGGCGCCGAGTACGCCGCATCGCGACTTGGATTCGATTGATTTGAATCAACAGCTCCGTTGTTGTTATCTGCTCAGAATGCGGCAGATGACGCCTTGCCTCTGATGTTCCTTGTCGGAGTTCGACGACAGTATTCATTGGATGAGAGATAGAGACCCGTGGAAAGTAAATCATCAGACTGCAAAGAACTACCCTCGGGGACGGTTGTTTGTGATTGACCGGCAGAAGAGAGAGGCAGTACCCCTGCACAGGTTCCAATTCATGAATTGGTAAAGATTCATGAAATCATGTTGGCGGAGCAAACCTGGGCTGGAGCTATATATTCAGGTAAGGACATGGCCAGAAATGGATAGTAGATAATACGAACTGTACTATCGGCAAGTAAAAGCCATCGTGTAACACGCCAGATGTCCGATAATTCAGACCACTTGAAGCCTGGGGGACTTTGGGGGGTCGACGTTGAAGGTCGTTGAGCGGGGATGTTGAAAAATTCCATTTTATCGAGTGGAATGATGAACAATGAACATATATCATGCCACAGTCTCGGGTACAGGTCTCAATTCGAGTTGGCTCCCGTCCACACAACATCGTTCTGAGGATGGTTGGTGGTCAAAGTGACGAATCGGATCAACATTTGCACGCACACGTGACTATCGGCTGCTTGCCAACAACCTGCTGTTAGTCACTGCCCAGGGCTGCCACTGGGGAATAGCTGCAGCGTGATATGTAGACTGGACTATGGAAGGTCTTCCTCAACACCGCGCTCAGCGAAAAAGCACTAAGTCATATTACTCTCACTCCCAAGACTTCGAGTTGGTTTGGCTTCATAGTACCATGCACTACCATGCAAGGTATCAACTATGAGCCAGAGCAATATCGCTTTCTGCGCTGGACTTTAAATTACGCCAATGTCGGCGAAAACGGCGCGTGTGAACGCCATCTCTGGCCAGTACCTGTACTTGGGTCAAGTTTAAATTGTAAAAGGATTCGTCGCAATGATTATTGCTGAGTTATGCAGATGATTTACATCCTTCTAGACATGCTTGAAGATTTTAAGCCGCAGCCGTTCCTTCACCACATCCGTCCACTCGTCCTTCAAAATCCCATAGATACACACGTCGGAGTATTTTCCCGTGGCGGGGTCAGTCCACACTGCCCTTCTGGTCCTCTCCAAAGCAGCTCCAGCGCGTTCAAGCCAGCCCCTCATTGGTACATTGTCGACGCCCGTTTGAAATTCAGCTCTGTTCATCTGCCGCGTCTCGAATACATATTCGAGGACCGTATAGAGCGCATCAGTCGCCAAGCCCCCGCGAGCACGTTCTGGCATGATAAGAATACCGACCTCACAGCTATTACCGTAGTCGGTATCGATGCGAAAAATGCCCGTTGTCCCAACAAACTCGCCGTTGGTTGTATGGATGTGGAAGTCAACAAGAGACGGGTCAGCTTGCCGCGACAACCGGCGCTGAGTTGCAGCAGCGAGGTCGACAGTGTCAGGGAGGAATCGAAGATAGCGGCGTGTATCGGGGTGAGAGCGCAAAACAGAGACATAGGGGTCATCTGCTTCATTTGGCGGGACGAGCGAGACCCGACCAGATTTCGAGTTGATGGTCTCTGCCAGGAACATGGCGGTACAGAGCAACAACTAATTTGATGTGACTCAGAAAATGACAAAATCTCCGCCAACAATCTCAACCTGCACCCCTTCGCTCCTCAACTCGCGGTAGACGGAAAGCCGCCTTTCCGAAAACTGGTATCGCATGCTCTCCGTTGTTTCCGTGACGAGTCGCAGTGACTTTGGTAACTTGGCATCCGGCAGAGATTCTCTCCGCTGCTTGAGCTTCAGGCCTACATAATCCACCAGAATGTCCAAGCTTATTTGGTCTGGGAATTGGCAAGTGATCGCGAGGCATTCCAGGTTAGGCAGGAAGCCTGCCTGACCAGCGTATTCTCGGAGCAGGTCCCCCAGGAATGTTTGTGACGGGGAGCAGAGCGTCAAGTCGAGGAGACTGGGCAGCTGGGTGAATGTATCGATGGAGACATCACTAAGGACTTCTCCGCTTGTGAGAACTAGTTTTTGTAAAGGGCATCTGGACCGGCGGAAAAACAAGTCTAGCGCGTCCCCGTCAATCTCGTCTTTGAGTTCGAGTGTGATTAGTTGAGGGAAGGTGAAGCATTCGAGGGGATGCGAAAGGTCGTTGGGTGACCCCTGATCAGTGATGCAAAATCGACGAATATTTTCGTAGACGACGGGGTTTGGACTCTCCTCCCTCCCATCATCGGGAGCAGCATACATGACTAGTTCCATATCCTCTGCATTTGCTAGCAGGTCGAAGACTTGCAAACTTTCGCGAGTGGTATAAAAGGCTCCGTCAAATTTCGCAACATTAGCCCAAGGGACGTCAAACATCGATGGGAGCATAGAGGACAGCTCTACGTCACGAAGCGTTGCTGCGGTGTGGAGAAATGTGAAAACAGGAGTGAATGTTGGCGTAATCTCGTATAACAGACCAAAGCTGAATGTCTTGAGCGAGTCCCACTGGAAATCGAAGGTGTCCAGCCGCAACAGATCCTCGGAAGACATGTTCAACTTGAGAGACCGTATTCGAGGCGAGTATTTTTGCAATATTGCGAAGAAGCCATCAGCCGTCGAGGCTTTCGTCCAACCCAGGTCTCCAGAAATATTGACGGCCAAGGGTAGGTCTCCGGACCTCGAGAACCATAAATCCAACAATCCAAAGATGTTTTTCCATCCCTTCTCCGGCATCCAAGCTCTGACCCACGTCCATAGCGCTGGCGTCGATATAGCAATAGCGCGCCATAAACGACTGATTCTGGTATGCACGATTGGCGCCGAATCGGTTTGGAAACAAAATCCAGTTGTGGGGAGAGAATGCACGCATATTTTGGATATGATTTCGGTTGGTAGAGTGAGGATGGGGTAGGGAATTGAGCGTAGTTCTTCTTGAAGGAGATCTAGCTTTGTCTGCATCTCGTTCAATAACTTCGTTTGGCGGGTTATCGCGCGGGTAAGCTCTTCAATCTCTACCCTAAGGGCTGCAGCTTCAGTCATGATTACGACGAAGAACGATGGAAGTGAAGAGCAGTGAAGAGCTTGAACGAACTGTCACACAGGGTAACACCTTTTACCACTCAACAGCTCTCAACAGTACTCAATGGAAGAGGTTTGCCATAAAATAGGATAATTATACAGAAGCCTGCATCACCAACAAACTAGCGCTTGTTCCACTGGCAACCAAAGCGGCTCCGACATCGCCAACAGTCTTGCTCAATGCACTGACTATTTGCGTGCCCTTCCCGCTCACCAAGCTCGCCAGCTCATTCTTATGAGACTCCACCGCCATCCTCCTTGATCGTCCAACAAACACAATTAGCGGGCCAACAGCGGATTCAGCATCAACAAGTTCGCATATGGCGTGCAATGGCTTTGGCGCGTCTTTCTTTTGGAAGGTTGCACGTGAGGGAGCAGAGGCGGAGAGACGGTCCCACAGAAGATTGTCGGCGGTGTCGCTGACCATGCGGGTTTCCGTGGTTTGGTGACCGTAGACGGTATCAGCAGCGGCCATCGTTTGGATAGCACCAGCATTTGCGACAAGACCATCAGCGCCACTAGTGTGAGTTCCCTCTGTCTTGCGGACCCACACCACTGTTGCTTTGATGCTTGGGTTGGCTGAAAGTATCTGAACGAGGAAGCTGAGAGCAAGACGGTCATCGGGACCTCCGATGAATGCCAAGAATAATCTGTGCTCAGCTTCTGCTCCGGGGGTGAGACCACGATCAACGAAAAGAGCAACATCTGTTGGAGCTCGCACGAAGATTTTGCGAATCAACTCCGAGTGAACAACGGAACTTGTCTGGTCCTGTGTCGTCGTTTTATGGAAGACGCCATCAAACGGATTCCTAGCGCCATTGGTTGTCCCTATATCATCCACGGAAGTCGAACCTCGAGCCCAGGGAATAACGATCAATTGTGACCCAGTTTCACTTGCATGATGAGCGATTGCTTCTGGGAACTCATCGTGTTCGACAACAGAAAGTGTCGCACCAACAACGAGGCGACTGAGGTGGCCAAAAGTCCGGAAGACGGCGACAATGGGGTCGTTGTGCAACAAGACGTCTGCCTCCTGGCTTTTCATAACGCCAGAAGTCCGGTTGGAAAGCTCGATCAAGCGCAGTGCATCAATGGCAAGGTGTTGTGGGCGAGGTACTGGGGAGAGGCTTGGGAGATTGGCATTGGCTTCCATCTCCTTCTCGCTCACGCTTGCGACATACGACGGCAAAGAGCTGTCGGTTTTCAAAAGTTGCGAGAAGGTCATAGCAGCTGAGAGTTGCTCGAATTTGTCGAGAACAACTGAGAATCGTGTCTTGGTTTCGTGCTCGCCGACACGGCGGCTGTCGTTGCCTTCTGGTTCCACCCTTGTCGTTTTGGACTCATGTTGACGGTATTTGGGAGGGTAAAAGAGGATTGTGAGGGGGGTTGTCATGACTGTCAGAATGATCGCGTGTAAAACGAACATGGAGAAGGTCCGCGAGTCAAGGATGTTAGCAGAAAGCCCGATGTTGAGCACGATAAGTTCCACGAGACTATCAATAAGCACAACATCAAGTCGTAGTTTGAGCCACATACCCTTTACAACTCATCAGCGAGCCAATCGCTCCGGATTCACGCCAATTGAAACCACAGGCATAAGCTGTTGCTCCGCAGGCAATGAACTTGGAGGAGAATGCCACCAAACAAATAATGACGATATATGCCCAGGTCATACCGGTATCGAGCAAACCGAGATTTGTTTTTAGTCCCGACAGTGCGAAATACTATGCGGTGCTAGTGTCAGTTACTGTCAGTTTTACTGGAGCGGAAAAAGACAGACGATGGGCAAAAATAGGATGGAAACAAGATCTTCGAGTTTTTCGACCATTGAGATTGCATACCCATTCTCATGGGGGATGACAAGACCAGCCAAAAAGCCACCAAAAATCGGATGGACACCAATAATGTCTGTAAAGAAAGCCGACGATAAAATCATGATGAGGGTAATGGTCATCATCGTAGTTGTGGGTGAGCCTTGCTCAAGACTCCCTGTACGACGCGCAAGCCAAACGTAGGCCCAGCGAACAGGAAAGAGGAGAAAGACAACGAATCCTGCACTTGCGAGGAGGACGTAAAGCGCTGTCAAACCGTCACTCGCGTTGACGAGGGCCACAGTTAAAGCTAAAAGGACCCATCCAACAACATCGTTGCCCACACCAGCGGCCAATGTTACAGAGCCAACGGTCGTGTCGAGAAGTTGGAGCTCTGTAAGGATGCGGCACAGGACGGGAAACGCCGTAATGCCTATTGCGACAGCGACGAAAAGAAGGAAGTAACCAAAATTCACTTTGGGGTCCGTGAATTCGCGGTAGACACCGACACCCAAAGCTGCACCAAGTCCCAAGGGGATGACCAAACCAGCCACAGAGATAAGGCTAGCGGCACGAGCATTCCGTTTGACTATGCGCACATCAATTTCCAGTCCAACTAAGAATAGGAAGAAGACGAGGCCGATGGTCGCGGTAAGAGTAAGCAAAGGCATGCCGTTCTGAGGAAATATTCTGTCGGAAAAGTGCGGTATATGACCCATGACAGAAGGGCCAAGTAGGACGCCTCCAATAACTTCGGAGATGACTCGCGGCTGCCGGAAATGGCGCAGAATAAGCGAGAGGAATTGCGTCATGGCAATTATAATGACTAGAGACGAAGATGAATTGGCAACACACAGCAGAAAAGTGGGAGAACATACCGACTTGGATAACCCAGAGCTGTATGGGGTCATTAGGATTGTAGGTCGTCGGGTTGAAGCCTGAGATGACACCGCCCTTGTACGAAAGTGAATAAGTACAAATTCGTACTGTCCCCAAGCTATCGGACACACCTGTTCTGCAACAGCCCTCTCCGCTAGAGAACGAGAAACATGCGCAACCTGGTCAGAGAGGATACCCATGGTGGGGAAATGCGGGTGCCTAACGATTCATGTCAGGCTAGACCCGCCTTATAAAAAGAACTCAGAACTGAATAACACAAGCGAGAATGGGGATCACCGCGGAAGACGGACGTTCAGAGTGAAGGTCTGCAATGAGTTCTGTCTTGCACACGGGCCTGGTTTGCCTTTGGTCATGGTAGGTACAAGATGAACGAAAGAGGGTCGCACGCCCTTCAAACAACCCCACCCCGGTGCGCCGATCCTACAGCCCAACTTTCAATCATCATGAATCGGAACTGCAACCGCGACATCCTATAAACGGTGAAATGGTTGTCGAGTCAAATGCAATTAACACGCACCACAATGTACGCATTCGACAATCGTTCCTGGCCGAATTTGTGCCTTGGGAACCCTACACACACAAGTAGACCCTTGATAGTTCATGTCCTACTTCCAAATTAAGGCCGCTTGCGACGATGAGGAGAACAAAACTTACTTTGGTCTGAATACATCTCAAACAGCATAGTTTCTCGTATCCGGCTTTCTTCCACTTCGCAATGAGGCTTGATGGAAGTTAGTTTATTTGAGGGTTGACTGGTTGGTTCAACGCACTTGGCGTCTGCGTAACCCTCCTTCAGCAGCCAATCATATAACTCCTTCGAGATCGCCTCGCGCTTGTAGTAGAGCTCGTAGATGTACCGGGACCGTGTGTGGGATATTCGCATTATTGGCCAAAGCGATTCGGTCTTGCGTTTGCCCTCGTGAGACTCATTTTCGGCGTCTCTCATCTTCTTCGCATAGTCTTCAAGAATCTAGGCATTGCGTTTAGTTAGAGAGAAAAGATAGGATAGAATGTAGTGACCGTTTCAATCTCTTCGAATCCTTCTGGTGGCTTCTTCGTTCTTGTTGTGCGAATTTTGGGCATGGTGGGCGTTCCAAGCAAGTCGCGACGAGCGCGTCACGTTGGTCACGAACTTGGTTGACTCGACGAGATGTTGGGACATTTCAAGAAATTGCGGCGCGTTATATGACCGAGGTACGACTGTGGAGATAGCCATAAAGTTCTTTGGGCCTTCGGATGCACCTACAAAGATGTGCGGGGTGAAAAGAGGCTGATCAAGAGATCAGATGAAATCATACTGTGACCGCCGTGACTAACAATTTTTCTCTTTCCATGACCTTCGCATGTCTCGTCTCCTCGTCCAGAACCTACCCGTATACGTGACTCCCGTCAAACTTAGAGAACACTTCTCTCAATCCGCTGGCCCTGGTGGTACTATTACGGATGTTCAAGTTGCACACAAATCAGACGGCACTTCTCGGCGCTTTGGGTTTGTCGGCTACAAGACTGACGCTGAGGCCACTGCTGCCAAGGAATGGTTCAATCGCACGTACATCGATACGACGAAGATCAAGGTCCAGACCGTCGATGTGAGTCGCACTTGGATTTTGGGGGGAATGAGTGAGCTCACAAGCTGCTAAGTAGGGGACGAAGGACGCTCCTGAACCAAGGCCTAATAAACGCCCTCGCTTAGGGCCGTCGCCGAATGACCCCCTCGAAAAGCCTTCGAAGAAAAGCAAGCAAAACACCGATAAACCGGTCAAGGAGGACAAGCAATTTGATGAGTTCGCGCAGGTCATGAAGCCGCGTCAGAAGAAGACTTGGGCGAACGAAGCTGCTCCGTCAGCACCAGCAGATGTACCTCCTCCATCATCGATAGTTGTCGACAACAAAATGATGGATGTAGACGATCCTGCTGTTTCGAAGATGGAGAATGAAGAAATGTCCGATTTGGAGTGGATGCGGCGCCGAATGAAGGATAGCGCAGCTGTTGGAGAGAAAGCTTTTGAACAATCGGACGATGAAGCTCCCCCAGTATGAATCCTTGACTTTTTTGTTGTGTCACTGATCAGTTGTAGATAGACGAGCCTGAACCAGAAAAAGCTCCTGTCGACAGCGTCAAAGAGACGATTCTGCAAACTTCCAGGCTGTTCGTGCGGAATTTGGCTTTCTCATGCACAGAGCAAGACCTTCGAGAGTTATTCAGTCCATTTGGCGACATTTCCCAGGTCAGTATCACTTTCTCCAAACTAATCTTGACTGCATGTTGACTCATTGTTAGGTGATTTATCTTCCCTTGCTCTGTTCAAGATGATACCTTGCATAGGGACATCAGACCTTCGGGGATGTTGATCCTTTCTTGGAATCCGATAGTAGAAATATCTTCTGACTTTTCACCTTATATTCATTGTTCTCGTGATCTCGTACTAATGATTTTACAGGTAATGGTGGTCCTCTTGTCCGGCTCCGAGATGCAAAAATACCATAGGGACATCAGACCTCTAGGAATGATGATCTTCTGGGATTCGATAGTAGAAATAGTTTCTGACCTGTCTTCTATTTCCTTTGATTGCTTTGTGGATACTGATTGCATTCTTTCAGGTCCACATTCCCCTGGACCCCGTTTCAAAACAGTCAAAAGGCGTGGCATACGTGACGTTCAGACAATCGATTGACGCTGTATCGGCATACGAGGCGCTCGATGGCAAGTCCTTTCAAGGCCGACTAGTCCATGTGCTAGCAGCGGTGGATCGCAAGCCGCAGTTCGAGGTCGTTGAAGGGGATGGACGGAAAAAGACGGTTAAAGGGGAACGTGCTGCTCAACGGAAGGCTGCGGCAGGGAAGGAGTTCAATTGGAGCATGCTCTACATGAACGTAGGTCGCCGCTTGCTCAATCGAAAGTATCCGTTGACTCTGGTGTAGAGTGATGCGGTCGCTTCATCTATCGCGGATCGAATGCAAATATCCAAGGCCGACATCCTCAATCCCGAAGGCTCCGATAACGCTGCTGTTAAGCTCGCCCTCGCAGAAACACACATCATCAACGAAACCAAGGCCTACTTCGAAGCTGAAGGCGTCCTCCTCGACTCGTTTGGTAGTCGTACTCGCTCCGACACGATTATCCTCGTCAAAAACATACCATACGGTACAACCTCAACGCAAATCGAAGAGCTATTCAAAACACACGGAGAGTTAACAAGGATACTAGTCCCACCAGCGGGGACAATCGCGGTAGTCGAGTTCGCAAGGGCAGACCAAGCCAAGAAAGCTTATCATGCAGTTGCTTACTCTCGCATGGGCAACTCTGTTGTTTATGTCGAGAAAGGGCCAATGGGAATGTTTGGTGATGGACCTGTGGTAGCGCGAACAGAGGGAGCCCCACCATCTGAAGCTCGTGTCGTCAAGATCGCAGAACAAACGACATATGGCGATACGGAAGAAATAGAGCCGTCCCTGGCTTCTGGCACCACACTCTTCGTGAAAAACCTTTCGTTTGCAACGACCAACGAGCGTTTGGTGTCTGTTTTCGGCAATCTACCTTCGTTCTCGTTCGCTCGCATCCAGACTAAACCTGATCCGAAGCGACCTGGTGGACGCCTTAGCATGGGTTATGGTTTTATTGGCTTCAAAGAGCAAGAAGGGGCTCAACGGGCCTTGAAGAGTATGCAAGGCTTTGTGCTCGATGGACACGCGCTCCACGTCAAGTTCGCTGGGAGAGGTACGGAGGGGCAAGAGAGCAAGGAGAGCAGCAAGAGCAGAACGACAAAGATGATCATCAAAAATGTTCCCTTCGAAGCCACGAAGAAGGACATTCGGGAGCTGGTCAGCTCGTATGGGACGCTCAAATCAGTCCGCTTGCCCAAGAAGTTTGACTCACGGTCCCGTGGGTTTGCATTCCTCGACTTCATCTCGCGAGCAGAGGCGGAAAACGCGTATTCTGCGTTGCGCCACACCCATCTGCTTGGCCGACACCTTGTTCTGCAATGGGCTGAAGAAGGGGAGCAAGATCTGGAGGTTTTACGGAAGAAGGCTGGTGTTGGGTTGGGTACCGGCGGCGAAATGCCTGGTCGGAAAAGGAAGCTGGATATGGGGAAAACGGGAGAGGAAGACCCTGAAACGTTTGAGTAGTCTGATTATATCACAACGCAACAAGATATACTGTAATCCGCAGCTGTAGGATCACTGCTTCACTACATCGTTGGGGAGTAAGCGTTTCGAGGGGAACAGGAAGGTTGAGGAACAGTTAAGTACGGTGGTTTGTCATGCCATCACTATTGTCTCGTGACAAGCAACGACTTTAGGCTGCGACCATTGACCAAGCTGCGACTCGCCACGATGATCAACCAGATGTCGCCGCTCTCAGCGTCATGGAGAAAGTCAACGTACTTGCTCGCCGGAACTGGGACTACTCTACTCTGATCCTTCAAGCTTTTTTTACCTGATCAATGTCAACCGAATTGCAGGCACAGAATGGCGTATAGCGTGCTCTCTATGTCAATTGTCCAACATTGCGCTAGTTACGGAGTGTGGTTGTGTCGTCGCAAGAACTCGGAGCTACTGGCAAGTTGAAGCAGCATCAGCCACGGTGGTCCGAACAAGTGAGATGCGTAACACGTCTTGAATGTTTCCAAAGCCAATCTCGATTCTCAGCGAAGGACTGCAGCTGACTTGAAGCTACTCCAAGGCACTTGTAGTTTGAAATACACCTCTCTCTCTCTCAAAATTCATCCAGGGAGCACAGACAATGTCATCGCAGCTCTGCGGCCTCTGCTCGGCGGTCAATCAACAATCTCAAGAACGAAAGGGATTGCCCATCAATCTTTCTTCCGAGTCGATGTCGACGTCTCACATTGACCTGCACACGCTGGCGCTTGTGTGATGGGACGGTCTCCGCTCTTCTCCATATAAACTCAATCTGCGTAAAATGCCTCATATAAAACGCCTCATACTTTGTTTGTTTCTTCTGTCGCTATCTCTTCACCCGCTCCCGTCAAAAGCTCATGGGTTATTATCATGCCCTCTTCTTTTTCCTTTCTTTACTTTCGGGCGGTCTTGCCATTGGTCCAGGCAGCGTTACAAACCTCAAGATCGTCAATCAGAATGTCTCTCTGGATGGCTTTTCGAGATCGTCTGTGTCCCTTTTTTTTCTCGTCATTTAGCGCGTTGATATACTATTTAGCGCCGTACTTGCTGGTGGAACATTCCCTGGAACGCCTATTCTTGCAAACAAGGTCAGCTGGGCCAGATACGATTTCGTCTATGGCTGAATCGCGCGTAGGGCGACCGTTTTTTGATCAACGTTGTCGACCAACTCACGGACCCAAGCATGCTTCGCAGCACCTCGGTGCATTGGCATGGTATTTTTGTCCGTCTTTCGTCAGCACCTTATCACCGCTCTGATCCCCGTTGAAGATGAAGGACTCAGCTTGGGCTGACGGCACCTCTTTTGTTACCCGTGAGTGTTATCTAGTCGTTTCAGCGAGGTCATATAAGTACCAAACAGAATGCCCGATTGCGGCCAATAACTCTTTTTTGTATGACTTTACGCCCAGCGGGTAAGTTGCTGTGTGTTAGCTCTCCAAGTGTAAACTTACGAATAATTCTAGGCAGGTGAGCCCGAATAACTCATGCGTTCACGCCAATGATGTGATTTCGTCAGGCCGGCACTTTCTGGTATCACTCCCATTTGTGTTTGTCCTCTTTGATTCTGTTTATATCACTGTTGAAGTTGACCCAGCGATGCAATACTGCGATGTCTGTTGGGTCTCCCCTTCTCATTGGATTGCAGTACTTAATACGCATTTAGGGTTTGCGTGGGCCACTCATCAGTTCTTGGTTTCCCTTTTTAAGGTTCAATTTGAGTCTCACCCTACTCTAGTCTATGACCCAAACGATCCGCACAAGGTATCTTGAGCGAATTTTGACTTACTTTCAATGCTCATTAAGCACGCAGCATCTTTATGTACGTCTCAATGGTTTTCCATCTACCCAGCAATTCAAGTTGTATAAACTGGTGATCAGGACGTCGACGATGGTACATATATTCCTTGTCCTGTTCGGCTTGCTGATAGAATAGTAGCAACTACAATCATTTCTCTGGCCGACTGGTTTCACGAGTCCAGTCGCACGGCTCCTTTCCCACTCTTCTACACTACAAATACAAGTTCGTCCCATTTGCGATTCCAAATGCTACACGTAACTCCAACTTTTTATCATAGTCAACGGCAAAGGTCGTTTCACTGGCGGAGTACAATCCATTTCTTCCTTTGCTCCAAATTTTCTCATTGTTGCTTGCTGTAGCCGGCCGCTGACCTCGCCGTAATCTCCGTTAAGCGTGGATCACGAGTAAGGCGTTCCTTCAGCACGAATGAAAAATACTGAAAATTCACAGTACCGTTTTCGCTTAATCTCCATGTCATGCGAGCCAAACTTCATTTTCAGCATCGACAAGTATGGGACGGTGGCTTGCGAGGGCCTATCTGACATTTTTACAGACATTCTATGACTGTCATCGAAGCTGATGGTGTTTCCACCCAGGTATGATCTCTGCGTTCGCCCCCCTTCTCATTGACTAAACGACTCAGCCACTTGTTGTCGACTCAATTCAAATTTTGTGCGTTTTGATCTTGTTAGCTTCCTTCCTCGAGCTCACCACACTGTAGTACTGGCCAGCGCTATTCGTTCGTTCTAAATGCCAACCAAAGAGTCAGTAACTACTGGGTCCGCTCGCTTCCCAACCTGGGCGACACAACCTTTGCCAATGGTGTCAACTCGGCAATTCTGCGCTATGCTGGTGCAGAGAAATGCGATCCAAAGACAAATCAGACGGCAAGCACTCGGCCGCTGGTTGAGTCGAATCTCCACCCGCTTGTACCGACGGTGGTCCCCGGACTGCCTTTTGTTGGCGGCGCAGATGTCAACATTAATCTCAACATCGGACTGGACTTCACAACCTTCCGCTTCAACCTGAATGGCGTCGTGAGTAATATTCTTATCGCCGAAGCAGTGTGCCGACCGTCCGGCTAGTCGTTCTCTCCACCAACTGCGCCTGCTCTCCTGCAAATTCTCAGCGGAGCGCAGCTTGCGTCTGATCTCTTGCCATCCGGAAGTTATTTCGCTCTCCCGCCCAACAAGGTCATCGAAGTTACTATCCCTGGTGGTGCCGATCCCGCTGGACCCCATCCGTTCCATCTTCACGGCGTATGTTCTCTGATTTGTGACCCGAAGCATGCCTTAGATTTTGCAGCACAATTTCTTTGTCCTGCGCAGCACCAACACCAGCGAGTATAACTTTGTCGACCCTGTCATTCGGGATGTCGTCAACACTGGTGGGTTCTCGTTCGTCTCGTCTATACTGATTGTTGACTGGAGCCAAAGGCTTCCCTGGAGACAACGTTACCTTCCGGTTCGCACATTTGTTAAGATCCAGAAAAGCTTGGAGATGTTAACTTGGAAAAAACAGATTTGTAACGGACAACGCTGGTCCATGGTTTTTGCACTGGTGAGATCATAGGGTTGACTCCAGAGCACAGCACTGAATGATTCTAGCCACATCGACCTTCATCTGGACATGTAAGTCCGTTGCTGTTACGCTAGAGATGCGCTAACCCAGGTTTTCAGTGGTTTGGCAGTCGTGTTTGCAGAAGACACGGGCTCTGTTTCGAAGGAAGTTATTCCATGTCAGTTACGTCCATTTGCCCGTCTTCGTTTTGTCTGATCGCACTCTTCAGCTGCGTGGAACAACCTCTGTCCTATATACGATGCGTTGGATCCTAGTCAGCTTTAAGCTTGCCTGTCCCACTATAATCTCGTCAGGATAATCGTGCAATCTGTAGTAGCAAGATATTTATTTGTGCTATATCCTCACTGCAAGCTGACTGGATGAATTTGCTGGTGCAAAACAAGTGCAAAATAAGAAGCCTTCAAGTTGACAACTCCCTGAAGTCAGAAGCGCGTGATGCTCGGATCACCTGCAGCCTCTTTTCCAAACAACCATGTTGAGGGCATTGTTGCAACCACCCACCTGTTCCGACTCGAGCGGCGCCCCAGAAGGTATCTCAAATGATGAGTGTCGGGGCAGTGAATTGTACGCTTTGTAATCTTGCTCGCACCCCCATCGGCCACGCTTCGACTTTTTCGACAAATGGCGCCTAAACTGTCAGGAAGCGGGAACGACAAGGAGGTCGTCACTATAACTGTACCAATCGAGGGCAAGCACTCGAAATTCCGTCTCCTTCTGTTGACCGTGTCGTAGGCGTTGAGCTAATTATGGTAGGGGCTGAGAGCCAATCGAAGAAGATCTACAAGCCGAAAGACTCTGCGTCTGTCGACCTCACACAGAAACTGCTAGCGAACAAGCAAAAAGTCAACCCTCTGCATGCCAAACTTGTTTTCGACGAATCTAAGGTAGTATATCAAGCATTGCGTTGCATTTTCTGACCAGCATAGGTATCAATTATAGACCTCGGATCTCCAGAGGGGACTTGGGTCAAATCAAAGAAAGGCTCGTTGTTGAAGGATAAGGCGCATGCGCTGAAAAACGGAGACATTATCGTCTTCGGTGCGAAGCAGGATGTGGATGCTAAAGAGGTGTGTGTGCCGTCTTCTTCAAGTTCCTGCAACTCAAGCCCGGCCGGGTCACCAGCATCCGGATGTCTTTAAAGCAGAGGTCAAATTTCTCACTAAGAGACCGCCTCCCAGAATAAAACGTCCGTCTTCTGTTGCAGAGCAGACCACAACTTCCCCACAACAACCCACCACTTCGGCTCCGAAACTTGTGAAGACGCAATCCCAACAGCCGACCCTTGCGCCCCCCGACAGCAAACATAAACGAACTGCAAGCCTACAGAACGCTCCCAAACCGAACATGCCAGCAGCGCCAGATAAGAAGCCGCCACCTTCAGTCAAAGTAGGAACCCACTATTTTAAATTCGTTTTCTTCGACTCATGTTTTTGAACAGCCGAGTGTCGATTTGGAGCAACATGTCCAAATCCCATGGACCAGCGTTTATCGACTTGGATATGGCATCGATGCACTCACTGGCGAGTTCATGCCTCATCCCGCCCTTAAAAGCTTCACCCCACCAACGGCTTCTCGGCCCGGCAAGACACGGATATCGGTCCGGCGGCTGCATTGGAAAGATGTTGTGGAAGACCGCGACGAATTCGAGGTTTCTGCGGGAGGAACGGTCAATGTACCCGTCCCCGTTGGCGCGAGTGCGAAGATAGCGTCACAGTTGTCGGAGAATGCGAACTCATCGACAATGCTCATTGAATACAAAGTCGAGGCGGACTTTGCACCGGAGTACCTTCCGAGCAACATTCAATTGAAAGCTGGGCTGGAGAAGCTGTCGGATGCCGAGTTCAGGGCCCGGTTTGGGGACTACTATATAGCAGGGGTACAAAAGGGCTATAGTTGTAGAATGGTCGTCGTTTGCAAGTGCGTCGTTTATTTTATTACTTCGAACCCAACTAATGATTCTCCTGTAGAGTGGACGAAGAAGGGACAACAGAGTCGCACGAGAAGGAGGTCATGGCATTGCTTGACAGTTACTTCAAGGCGGGAATCAAGCTCGCAGACGTCAGCCAGCGGTCCAAAGGCTTTACATTCCAAAGCGTTCTTGTTGATGCTGAAGGCTGCACTATCGATACAGCAAGTGTATTTGCGATTGGAGTGGACCAAGCGCCACAAACACTGGCTAAAATCATCAAGAACGCTCCGGGAGTTCCCCGCATCGCGTTTTTATACCACTACAGGTCTGCTCATGGTCTGCCGATTTTTGAACGACGACTGACGTTTTCATTCAGCTCAGTGGACTCTTGTCCGCTCAGCCGCCGAGTCGAGGTTCAGAAAGCCATGTTCAAAAAGGCTCAGGCAATGCGCAATATCTACACCTATCTCCAGTCATGTCTTCTACATCCGGCCCTCCAACCCTTTCCTTCCGACAATCGCAAGATTCGCGCTGTCCACAAACGTTTTGAGGAGAAGCGTCGCACCATTATACAGCTTACCCAGAATGACAAGAGGACGGCGGAGGACATTGAGAGCCTAGAGAAGGAGCTCAAAGCGCTGAAGGAGAAAGCCGATGCGCTGATCACGCGGTACAATTTTATTTGTCAAGTCACCAAAATGGACAAGGGCATTGTCGCGCACCCGCCAACTGTTGTCGATGGCCAGTCACTCTATCGCTGGGACTGCGGCAAGACTGGCGCGCTGCAGAAGTTGGCGGAGCTTGAGGCGTACAACCTGATTTGCTTCGAGAGGAATTACAAGGCCTACGAGTTGGAGTGGCAGTCACCGATGACGGACGAGCCTTCGGCGTTGCGGCAACTGTTCAAAGGTGTTATACCGCGCGAGACACTATCTTTTACTGCCCAGAACACGACGAATCCGCTTCCGCCTTCACCATTACCGAAATCCAAGAAACTGCCCAAGCAAGACCAAGACCCTGGCACGTTTGCATTTTGCCTCCACAACCACAAGCCGATCCTCGTTCTTGGCTGGTCGGTGTCGTGTTACTGGCCGGATGCGAAGACCGCCCCAACTATCGAGGTTGACCATCCAGCAAATTATATCTTCGCTGACCAACTGCGGGTGTCTATTGATTGTTCCCGGGCGACGAGGTGGTGGTGCAAGGTTACTTTTGTTGTCAAGTCATCTTACGATTTCAATGTCTCCGATGTGTGGTAGTTGCAGTATAACAGTCACCGCTTCGATTCAAAGCTTGTGGCTTGTTCAATAACAATCGTTTGAACAAGGTGTGTTTATTGCCAGAGGGTTGGAGAGTCGGCCTTTGTGGGTTCATTGTTATCGAAGCTGAACATGATGGGCGGCCATGAAAGCTAAAAAGATGGGACATTTGATATCACACAATCCGCAAGGAAACACATATGCATCGTCCACGGTAACCGTAAATGGCCATGGTTGAAGGCAGGAAAACTGTGGTTGGCAATGCCACAACAAATACAAATTGAAATATATAATTACAAAGAATACAACAGTTCACCAAAGTTTCGCTCGCAGTTGTTTAGGGTTAAGTCCTCATAGTACGATACCACCCGAATACTTGGTCGACATCCACGGTTGACCATGGCTGGAAGGATGGAAGGGCCGCCTTCGCATGTTGGAAGTCCCTTGCCGTGATCTTGTTTGGGTCGTGGTCGTTGGAGCCAGCTATGTAGTAGAAGTCGTCATCATCCATTCTTCCCAACGATTGCCACACCAGAGGGCGCTGAATACTGTAGAGTGATCAACTCTCGTGTTGGGCTTGCCGTAAACTTGGGCTCACCAGCGTTTGGTGAAGTTCTCGCGGAGATTGTCCGCCCATCTGAGGACGAAATCGTTGTGCAAGCCGGAGCAGTGTCCACCCGATGGGCCGGCCGCAAGGTCCATTGCGCTGAAACGCCACCCGAGAACGTAGAGTGGCGTTATGCCTTTGCCTTCAATATTTGTGCCTCTCTTTGGTGGCTTAGTATCGAACGGTTGGAATTCAGGGAATCTAGCGTTGCGTCAACATATAGCGGGTCCGACGAATGACAAGATTTTGTGTACCGAGTCCATGAAGGCAAGGGCGGTTTTTTCTTGACCGATTGTGTTTTTGCCCTCTGAGTTTTCTTGGTTGGCGAAGGATTTGAGCTGGAAGAGCTATTATTGAGAATGTCAGATTGCCATAAAACACCAAACACGACACACAGACACACTTCAATACCTTTGGGGAAGTCTCAGCAAAAGTTACTCTTTTGGAGGTTGTCGCTATTGGAGATGATCTTCTGTGGTTGTGGTCAGTCATGTTCAAGCCGTGCGTCGATGGTGTTGACAAAAGTTGGTTGATAAGTGTGACAGTCGCGCTCTCCATTTGCTTTATCCAAACAACGTCGTTGTTCTGATTCAGCTCAGCGACTAGTATTGTGTGGTGCATTCGGCAAGAGTAATAAGCAACGAGATCTTCGTGTCGATAACGAAAAAAGTAGAAAATGAATACAAGGATATAGTTCGCGTTTTAGAAAATACAGAAAATGAAATGAAATGCAGGGAGATACTGATACAAGAATAAAAAAGAAAGCTGCCCAGAGCTACTGAGTAGTCATGGGCTACATCTTCGAGGTACGGTACCACCCAAACACGTCATCGACGTTGACTGTAGACCACGGTTGACGGGGGGGAAGCGCTGCCTTCGCATGCCGGAAATCCCTGCTCGTAATCGTCTCCGGGTCGTCGTAATTTGTACCAGCGACATAGTAGAAGTCATCGTCGTCGTCCACTCCGATAGACTGCAGAACGGCAGGCCAGTGAATGCTAGGAAATACACGGATCAGCTTGGTCGTGTGTGGAGAAAAAGTCGCCCACTAGTGCCGCGTGAAATTGGCCCGGAGATTGTCAGCCCATCTCAGCACAAAATCGTCGTGGAGGCCAGAGCAGTCGCCACCCGCAGGACCGGAGACAACATCCATTGTGCTAAATCGCCATCCAAGGACGTAGACCGGGGTGGCACCTTTGCCTTCAACAATGGTACCCCGCTTCGGGGGCTTCACGTCAAAAGGAAGGAATGGCGGAAACCTACGATGATTCACTGAGTGAAGCTGCTTTCTAGAGTCACAAAAAACGCGTACCGGGTCCACGAAGGCATTGGAGGCTTCTGGCGGGGATGGTCTGTCTTCTTACGCGACGAGGAGGGTTTCATATCTGGAGGAGGAGATCTGGAGTCATGAGATGAGGCACGCCACCCGGTGAGCGATAAGTACTTGAGTGGACGGACAGTCTTTTGTGTCGCTTGTGCAGCTCGAGTTTTCCGCCTTTCTTGTGTAGTTTCTGAGGTTGATGCTAGTACGGGAGCTCTTGAATATCGTCAGATGCTGGTATTTAGGGTAACAGAGAGCGAGACGCACCTCCGCGTCATGATGGGTGCTTTCGCAAATGGAGGCAAATGGTTGATAATGTGACAACCAGCGTGACACCGCGACACCCACTGACACCCACAACTATCATTGTTCCAGGTCAAGCGAGCTCACAAGCGGATTTCCATCATACTTACTATTGTCCTTGTCCTCTAAATGGAGTGCAATTCAATTCTCAAGTCATCTGCCTCAATTCCTGCTGACAATTCTGTTGTTTTAGAGGCGGAATCATGTTGCACGAAGTGAAAAGGGAAGAAATACACATCGGCTAACATGATATTAGAAGGTTCCTCACGTAAATCTCAACTGAAGCACGCAGTCCACCAAGCAACCACCAAGTGATAAAGCCTAGCGCTGCCGGAACATCTCCCTTTTGTCCTAACCCGCACCTTCCGAACGACGAGCCCACTTTCCACCATTGTCTTTGGCGGTATGTGAAGAGACTCCAGACATTATGTCAACACTGACGCGTATGATAGGCAAATGAAGCGCAAAACCAAGCCGCAAGATCCTGTGGGTTTAAAGCCGCTTCCAAAGCGTCGTCGTACTACTGCTGCTACCACCACCAAGGCGACGTCAACTGACAGGAACCGCTCCTCTAAACTAAAAAACAACCTCTTCACCGTATTCTCCCTTCACACCGTCCTGCAAGAATGCATTTTCCTCGGAAGATGTCTTTCCTCCTCTTCATCTATGGACCCCCGACACCTTGAAGCGTACATTTACGGATTCTGGACCATGCTACTCTTGCGACACATCTCTCATGAACGCCATGTAATCCGCCTTCTCCAGCCACAGTGGCCAATCTGGTCTTCGCAGGACGACAACGACAAGCGGATGCTCGACATGAGCTTGCTCTCGACCAAGACGACACCTGACGGGGGTGCAAGGGGTGTCTACGTTGACCTGGCCATCGTTATCGTTCAGACAGAGCCACGCTGGAAGGTACTCAGATATGCACAAGGAGTTATCAGCGTTGCTAAGCTTGCGGGACAAACCCTTGGCTGGTTTTTCGAAAATTTGTATGCAATGCCTATGTTTGCTGCTTTTGAGCCTGCCTTCCTACGGGTCGTCGGCCTTCGGGCACCAATACTTCTCGAACTGAAGCTTGGCCCTCCTCGGCACAGCCTCTGCATGGCCGATTTTCACCGGAAGCTCACTGCTCTCCTCCAGGCTGCAAAGCGACAGGCCGAGAAGCAAGCCAGAGCCCTGTACGCATCATGGCGATTCATTGGACAGGAATTTGTCATCACGGTTGCCGTTGCGGGAGAGTATATGACCATGCGACGATGGACACGCAAGTGGGGCCGACGGACTATCCTTCAAAATATCCGGTCGGCCAATGACCTGGTTCGTCTTCGCGGCATCCACCCGCCGCCAGGAGAAGGCGAGCTCTTGGAGTTGTTTGCGTCAAATGAACACCCAGCAAACTCTGAAACAGACTCCAATAGATCTACCTCGCCATTTCAAATCCCGGCACAATCTGATTCTGTCCCCCTGGCTGGAAATCAACCTCGCTCGGTAACAGTCAAAGGACTGCGGTGGGCGGACGAGGAACCTAATGATGGCGACTTCGTCCCAGAAACCGCATCGCAGTCTTCTGAATCGGGGACAAGTGATTCAGAGGCGGCGGAATACCACTCGGACGCCGGCTCTGGTGAATCGGACGGCGATATTGACGAAACAGATCATACTGTTGAGGAATTAATCGAAATGTATCAAGCTAAGCTGTCAGAATACGACTTTCGACCGACAGGTATCCTTGACCGACACAGGGAACGCATAGCTCGGTACTGTGAGCGACTGGACGAGCTGGAGGTCGAAGCAAACGACGATGCGGAGGTGCTCAATAAATCTGGGCTGCCGAAATCGAGGATGAGTGAGATTCGCAAACTCCGTGGAGAAGCACAAACGACGTTTGAAGCTCGAAACGCGGCCCGCGATGCTTATTACGACTACGGAACGCTGATTGCGGAGACGCTTGCAACCCAAGCAGGGGACAGTGGGGGCGTCAAAACCCGCTTCCGGAAAAAGCATGAGACGATACTCGAAAATCACGAGGCTCGTCTCGCTGCCTATCTCGAGGAGTACAACGCGGCGCAAGCTGCGTTCCGCACTGCAGCACGGACTCTGGGCGCAAGTATGCCTCCTACCCAAGGCGGACTCTCGCCGCCGTTTTCTGACGACGATCTCGACATCTACAACCATTCGCTTACTGCCTCTCCCGGCGACGTTCCCTTCTTCGAAAAGAACGACCCCGCACGGTTTTTTGCGGGGGAGGAAGACACCGCATGGACCGGGGTCATTCGCCTGGGGTCAGATTTGGCGGAAAAGTACTTGCAATATATTGAAGACGTTGTTCGCGAGTTCGAGGACGAGGAATTGGAACGGCGCAGCAAGGTGAAGTTTCCGCAATATACCGAAGACAGTGCATGGGATTCGGAGGACCCAGAAACAGATGATGAGACGGAGTCGGAAGAGTAGTGACGGGCTCAACAGTCTCCGATTCGCCATACTAGTGTTTTGAACCAACGACACAGTACAAGTCGTTGTGTGTGTGAATGCTGGGAGAAAGTTACGAATGGGATTAGTGGGCATACTTCATCCGAGTCGATGTTGACTGTGTACCACAGGCGGCTCCGCTCTCTGTCGTTCAGTTCTCCTCTTCTTATGTTTGACTTTGTTGGAAGATGGGCCGGTGCTTGGGTCATGTTTAAGCCTATTAGACACGGAACGAGCCGATTCCAACGCGCCAGATGTATTCAGAAGTTCCCATAATTGCATTGAATCCGTTAGACTTCTAGGCTGAGTGGGAGGAACCAGGGTGCTAGGTTGGTTCAGATATTATTATTTACGACTCAAGTGCGACATTGGAGCTTGCCTCATCTGAGCGAGTGCAGTGAACCTGGTGGTAGAGTTGGGATGAGTGGCAGAACGAAGTGGCAAGACGGCCGCGGCCGGCATCACGTGCATACTTTATTTTGCCAGCAACGTTCATCCTCCAGAACATGCCATGCAGTCCCTTCTTCCCCCATTGCTCCGACTGTTCCTTGCCGTAGAGTCCTTTGGATGGACCATTCGCCTTGTTCACCCTCAAACTCCTCTTCACCACCTTCTTCGGCAGACACTAAATGCCTCTTACACCATGCTGCTCTACAGCTTGGTCGCGTTTGACTTGTTCTACCTCTTTGTCAACTTGGTTCTATCCCCACTACTGGACCGTTTTGCCGACGAGCCGTCCGAGGCAAGAGGCACTGGAGCAAAGGAGGGCGATGGGCGAATCAGAGTGCATGCATGGCAACTCCTTGCCGTGTTTGGAGGCCTTCCCGCTCTTGTCGCGTTGACTCTACGCGAGAGGTCATCGGAAATCATAGAGGGAACGTATCAAGTCCTCCAACGCGTCGTCTTCCGGACCGCGATTGTTTTCAGCGCATTCATCATAGCCTCCTTCTTCATCATACTGCCCCTCTTCATCGTCTGGCTCGTTGTCAAGCGGCTCACCGTCGATAAACACAAACAAACCTGGTCCGACTGGACCGACACAATCGTTTTCACGTCCACCAACATCTTTCTCCTTCTCCTCTCCGTCCAATGGATTTATTCAGACGGGCAGCAGTCAAAGGTTCCGCCGTTTGCCTCTGTCTTCGTAATGGCATACAAGTGGCTAGGCTTGGCCGCGTATGGAGGCGCAATCTTCTGGTTGTTCTGTGACCGAGCTGCGACAATTCTCCTGCGGAAAGGACTTGCTCTTGTCCTTCTTCCGAAAACCTCGACGTCACAGTCGACCGACAAATCCATTCCCAAAAGCTCCTCGCACCAATGGACACGATTCGTACTCTTTCCGGCAGTATGTGTCGTCAATGGTTGTGTCCATTTTGCACCGACTCTGCAGAATGGTATTGCAGAAGCCGTTTTCGCTCTCCTGGGCATCACTTTTATCGCCTTCTACATCCTCATGCTCGACCTGTCCATTTATCAACTCCGATTCCAGGCGTCGCGTTTCCCGCGCCTGCAGTATTCTCCATGGGAGCTAATGGGGATCGCACTCGCTGAATTCTCTCTCCGAGACGTGCAGGGAAACACGGTCTGGGAGAAGAAAGGGCTTGACTACTGCCCTCAACTTGCGCTGCATTTCGAGGGGGATGAAGCAGCGTCCAGGTTGGGACAGATTTTCGGGGCGGGGGATTGGAAGCTCGTTGTCAGGTTCTCGTTCCATCGCCGCACAAGGAAAAGAGCATGATGTTACATTCGGTGACAGCAACCAACACGCGTAAGCTGTTGAAGACGCAACAGTTCAGCTATATGCATGGCTGGACTTATTCGAACAGTTTTCGGTGACCACGGCGAAGACGATTATGTAACAGCGCTTTATAGTCTGTCGTCTTGCTCATTAACACTTGGTCGCTGTTCCGCTTGTTCTACTGTAGTACTAGCTAAGTAACTACTTGAACCAGAAAGGAACGCAAATCACGGTGTCCCGAGCGGCTGCCGACGGACAATCATCACAAGCTCGCGCTTGATCTCTCACTTCCACCATCTCAGAGTCTCACCCCATTCTCTGGACTCGTTTCTAATGCCGCCATCTATGGCGGCATCACCCAACGCTCCCCTGCGACTTCGTCAGCATCTTACACCAAGCACAACGACAATCACGGCCTATTTGGTGTTGGTCGTCGTTCAATACCTCATTCCTGACCGTGGTGTGGACTACTCCGCTCCGCATGCTGCTGCAGCATACGCTCTCATCACGCCTTTCATGTATATTGCCTTGGGACATATCGCTGGACGCGTAGTTTCACCTACAATTGTGAAACTGCTTTCTCTCACTGGGATCATGAAGGAAGATCCAAAACCTGTTATGGTTACCAATGACGAGGAAGCGGCTGTTGCTGTCGAGGCAACTCCAGCAGCACCGCGAAAGGTGGCCGGCTTCCTGCAGAGCTTGATACCGACATTCATTATTGCTGCTCTTAATGTCCCTGCTGCCGCGCTCTTGCATATCAGCCAGCGACCACAATCTGCCTCGTCTTGGTTTATGATTGTTTCGGGTACCATATCTACCCTTGGACGAGTCATGAAGAACGTGTTTATATACGCGTCTTTGGGCCTTCTTGCGTTGGTCGCCTTCTCGTTGGCGCCAATCCTTATTATGCGCCACCAAGCGAGGGTTGTCCAGACTCTCACCTATATGACGCTGATCGGCGGTATTTTGCTGGCGTATTCGATCACGCTCAACACGCTGTGGAGGCTAGACCTGCAAGCGCAGTCCCTCCAGTCGCTTCTCGCCCATTTCCGTTGGCAGGCCATCTACGTCATCTCTCCCGCCGCCTGCTGGTTCGGCGCGCTCGTCTTCTTCTTGGAGACATTCTACCTCTTCACAACCAAGACGGCCGACTATCTTTTCCGCCGTGCGCTAGTCGTCGAGCCATCGTTGTTTCGCGTGAAAGACAGCTACCGACCCCCGAGTTACTTTGACCGTATCTGGGTCTTCCTCCAGTCAATCGTCCTCCCCGCCGTCCTCATTCTCTCGGGGCTATGTCTGCAAGAGCGGGGAGAGAAGCTCCACCGGTGGGGGCAGGTGCTGGCGATCGTCGGATCGCTTAGCTCGGGCATCTTCGCCTTGGATTTCGGCTTATACTTCTTCGTCGTGAAGAACACGGCGCCATCGCTCAGTACAGCAAATACCAGCACGCTTGACAGGCTGGCGCTGTCTGCGGGGGTGTACCTCTTGACGAATAGGAATGGGGAATCGTTCTGGACGATGCTGGAGAGGCTCAAGCAGGAGGACACCGCGAGGGTCATCGAGCGGGAAAAGAACCTGGAGGAACTGGAAGTGGGCACGGAAATCGAGGCGAAAGCATGAGTTATGTATCAACTCGTATAATTGGCGGAAATCTACGTCTGAGTTTTCAGAATATGACCAGTGTTGGAGAATGGGCAGGCCTGTATTCAGTTCCTCTTATGGTATATGCGCTGTATACAATTGCGCTAGCGTCTCCTTCGAATGTTGACGACTAATACGACCAGCAATTTGGTCCTGGTCGAGAAAGTTCGGCACAGCTCCGGGCGACGGACAGCGAAAAATCTCACTCAACGAGACGAGTCGATTTAATTTGGACAATGTTGCAAAGAGTTAGATACTAACGCCGGAGTTGGGAGTTGGAACGACAGTGGCCTGACAAGGGAAGGATCAGTTGCGGCGTGTCCAAGCTACTTAGTGGGCAACTTGGCTACTCTTACAGCTGTCTGCCGGTGAATCTGAACTCAAATTGACAAACGTCTGTGCATACTTTCGAAAAGTGAGGAAGGGGTAGCACTGGATAGAGTCGCAAAACATGTGTTGTCGACTCAGAAAAACACTGGTGGGAGCATGTCATTTGGCGCAACGTCTGAAGACAAAGTTGATGCAACCATTATTGCGATGAATGGCGAGATGAAGCATCCAATCTTGGCCGCCTGGTGAAGCGTTGTCTATTCCAGGTTTAATTGACTGAGGGGGGCTCAAGTTCGATGTTCGACAGCGGCATCAGTTTGTAGCTTGCAGAGAGTTGAGACACGAGTATGGGAAAGGACGCGGAGTAGCTGAAAGAGCGATGCCCTGGTCCCTGGAGAGGTTGGGAGCATTGCCGGAACGATCACATCCAGAGCGACGGTAAGCAAGACGCGGGAAGGTTTGTCGGAAACACACGAATGGGATGATCACTGCTATAGAAGCAGCCGAGTGAGTGAGGAAATGTTGTATAAACTGGTGCAAGACGAAAGAAGATGAGTCTGAGCAAATGTAAAAAGTGGATTTGAACGAAACTAGAACAAACTTGAGGCTCGGAGTCATCTTCTACTAGTAGCCTTAGAGCTTAGGGCATAAGCAATTGTTTTGCTCCAAATGATTTGGCACTTGCAACGCCCCATGCCATTGCAGGGTAAAAGAACACAGAAGGGGATGGCGAAATGTCGAGAGTGAGAACTTGGACGAGAAGAGCGGGGGATAACTTCCTCGCCAAGCCCAAAGCCTGTGTGCGTTGGGACGGCGGCGGCGTAAAAGCAACAGACAGCTTCCTATGTCGAGCCTACAGTCCTAGATGGTCAGTGGAGCGTTTCCAAAGGTCAATGCTTGGTAATCCAATAAGTTGTCCCATCATTGACGAATCTCGAGTTGACTGAGAGGGCGTGGTTGGCGTGCGATGTGGTGTCCGTCAGGATCCTCAGGCGAAAGAAGAGAACGAAATAACTGTTGGCAGTGACAATTATTGTCAGGGGCACCACATTCTAATTTTGCTTCGGGGCGCTTGGAACAATCGGCCCCAATTGACGCTGACCTGCCTCGCCGCGGCGGTGAGCGACGCATCTCAAGGATGATCCCCAACCGCGCGAGAAAAGTCTGTGCAGTGACTCGGAGGCGGAATGGCGATTAATAGAAGCAAGACGATAACTCTCAGCCTGAGGGGTTTCAGCTTCGTCTTCGATCAGTTCACATAGACATAGTCTGTTTTACCGGCGACTTACCGGTCCACGAACACAAGATTTCGCCATCTGAGGCCAACGGGAGCAATACAGGGGGTTTCGAAAAATTGAGAAACCCTATAAAATGGGCCAGGATAGTATCTTCAGACTTCACTGGCAAACGCTGAGTTCCAACACTCTACTCAAACATGCGATTCCTTCCTACCTTGCTCCTTTTCTTCGCAACTGTCGTCTTTGCGCGCCACGGTGGAGATGATAATGGCAATGGCCGCCACGGAAACGACGACCGCACTCGTACGGTGACCGTTACCCAAACGGTTGCAGCGCGCAGCGCCAAGTTCACCAACGTTGCGGTAGGACACGCCGCTACTAGTATCGAGACCGACTAATCATGTTAGCTTGCTGAGCGCAAACACGGACGGGACGACGGACCCAACGACAATGGACATCGAAATGATGACAATGGCCGGCATGGAAAGCGCCGTCATGGCGGAGACAACGGAAGCCACGGCAACGACGACAATGGTCGGCACGGAAAGCGCCGTCACGGTGCAGACGATGGCCCCAACGACAACGGCCATCACGGCAATGATGATGGCCGCCACGGCAAGCGCCGCCATGGCGGAGACGATGGGCCCAACGACAACGGACATCACGGTAACGACGACAATGGCCGTCACGGAAAGCGCCGCCATGGTGGAGACGATAATGGCCGTCACGGTAATGATGATAATGGCCGTCACGGCAATGGTGATAATGGCCGCCACGGAAAGCGCCGCCATGGCGGGGATGACAACGGACGCCACGGTAATGACGACAACGGCCACCATGGAGGCGACGACGCTACTCGCACGGTCACGGTCACTGCGCGCAGCCCTTTGTTGACTGAAGCACCCAGCAAGGTACATTTCATTCTTGAACTTGAGCAACTCTAATTTGTTGCAAAACAGCGCAAGCACGGCGGGGACGACAATGGCCGCCATGGAAACGACGACCACGGCACCCACACCGTTACCGTGACTGTCGCTGCCTAAAGAGTGAGTGTTTTATTATTTCGAAGTTGCCCATCTAGCCCAGAAATGAAAGATTTCTCTTGGAATGTCTGCGCCATTTTTTAAGCCTTCCTGGTTTCACGTTGCTGTGGTTGTGATCATGGTCAGCTTTCGGCAAGCGTATTTGTGGGAGTCTGGCGTCTTGTACTTGTCTCTCTTGATCCCTTGAAAATTGAAACAACTGGCATTATTCACGAGTAATGCTGTTATTGACGTGTGATTGCTTGTAGTCCGGCTAGTTTCAGCCTGAAAAAGTTTGTGCTCCAAGATCTTCTCTAGATTTTGGAAACTTGAAGAGTGGCTGACTCGGTTTGTGGGAGTCACAGTCAGTTCGAAAAGCCACGGGTCATACTTCTTGTGCTTGCTTGCTTCGGGAGAGTACTTGAAGTGCCACATCAACGGGGGAATCGAGTGCGAGTAGCAATTTGCAAAACAAGACTGGGTCGATGTAGTGTGTCCGCGAGGCGAGTCCGAGACTTCGATGCGATGGGAAGGCAACATGAGAACGTGATGTGACTGTCACATCACTATGAAAACATCGCCTCACATCACACACTCACTCTGTCAACGAATTGAAACTCGATTCCAAAGCTGATCATGAAGGCGCCAGCCCGCAAGTTGTCGCAGCAAAGAGCCAAAGTTTGAAATGGCGGACCGCCAGTATGCAGTGGAGATCTGTGGCGCTTTGGCTGACTCGTTTACGCAGCTATATGCACATTGCAGCTTCAAACTTTCGGTCAGCAGAGCGCCGTTTTGGTGGGGAAGAGGCCCGGGATTCTATTGTCAAGGACGCTGCACGATGAAATAAAGTAAAACTATTTTTGCTCAGGCGTCGGTCAGCTTACTGATAAAAAGTTCGGCGACCATCTCATCAACGTTACTCTCCCATGGCTGCTCCCCCCATACCTTGAACCATACTACCATGGCAGCGGCTGTGGACATCCTACGATTTGTAGGCCGGAACATTGGGGTCGTTGTGTCCATTCTGTTCAGCGCTACATATGTCTACCTAGGCCTCTACCACCCTCGCAACCCCCTTCTTCCCCTCATGTATCGAGCGTTGCAGTGGCTCCTATACGGAATTCTCTACACCGGCGTGGGCGTGCTGGCTTTCTTTGCCATAGCGCTCTTTGTGGTGACTCCAATGGTGAACATGCTGCTCGAGGGTGTCGATAATGGTGATGAAACCACCGATACGAAGATGCCCGTAGCGCGAGACAATGAGGAAGGCATCGTTACAGGGAGCCCTGCGGACCAAAAGGGCCTTCGAGCAACGCTCTCCGATGTTGGATTTCTGGCTTTCATTGTTTTGCTCCTCGTTGCAACGGCATTCTCTCTTCGGCCCCCAGAGATGTCGGTCGTCAACGGCACGTGGACCATACTTCTACAAGCGACAACCCACGTCCTTATCGTCGCCATCTGCATTCTTGGACCTATTCTCATCCTTTCCGCTCCAGTGTTAGCTGTCTTCGTGATGGTTAACCGGCTCAGTTTGGAGCCATACAAAACCAAGTGGTCGAACTATACGCGGGTCTGTGTCCGTGCGATCTTAGGCCTCTTTTTGTACACACTTTCCCTCCAGACTTACACCCTTGTCGTCGCTACCCCAACACAATCGAAATTTGGCCAACAAACTCTATCCCCACTGCCCTTCCTAACCTCGACTCTCCAAACCCTCGGCATCTCCGCCTACTCTCTGGCCGTCCTCTGGACAGTTTCAGACCGTGTAGCATCTCGTTTATTGCGTCGGGCAGTTACTCGTCCGGAAATAACCACCAATCCTCCCCCACGTCGTCCACTGCAAGAAGGACTTCTTCAATGGGCCAACTTCGTCGTCATGCCGTTTGCTATGGCGCTTGACGGGTATGCTTTCAATGGTCAACTCGGAACGGGTATCAAAGTTTTGATTGCGGTTACTCTCGCTGCTTTCGGAATCGTCGTGCTGGATTTTTGCATCTACTGGGTGTATTTCTGGACACAATCTGGTGTCAAAGAGCCTCTATCGGACTCACCAAACGAAGCGAAAATTGTGTTGACCCCCAGCAAAATCATGGGCGTTTTGCTTATTCAACTTGCGCAACACCACCGCAGAGCTGCTGCTGCCGCAGGTCCTAGTATCAGTAAGAGCATTGTGGAGGGAGAGTCGATTGGGAGCGAAAAGGCACCCGACAGTGAGGGCACATAAAAAGTATGTTATCGTGACAAATCAATTTCCTCGTCACTGAAAAAGTATGTTATCGTGACAAATCAATTTCCTCGTCACTGACGTCATTGACAGGACTTTTTTTGCCTTCCACCACCACATTTTCGCCACATGGCTTTGCTCTCCCCGGACCTCTCATCATCCAAATCCAAACTTTACGCATTTTGGGTTGCTACACTCCTCGTTTCCCCTTTCTCCCACCGAAACCCATATTTTCCGACCAAATTTTTTGATGCTTTCCTTGATAACGTCCGCTCAGAATTTCGATCCCGTTGCGCACATCACTGCGGCAGTACTGACTCCGTTGCTATACCTCGACAGGCATTTGAACTGAGTCCGCTGGTCAGCCCGAGACTGACAGAACGAACTATCAAACCAACATTGCCATCGTTGCAATTACCGTTGCTGCAGCTGGCATGCTTGCCTATACTCAGAGCCATCGATTACATCATCCCCTAACCTTGCCTTTGCGACTGGCATAATCCTTCTTCGCGACGTTGTGATTTTGGTAGCTGCATTTTTGGCTGCATCTGTGCTGCTATTCCTCCTCCTTTCTCCCATGCTTGTCATGCGGTACTCATCTATAGTCTTGCCTTTGTTGCACATGGGATGCTTTCTGCTCCTACTCCGTCGCGTTATTCAAGATCTACACTCAATGCATCATAACACCGCTTTTTGTCATCATGAGGCCCTTGGCTCTCTTCGTATCCACCGTCGAAGTCTTCTATATCGCATGCAATCAATTCACACTTTACTGTCTCGGCCGTGCAATGGCTGCTCACCCTCAAGTGTTTCGGCGGCCATCGAATGTACCCTCCGATTCACCCATACAGCAACCGGTACACGTCGTGGTCTTGCTCGTCCAATCCTTCGTTCTCCCAGGCGCTGTCCTCCTCGCCTGGTCCAAGTTGACCGGCGACACACTCTTCCCAAAATTACCGTGGCTAACAGTCACGGCTGGTGCGACACTTTCCGTCGTGATAATTGATTTGGCGGTGTACTTCCTCTATGTATACTGGAAGCATCCGCTCGAAGACGTGAGCGTGTTGGACGAGATGGGCATATTGGTTGGCGTCTATCTATTGAGGAGCAAGGAACGGTCGTTTTTGGATGTGGTTAATCAGATGCGGAACCAGCGGTTGGAGAAACGGTATATAGAGAGCGAATTAAGGAAGCGTGGCTACATCCCATTGTAAAAGATTTGAGTGACAAAAGTGCATTCCGTTAGCTCAACAACTGACTCGGAGGCTCACGCGCCGCCTTCAAGTTAGAAAAGCTGTTCCCGAGGACCTGAAGTAACAAGATCGTGCGGGAGCCTGGAACTCAACTGGGACGGACTACAGTACTCAGTAAAAAAAGGTACCCAATCGCGGATCAATATGCTTCGCTAATATTTGTCGAGGAAAATCTCTGGCGATCACAGTCAACCATTCAACCCTTCTTTGCCTTCCATCCTCAATATGCCCCTGCTCTTCCCCAAACCCCTTTCGTCATTCAGATCCAAGCTTTACGCGCTTTGGATCGCTGCACTACTTGTACCGAGTCCTCCTTCTTCCCGACGGAGGCGTCGCCCATATCTTTCCACCAAAGTTTCTGATGCTTTCCTTCCACAACACTGGATACCGCATTCAAGAAAATTCGATCCTGTCGTACATGTAACTACAGCATTATTGACACCGCTCCTATTTCTCGCACTCGAGCAACTTTTGAAGGGAATCCTGACACGACCTGTGGTTTCGCTGTTCGATGCAACAGGCATTTGGAGTCCAAGTCAGGACGAGTCCGGCGATATGGCCAAGAAGGATGCGCCGAGAAATTACCAAAACAATTCTCTTGCGGCCCTCATTCTGGCAGCAGCAGGTTTACTTGCGTATATGCAACAACCCTTGGTCAAATCGTGGACCGAGCTTACCATCCCTACTGCCATAATCCTGCTCGACAACATTGCAAAACTTGTAGCTGGACTTCTGGCCCAAATTGTACTCCTTCTACTCTTACTCGCCCCGATGCTGGCCTTACGACATTCACGCATATTTGTGGCCATGTTGCAACAGGGATCGATAGGCTCATTGATGCTTTTGTTCATTTTGGGTGTCGTTAGGCTCTTCAGGAAACAGTTACAAAGAGCCATCCCATTGCTCTCTGTCGTGATGTTGGTCTACGGTCTCGGCGCTTGCGCCTTCGAAGTCCTCTATCTTCTTTCCAATAATATCGCCCGCTACTTCCTGCATCGTGCGACTATCGCTGAGCCTGAAATATTTCGGAAGAAAGCGCCGCATTCTACTTCGGGATCCCAAACAGACATCCCAGTCTTGCTTTTCCAGTCGATTCTCTTACCCGGCACCGTCATCCTCGCACCGTGTTTGCTGATCAACGGCATGGTCCTTCAGAGAGTCATATGCCTGTTCGCAATTGTGACCGCCACTATTTGTGTCATTGCTCTCGACCTCGGAGCGTACCTTTTTGACGCATACTGGAAACGGCCGTTCCAAAACGTGAATCTGCTAGACGAGATGGCTTTACTGGCTGCCCTATATGTGTTCGGAACTAGCGGGGGCACATCATTTTTGGAGGCGATATATCAGATGCAGAACCAGCGGCAGATGAAGGACGGGTCAAAGCCGCCAGGTGATAATGAACAAGTCAAGACCTGAGGCCTGATTTTTCAAGATTTTGCTCGACATACTAGTATACTTGATTCGAATGCTATAATTTACTCTCTGTCTTCGGCTTGACTGCATTTGGCTCTTGAACATTCTCGTCCGAGGCGACGCCAATATCCGTCAATGCACGCAGGATCAACTCCAGCATTGTCCAGATTGATTCATGCTCGTCCGTGGAGTTGTTAGCCGTCCAGAGATAAAGGGCTGCGCGAACTGCTAATGTGTCAAGCACGGCAGTTGGTGAGGCAGCAGTAGCGGTGTTTCCTATCATCACACAGTATAAAGCGAGATTGAGCGCGAAGAGGCCAACGCCGAGGCCGGTGTAGACGGAAAACAGCACGGTCCAGCGCCGTAGCTCATTGTCTCCGTTTTGTAGCAACAGCCCTATGAAAGAGAGGGTAGCCGGGAGGACAAGTGGTTGCGTGAACTTGGTCATGAGCGAAGAGTAGGAGGATGAGGGGTTGTCGAATGCTTCAAATAAAGTAGGTTCGACCACGGTCGCCCGTCGGAAAAGGTAGTTTGCGGTCATGGACGTGAGGAGGTAGAATAACTGGCAGAAGAAGACAACCTCTCCAAGCCAGCAGCTTGCTGGCGATACCACTTCCGTCGCCTGCCAACGAAGGTGAGCAAGTAACCCCGGAGGATACTGCCAGTGTTTATCGAGGCCGAGATGAGTTAGAGCTTTGAGGGACATTCCATAAGCCGATAGGAAGGTGCAAGCAAGAGCTGCGTAGTTGAGAACGCGGATAACTCTCTGTTGGTGGTACATAATGAGTATGGGTGCAATTGGGGATGCGCCAAATAGGATCAGGCCATAACACATATTCAGCGCGCCGTTTCTGGCCAGATTTCCGAAGGTGCAGAGTGTTCCCGAAATAATTGCGGGCCAAGATATGACAGATCCTGGCCGCTCGCTGATGTGTAAAAGCGCGGCGGCGGGAATAATGAGAGGGACAACAATGAGTGCTGGGATCAAGGCTGGGATGGAAAGTCCGAGGCTCTCGAGAGACATAAGAGCTCCTCGACGTTGCTCCGGGGTCGGGTTGACTGGCTCGGTCCGGTTAAGCTTCTTTGACTTGACGCGCGCCGACGTGAGCAGGTGTAGAAGGCCGGTCAACACAACTGGCGCAAAAGCAAAGGACACCGTCAAATAGACGAACGCGGTGATGAAAGCGTAAGCTATCGGCGCAAACGGTGCAGAATAGTCGAAATTGTGGTCGGTAATGCTATATTGGACGACAACGCAGAGCAAGTAACATGTCAGCGTGAATTGACTTGGTGTCCAAGCGAGCAGGTGGTGGCGGAGTCGAAGTTTGGTCGAGGCTGCCATCCTGGGCAGCAGAAGAAGTGGGAAAGTTGTGGCTGGCCTCTCCTCTGAGCCATGGTCTTATATCAAGATTCGGTGGGCGTGTCGGCAAAGAGGTGAATGATCGGGAGTTCAAGTTGCTTACTGACTTCTTTCTGTATCCTTCTGTCTATAAGGTCACTGTCAGCAGGAACACCGTTTTCAGGGAGTTGTACGGTAGTATGTGGCGCCGCCAGCACTTGTTGAAAGTTTTTACATAATCAACTGCCTTTTTCACTTCCATCCACTTTTTTCGGCCGCCCTCAGCGCCAAATCGAAAGGCATGTCGACCCATGAAACCGCACTTCTTCCCGATCCGAACTCCGAATGCATGGCACTCAGATTGCCAGTCGAAATTGTGACCAAGATCTTTCTGGATTATCTTTCAACGGAGCCGACCAAGGATGATGACCCTCACGGGTTCCCGTATATTACGCCCCACATTGCACACCCGGACGCAGGAACACTTGCGCTTGCCAGCATTTGTCGTTATTGGCGACAAATTGCCTTGGACTTCACCCCTTTGTGGACCACGTTCAGTGCTACATTATCGCACCCATCGACATGGGACAGCATACCCCCGGACGAGCAGCCTCCGAATTCTCAGTCCTTCACCGAGCTCGGGCGGACTTGGTTGGGGAGAACCAAGAGCCAACCCCTTTCTCTCCAGCTCTGCGCTAGATGCGGCACAGGGCTCGAGCGGCATATATACTCCCCGGCTATTGGCGATATCCTTGCTTTGAAGGCTGAAAACATAGCGTCCTTGGAAGTTTATATGGCGCCTGGCCTTTCGCAGGACCTCGACACCCGCAATCTGATGTTCCCTGCTCTGGAGACCGTTTTCCTGGATGCCAACGCTTGTTCCCATGCTGGTCTGAACTGCTCCATACTCACCCGAATGCCACGACTCAAATCACTGGCCATTCGCAACATATTTTTCCGTGATTTCATCCTACCACTCCCGTCATTCCCCGACCTTGGCCACTTTTCTGGCGCTGAGCTCACGGTCATGGAATGCATGGTCACATTCGGCCATCTGCCGCAAGTCTCGCGGTTCGAATTCACTCTGTCCATCTACGAGGAGGAGTATATGCCGCTTGTGCCGACCGAGCACAGCACCCTGCACTATCTCCGCTTGGGTGAACAGCTGGAGCACCAGGCCATCAACGGGAGTCCCCCCTGTGTCCCCCTTGTCCTCCAGTTCGGCACATTCCCCGCCTTGCGCATTCTCCGACTGGACGATGTCAACGACATGTCGAGCGAAATCTTTCAGTCGTTCATCGAACGCTCGCCTGCACTGCGCGAATTGGACATCCGCTCTTCTCAAGGAGGATTCCTCGACTGGGAATCACTTGCGGTTTCTTCGACCCTCCGGCTCACCCATCTGCGCCTGCATGACCCGGGCGACAAACTCACCACCGCCCTTTTTCTCTGCATGAGAATACACCCGGGACGCTTCAGCACACTGAAACATCTCTCCGTCCATCATCGCGCGAGCTCCCGGCTCATTTCAGTCATAGAAGATGTGTCGAATACTGTCCGGGCTCTTCATAAAGAGGGAGAGGCTCCCGTCTTTGAAACCTTGCGACTTGTGGCGGAGGACTGGGACAGCGCTCTTCTACTTACCGCAGCTATAGTTGCGCCATTCCAGCTGCTCAAGGCACATGGCGCGGATATTCACATTGGTACCAGGCGACGTTCGTTTATGTGACGCGAAATAGCATCAATGACTACTTACTGACCAAGATATGTCGCAAATTTAGTTTTGCTTATATTCAGTCCATCTACAACCAAATATAATGCTAGGAGTAGCGTGTGCAGGCAAAACATGGAGTGAGAGACATTAGTGCTAAATTTTCCAGCAGGCGATGAGGAACTCTATTTCAAGTTGAACTTGAAGTTCGCATTTGAAACAGGTAGGTCTGGCATTCCGATTCGATGGCCTCTTGACTTAAACCCCACTCAACATCTTCGTCGCAAGTCCTCACACCTTCCTTGAGCCGCCATCTGGAAGCTTCCCAGATATGCTGTGTTCCATCTCCATCCAAGATGGTGCGAGAGGGGCCCGGCACAATTTCTTCAAAGTACGCCTGGAGGACGTCCCGTTTCCGATCTGACAGCCCCGACGCCGCGCGATTCAAAGGAGCAAAGCCGGACAATGGGAGGGGAGTTTCGACGCCGCGACGGTACGGTGAAGGGATGTTCCACTTGATGTCATACAGGACATCGCGGATGTCTTGCAAATCGCTTGCTAGCCCCTGCTTCGTCGAGGCAAGCCCAAAGTCGATGATGACAGGACAAAGCGGATCGAGATTGCGCAGAACGATATTCCTCGCGGCGTAGTCCGGGTTGTTTACTCCGAGGTTCCGGATGGCGCGAACGACGTCAATCAGTACATGGGAAGCGCACGTTGCGTCGTGGTTAGTGATTTGCGGAGTGGGTGACGAGTTGTTCCGTGTGGAAAGGAGTTGGATACGATTGAGCGTGGCGCCAGGGATATGCTCGAGCGCAAGGAAGGGAACACTTGACAGAAGTGGGTCGTCGAAGCCGTCACTTGGGGGTTTAAATGTCCCGCGACCGAATAAACGAGGAATGTGGCGGCCTTGCAGTGGTCGGAGAGCTTGGTAAACAGCCAATTCGTTGAAGTGCGAGTCGAAAGTTGCCTCCCAGTGGTACATCTCCTGGGACCACAGGAATAACGTCCCTTCACGATCACAAAGGTAATCATCGTAAAATTCTTCCTCTATTTGGTATCGCTCGTCGTCAGTTATAGGGTGGGTCGCGCCGGTGCATTTCCAGTAGTTTGGCCAACTTTTTGTGCGAAAATCGCGCAGGTGGGATATAAAGAACTCGCGAAATCTTGGCGACCACGGAGAAGAGTTGCGTTCAGAGTCGAGCTCTTTCATGAAGGAGAGTCTGTTGGGAATAAACCGCGGGTCGCTAAATTTGAGGACGAAGCGCGGAGGAAACGATGCGGGACCGCTTTGAAGTTCTGCGACAACGACCTGGCTGTATGTGAATGGTTGGAATGCATCCACAACGCGGACCGAGATGGGTAGTTTTTCTGACTGACAATGGGGGGAATAGTTGAGTTGAAGCTGCTGCCCTTTAGAGTAGGCGCAGGAGACAGCACTTGTACCTCAATAGAAATGAGAAGGCATCTCAGAATATCGGTGAAAGACATACTGGAAGCGCGAATGCTGCAATGCCGCCAAAGCAGTCGCCACCCGTGGCTTGGTACTTTAAGCATGTTCATATTTAGAGCGGCTTTGAATCCATACCGCATGTGCGGCATATCTTGCGCATGTCCAATGTCGCCACCTCCATGACTGAGGCAGAAAAAAGCAACTGTGACGAATGTGACAATTACATAATCAACTGAAGTTCCACCCATGACCGCCACCTCGGTTTACTTCACCATAGCACTGAAATGGAAGTTGGGTTGTGCTTTCAATCACGACCATTGACACCACTGGGACCGCGTATCTTTACACCCATCTACACAGCTTGGCTTGACATTTGTCATCTGTTTCAGCCAAAGTAAACCCATCCTCGAGCTACAAGCTATCCGAAATGTGCCGCAAGCCCATCTCAATCGGGTTCTAACTTTTGACTCAACTTGTGCTAGCCTGGAAATATGGTATCGACTACTAGTAGCAAGCTTTCTCAGGACCTAATCTACTGTGGACTCGTATGCCAGTCACTGCTCACAAGCCGGTCGACATTACTCTATCTTACCCTCACTCGAACGCCGCGACTCAAATCTCTCTGTCCGCAATTGACCGCAAATTTCATGGTTCGCAGTTCGTTCCCCACTGCCAGTGCACTTCGAATCCACTCTTTTGATCTACGCTTTTCTAGGCCGGTTCACGACGTGATCCTGATCGTCGAGGGCATCGAAGACGACTAGTAATGGGATGAGCGGCGCAGATTTTGCGATTATGGTTGCGTGTGCGGATGCGGTCAATCAGAATGCTCAGTTTAGGACCTCAAAAACCCTTTAGTAGTCGGGGCTATTCAAGTTGTCGCGCACCTTGCAAAGATTACTCCTTGATTGAAGTTTGAAAATTGACGCCGTTTTGTGGTTACATGAGTCCACGCAAAAAAGAAGGTGAATGATGTACCCGGGCCGACTTCCATCCGCAAACTGAGAATGACTTGAACCCACTAAGTCTTTGTCGACGTCATCGATATTGTGACTTGTACCGCCACACAACTTCTGTATCCAACCATACTCCAACTTCGTGTGGCTCCGAAAGGGTGTCGGAGGCTCCCTGGAGATATCAGTGCAGGTCGTTAGGTTTGATCTCCATGCTTACAGTCCGAGTCGAGCTTTGCTGGGGGACATCAAGGTCACACCTTGGTCGGTCAGCGAAGACCCTTGTTCTTCGTGCCTCTTCTCAAAAGTCCCGCTCTGCTGTCAGTTCAGAAGATACAAGAATCATGGCAAGTATACAAAACTTCGCGTGGCGTTCATTATATCGGACTGTCGGCTTTCATGATCATCAGAAGCGATGGCTTTGCCGCTTTGAAATGGGCAAGAAATGGGCCATCCGCAGGTCATCCGACTCCGGCGACTCGTTGGTGTGAGTATAGGGCCTTCTGGTAAGTATCCTGCCTTCTCTGTGGTTGTGATTATGAAGTTAGAGAGCATATGGCGGATATCTCCGCCCTGCAGCACACCAGGGCCGCGCGTTGTCGCCCCGCATTTTCCTGCCAATCCCATTGCCAAGCCAGATCTACAAATGGGGCTTCAGCTGACTTCAGCAAAGCTTAAGGCTGAGGACCGATGTGTCCGATGACTTGATTGTCGATCCTAAACAACCATCAACCTGTCTTCAACTCATGCATATGGTCCTTTCACATGGCTCCTTTTTCGACAAATATAAGGACCACACGGACTTCATGCACGCTCATCTCTCGTTTTATACCCTCCCCCTCCCCTCTTTCCGGTGACGATGCGCGTCGCATTCGGCTCCTTGGGTCTTTGGCTGTATGGCTTTGCGAGCTTAGCTAAGGCTGCTCGTCTTGACCTCCGCGCTACTTGGGAAGGACCCCTCAGCACCCGTGGTCGCTGGGTTGTCGATGCCAACGCAAACCGCTTCAAAATGCGTGGCGGGAACTGGCATGGTGGAAGCGGAACTTACGACGGCTCTGGTGACATCAACGACGATGCCAACCACGCCGGCGAGAATTCGTGCGTAAACACTATCTTTACCGTTGCGAAATTGTCTTCTGAAGCCGCTTGCCAGACATACTATGCCGCTTGGTCTCCAATACGTTCCTATCGACAAAATCATCGACTCTTTCGTCCAACTCGGCCTCAACACTATTCGTCTTCAATTCTCGCATGACATGATCCACGATAATAACATCGTCAACGATGCCTGGATTGCCGCCAATCCTCAGTTCAGAGGCCTCAAACCACTTGAAGTCTACGACCGTGCCGTCACTGCCCTTACCGACCGCGGTTTCGCTGTTGTCCTGAACTATCATACCATTACGAGCCGGTGGTGCTGCGGAATCGATGGCAATGAACGATGGGACTCGTCTCAGAGCTTCGATACCTATGCTGCCGACTGGGTCTTCATGGTCAACCGGTACAAGTCCAACAAGCGCGTGGTTGGCGCTGATCTCTACAACGAGGTCCGCCGCGACATCTTAACAGACCCTAACTGGGGTAGCGGCGGAGATGCAGACTGGCAATCGGCATCCCAGACCGTCTCTGACCGAATCTTGACTGCGCACCCCGATATCCTCGTCATTGTCGAGGGCATCAACTGGGTCGGCATTCCTGTTGATGGCTTTTTCCACGAGCGTCCTACTCTCAAACCCGTCGCGCAACTCTCGCACACTCCACTCGTTCCTCACAAGGTATTTGGTTGGCATTCCCTTGGTCAGGTTACTGACCCAGACTCGCAGCTTGTCTATAGCGCACACTTCTATGCCTACACCGGTCCCAACCATAGCGGCGCGAGTGGTGTTGGAGAGACCACCGATGCTCGCTACCGTGACTTCACTCGCGACGAATTGTTCAACGTTCTCAGAGACACCGCTTTCTATGTCTCTCTGACCGAGAAGATGCATTACACCGCTCCAGTCTGGATCTCCGAGTTCGGCAGTGCCGGTCTTGGTGAGAACTTCGACCGCAACAAGATCTGGTGGCAAAACTTCATCGACTACCTCGTCCAAGTCGATGCCGAGTACGCCTATTGGCCTCTTGTCAGCTATGCCGGCGCAGGAGGATGGGGACTGACCACGTGGGAGAAGACTCCTGGCGGAGGCAATCGTAAAACCGTTCTCGACGGCGATGACTGGAGAGCCACTGCCTGGAACCAGCTTACCAATAGCGCTGGACGGACTGGCGGAATCCCCGTTTTCGATGAATGGAAGCAGCTCAACATCGACCACGGCGACTACATGCAGTCGCAAACCGTTCGCAACACCCTTGGTGACTGGGACAACGGCGCGTTCAAGGCCAACTGCCCCGACAACCACCGTCTCATCGGCCTTTCCCGCTCCGGTCGCGGTCTTTGCACCGACAATGGCCTGGGCAATATGTTTGGCGGCGCCTTCCAGACCGTCTGGGACGAGCGCAACATCAAGAACGACTGGGCGAGCGGCTACACCAAGTTCGGCTGTCCAGCCAACCACTTCATCAGCGGTTATGCCTTCCGTGGCTCGCGCGTTTCCACTGCCATCTGCACTCGCGCCAACCGTAACCTCGGCACGAACGGTCGCACTGTCTGGTTTGACCAGGGCGACAACCGGGCCGACCAGCTCGGCGGAGACTTCTCCTTCGGTCAATTCAAGGGCAGCTGTGCGCCGAATGAGTATATTGGTGGGATCGCTTTCACGACTAGGATATTTAACAATGGGGCACCAGCGGCATTGTACTGCGTATCATAATTATTCATTGACATTCTGTATACCACGAATCTTGTTTGCATTGTGCAATAATCCTCGCCACTGAATAAAGCAAGAGGCACCAAAAACGTACTTAGTTGTTCCGAACGGTTGGTCAGGCATTTACTAGTATCGCTTACTTGTATAGTACTGGTATCCAATTCAAATGCCTCCATCTATGTAGTCGAGTCTTCCTTGCTAACTACATACATGGCAGTTCGGACAACTTCAAATGAAGTCAACGTTGGCTCCCAACATCAGCTGGTTTTGACCCAAAGCATCACGTTTCAATAAGTAGACAACTCGACCAAAGCTACCAAGTTACCAGGTAGTAAGTATGTGCTCCAGTCCGAGTCGTCGACGTGCATAATTCCTTATAATTATTGGTTTCGATGCTCTCTAAGTTCCCCTTCGCGATCGCTCTCGTCGTCCAGTTGCCTTGGCCATGACTTCCAGAACAATATATGACTTCCTCACTTGCAGATAAGATCTTATGTAAAGATAAGCACAGTATGTCTGTCACCGCCACCACCACAACCACAACGTCGGTCTCCACAACCTAGTGCAGGTAGCAGAAGTGTTGGGCATTGCCGACGCCGTGGCAACATGTTTCCAGAACACGACTTACTATCCATCTGCACAACAAGCGGCCACGAGGGCTCTCATCCTCCTTGACTATGCACAGACACGGTTCATCCATCGAAGCGACGGCGACCCCACATTTGAAGATGGTGACAACGGATACCGCGTCGTTTTTTTCAGACATCTTGACTGGGTCCACCAGTATGGCACTCTCGACAACCCTCTCGCATGCCTGTCCCCCTTGACGACCTACCTCCAACTCATCCTCCGCTCGACACCCATGGAACAGTGGACTGCCCCTTCTCCCCTCTCGCCGCTCGGCTTGGCCTGTCACTGGGCACGCGAAAGCCCCAAACTCAGCTCTCGGACCCTCGATGTCGTCTTACTCGTCACTATCGGGCGCTATGTCGGTCGCGTGGTCGTTGATTCCAAGCAACGGACCGTGAGGAAAGCACAGGATGCTGCTCGTGCCCGGGCCCGCAGTGTCAGCTACACACTCTTCTGGGCCGCAGTCCAGATTGCCCGCCAGCATTTGCTGCCCGAGACAACAACAACAGAACAGCAGTCACCCGCCGCGGACACAATCCTGCACACGGCGAAACTATTGTGGGCGGCCGGTGAGGAGTATGGCCGGCTGCTTAGTCAGCCAGACCTCGATGAGGCATATGTTGGAGACATCATGCGTATATGGACCACCGCTATCGTTGCAAAGGCGGCGCCCCTTGTCCCACCGAACCTCTTGAAGGCTATTCCCGGCCTTTCCGAGGACTTGCACGATCTCGGAGATGATGATTCATCTTGGACGAGCAGTCGCGTCACCGCGAGGGTAAGATTGTACTAACCTCACACTACGAACTGCTCCTCTACTTATCATAAACACCTGTAATAGCTTCTTCGAGCACAATGTTCCACTATAGGCTAATAATACTCTAGTCATCGGTCTCGATACCCTTCCTCTTCATGGTCGCTCTCATCATCTTCGCCGACCTTAAATATGTTTGGCGTCCCGGGCTCAATCGCCCGCTCCTTTCCTTTGCCATTCCCATTCGGCTTTTGGTCCCGGAAAGCGCTGCCTTCATCGTCATCCAGCCTGCTGCTGTTGAGTGGTATGCTTTCCTCTCCAGTTCGTTCCATGGGCAGCCGAGGACTGCGATTTCGTCGCCTGCGACACCAAACGCAGAGACCAATGATGGCGAAGATGACGGTCAGCACGAGAGCAGCAGCACCGGCGTTGTAGTATGCTATCAGAAGTATGAGACGAGTAAGGTAAATGACAGCAAAACTCACCCTCCCACATCGCCGTTGTTTGCTGCGGACTTTTGGTGGCATCTGGAGCTGCGGTAGGAGCTGCTGCCGCGCTATTCTCCAAGAAGATAGGTTTTGTACTCGTGCCCAAGCTACTTGGAATGCGCGCTGACCCACCAACGAGCGCGGAAAAATCGACACCGATAAATCGAAGAATCATGTCGTGTCCAACATGCGGAAGATCGAATGGAGCCATGTGCGACGCGTTGAAGATTTTCGCGTATGTCAAGTTACGGGAAGAGACCCAGGTCCCTGCAGGCGCATTTGCCACGCTCCAGGATTGAGTTTGGACCGTCTATCATCCAGTCAGCTGAGTTTGGAGCGGGTATTAAAGCTTACACCCAATCCTTTAGCGCCGTTCCACTCCATGGCCTGAATCATGGCTTCGAGACCGACATAGTTGCAGATAAGATCTTGATCACCCGCGAAGATAAGGACAGGGATGCGTGCAAGAAGTTTGGGTAAAACTGTAATGGCCGATGCTTGCTGCCTTTCGCGAAACTCTTGATGAATGCGGCCACGACACTCCACCCAAGAGCCTGGATGACGCTCGGCATGTAAAGCGCGAACGACGTCAGGTCGCTATGAGAGCCTTAGCTTAGTTTAAGCAAATAAGGAGCGACCCACGTCGAGATAGGTCGTCACTGGCTTTATGTCTGGAGGCCAGTTCATTCCACAAGCAGGCATAACATCGTCATAGCGAATATCGTAAATGTTGATGCACATGGGCTCGTTGTTAACACTGGAAAAGGATAAGTAGGGGTCCAAGCAGGAAGAGGGTTCACGCACACTTTCTCTCTCACAGCTGTCACGTCCAGCAATAATCCTTCGCATTTTGGAGAGACAATGGGCTCCCGGTCCGTTATAGTTTTGAGTTCGTCCACGCACTCGTCCGTTCGCTTCTTCGCGGCTTTCCAAGCGTCTGAATTTTCTTCCAGTATTCCGACTTTGACAGCATAGTCGATATAAGACGGATATTGCCTTCGCGCGTCGATCCAGCCATTTCCGATAGCAACTCCATGAAGCGGCGTCGGCAGGTCAGAATTAAGAATGGCGTCTGCAAAGTAAGGAATCCATTGACCAGCGTAGCTTTCGCCACCAAGATACGTCTGAATGTCTTTCAGAAAATGGGACCCGGTAAAACAAGACCAACAACGCACCTCCATCTTTTGGTACTCTGGAAATGTTTTGTAGAAATTCCTCAGGAACTGAATCAACTGTGCAGAGGCTTCGTCCATGGTATGGATGTAATGATCGGTGCTGGTGTAAGAAAAACCTGTTCCAGCAGGCTGGTCGACTGGAGAGAGTTAGGAAAATTAGGACGAAGAAACTAGGCACCCACTATAGACCATTGTCATATATTCTTCCCAACCACCCTCCGCTACTTTGAACCCCCCTTTTCCATCCATCCGCCATGGCCCGACTTCCATCATGAGTCCGTCGAATGACGAGCAACCTGGGCCGCCATTGAACCAGAACATTATACGCTTTTTGTCTGCAATTCGACGGTTTTTGATCATGACGAAGAATAAATGTGCGGTAACGGTCTTCGAATCGACTTTGTCTTCATTTGGGTCGGATGATATATGCCCGGAGAAGATAGTCAGCGGATGTTCAGGGTCTTGGTGAATGTCGGGGAGAGAGGGAACGTAGAAGGAAGCTGCTGACGGGACTAGTTCTGTCAGTAACGATGTAGAGGATGAAATTGATGAGACCGACCGTCTGTGGGCGCCGCGAGAGATAATGACGGGAAATATAAAGCGGGTAACAGAGAAGAAGCGAGCACTGCAAACCAACACGCCGAGCGAAGCATGTTGTGTAAACAGCTGACTATGCCCAAACACCGCGTTAGCGGCCACCACCAATCCGTAATTCAACGTCTCTGGTGTTGGAGGGTGACCAAGTCAAGTAAATGGAGCCAGCGACAGACGTCGGAGAGCGAGAGAGAGAGATCAAAATTGCACGTGGAGGCCGCTGTCATTCGTTATCGTGCCTGAGCCTTTTCCTTCCGCCCCACCATCTTCCGCTATGAGGTTGTTACCATTTGGCCTCGCCCTTCTAACCACGGCGCATGCGCAATACTTCTCTGAAGGCTGGAAACCTGGCCAAGCGGTTACGGCGGAGCGTGGTGTCCCGACAGGCAAATCTGGCGCGCCTCTCGCTGGAGGACACGCTAGTCCACCAGGAGAACAAATTCCAGCCCAAGACCAAGCGCCTCCAGAGCATTTCAGTCTAACTGACTTGTTCGATATGACCAAACTCATGAATACAAGCACGGTCAAGGGTTTATTCGCCAAAGCAGGTATCAACATAACGGCACAACTACAAGCCGCGACGGCGACTCTTTGGGACGAACGCATACCCCTTATCACGGACGACAACTATGATTCCCTGGTTGTCAACGAGAAGTTTGAAAGTATGCAGGAAGAACAGGAAAGGGTTTGGATTGTCGTCGTGTGCGTTTCCTCGGCTTCCACGTTCTCGTCTGACTAAGAGAGCAGCTCTGCTCAAACTTCGCGTCAAGAGGGGCTCTCCAAATTTTTTGACACGGCTTTCGATGAGGCCTACAATGAGACGGTTGTCGCGGGTGACCTCCCGAATGTCCGCTTCGCTAGAATCGACTATCTCAACGTAACATACCTTACCACTAAGTGGAGCCTCTGGGTGTAAGCTCTTTCCTTTTGACATTATTTGCACAGCCGTTCAATCATTCATAGTGCTCCTGCAATTGTTGTTATTCAAGATCGTGGTCACACTCTCCGTTTCTACCGCCCAAATCAACTGCGTATTGCCCACGGCGCCCTCCGACAATTCCTTAGTCAAGAAGGCTACAAGCAGACGCCTCCGTGGTCTAGCGCATTCGCTCCTGGCGGAAGTCGGCAAGTTTTCCTGCTCCATTCTTCGGGCTAATCTCATGGAATCACAGTGAATTTGTCATGCACTACTTTGCTCTGGGTCTGACCAAAATCTACATGATTACCGTTCGTGTGCCTCGCTGGGTGCTCCTTGTTGTGTCTGGCAGTGCCGCTTCCTTCATATTGAACCTTTTCCATGGGTTTGGACCCAAGAAAAAGACGCCAGCTACTAATGCACCAACGCCAGTGCGTGCTACACAATCAGTAACTGCAGCAGCAGCTCCCGCCGCCCCGACGCCTGTCGCTGCAACCGGGAGTCCCAGTGGCGGCGCGAAACAACGCAAAGGAAAGAAAAAATAGGGAAATCATGACTGTAAAAGTAACTTATCTATCTACCTCGATGTTACAGGGAGCTCTCTATACTGCTGGATGTACCACTATATGCTGTGGTGTAATGATATACCTTTGACCTCTTAATTTATGAGTTGGGAAAAAGTCACACTTTTTTTTAAGTTTTTATGTACCTCTTGTCTTGGTCCATCATGAGGTTTCGCTTTCCGGAGGTTACTCCACGCGACACAACTCTCGCTCTTCCTGATGACGCCGAACAACAAGCTATCGAAGGTGCTCGTCGAGATGCAATTTACGCTGGACTTTCTGCAGCTTTAGCCTCAGGTTTTTAGTTTTCTTACTATTTGTTTCTCTGGGCACTCAACTTATTCAAAGCGGTAATTGGCTCCAAGTTTATGCGGTTCAACCGCACACAGATGATACTGAGTGGTATTGGTGCGTGTCCTCAACCTTCGCGGAAGCAAAGTAACAAAATCGATCTCTAGGCTCTGGCGTGCTCTCGGGGTACTACTTCAACAAGGCATTCCTCGGCGCGAATATGTCTCAGCTAGAGCGAGAAAGGGAACGGCTGAGAGTCGAGGCAGTCGTTAAGAAGGAAGAGAGTGGATCGGATTGAGGAGGAGGATGGGAACTGAAATTTCTCTGTTGGTTTTCTATATTTCTTTGAGAGCGAAGCCATTATTGACTTTGCCAAGAAACAACTCCAAGTAACCCATGTTACTCGTCGAATCCGAGCCTTTCTCCCACATATACTGGATCTACCACTCAGGAAGTGAATAGACTGGATCCATCAGTCGCTTTTCAATAACAACTCCGACCTGCATCATGCAGTCTTCAAATCTTGTGGTCACCCACATGGCTTCGCGTTAACCGCTCGATATAAAGCTTTGGCTCATACTCACGCCTGGCCACATCCCTTTTCTGAATGCGCCTTTCACTGAGCACTCTGGGGTTATGGTTCTGTCTTGTTTCCGCCACTCGTCTTGACCTGCGAGCCACCTGGAATGGTCCCCTTAGCACTCGGGGTCGTTATGTCGTCGATGCAAGCGGCAACCGCTTCAGAATGCGAGGCGGAAACTGGCACGGTGGAAGCGGGACTTATTCTGGCTCTGGTGATATCAACGACGATGCAAACCACCATTCCGGAGAGAATTCGTATGTCCTTGTTCTCATGCAAAGAATAAGTAACTCATCAATAGTAGACACACTATGCCGCTTGGTCTCCAATACGTCCCCATCGACAAGATTGTGGATTCTTTTGTTGAAATCGGCATCAATACCATTCGTCTTCAATTCTCCCATGGGATGATCCACGACAACGCTATCATTAGCGATGCTTCTGTCGCGGCAAACCCTCAGTTCAAAGGACTCACCCCATTACAAGTCTACGACGCTGCTGTCACGGCCCTCACCAACCGTGGCATCGCAGTTATTCTCAACTACCACACCATAACAAGTATCTGGTGCTGTGGGGTTGACGGAAATGAGCGATGGGATGCTTCGCAAAGCTTCGATACATATGCAGCTGACTGGGTCTTCATGGTCAACCGATACAAATCAAACAAGCGGGTTGCCGGCGCAGATCTCTACAACGAGGTCCGCCGCGACATTCTGACGGACCCGAACTGGGGCAATGGCGACGGTGCTGACTGGCAACAAGCTTCTCAGCGTGTTTCGGACCAGATCTTGACAGCCAATCCTGACCTCCTCATCGTCGTCGAGGGTATAAACTGGGTCGGCATTCCAGTTGATGGCTTTGCCCACAGCCGTCCCACCCTTATTCCTGTTGCCCAACTCTCGCATACTACACTCATTCCACACAAGGTAGAAGGATGGTCATTCATCGTCGCATTATTTCTCACTCGTTCGCAGCTTGTTTATAGCGCTCACTTCTACTCGTACACTGGTCCCAACCATAGTGGCGCGACCGGCATTGGCGAAACCAGCGACCCTCGTTACCGCGATCTCAGCCGAGATGACCTTTTCTCTGTGGTCAAGAGCTCCGCGCTGTATGTCGCTCTCACCAGCCAAATGCATTATACCGCTCCAGTTTGGATTTCTGAGTTCGGAGTCGCTGGTCGCACTGACAACCTTGCTTTGGACCGCGCCTGGTGGCAGAACTTTATGGATTTGCTCGCCCAAACGGATGCTGACTACGCGTTTTGGCCACTTGTTGGTTATCTCGATGCGACCACGTTGGCTGGCAATGGATGGGCATTGATGAACTGGGAGAAAACTGTCGGAGGTGGTACTCGCAAGGGCCTTCTCGACGGAGACGATTGGCGAGCAACTGCGTGGAACCAGGTACTGAATGGCAATTCGGCGACTGGTCAGATCGCATCGGTTCCTGAATGGAAGCAGCTCAACCTTGACCACGGCGATTTCATCCAGTCGCAGTATGTGCGAGCAAATCTTGGAGACTGGGACAGTGGTGCTTTCAAGGCGAACTGCCCCGACAACCTACGGCTAATCGGGCTGTCTCATGGCTCAACGCGTAGCCTCTGCACCGATGTTGGTTTGGGGAATTTGTGGAACGGCGCGACTCAAACTGTATGGGACGAGCGATATGTCAGCAATGACTGGGCAAGCGGCTACACCAAGTATACTTGTCCTTCGAACTTCTACGCCGCCGGCTTTGCAATTCGTGGCTCAAAGGTGTCGACTGTTATTTGCGCTCGGGCGAACAAGACTCTTGGCACCAATGGTCGGACGGTGTGGTTTGACCGGGGCGATGCAAGAGCCGACCAACTTGGTGGTGATTTTGCGGTGGGCCAATACAAGGGAAGCTGTGCGACAAATGAGTTTGTCGGTGGAGTCGCCTTTACAACGAGAGTGGGAAGCAATGGCGCCCCAGCCGCTATCTATTGTGTGTCGTAGCTCTTTTAGCGTGAATGGCATGTTTTTTTCTGAATCTACGACAACAAAGATAAACTCGAATCCTCTGTGCCAATGAAAATATCTATTCCTTGATGCTGAAACCTTCTGTAGGGTGCTAGACGCTCTTCCGGAACTTCCGGTGTCATCCAATTAGGAGATGGATAAACAAGAAAAAGACGGGCGACTTTGATTTTGGCAAGATTCTTGAATAATTCGGGACGGTCATTATTACGACCTTGAATGACAATTTCTCCGTGGAAAAGAAGGGTTCCCAGTGTGCATTCCTTATCGTTGATGTGTTGTTCTTGTGGCGAAAAATCTCGGCATTCAATTGTCAGCTTTTCGAGAGCAGGGAAAAAATCCTCTCTGCAAGCCATCCAGTATGCAAATAAACGAAGCAGTGGCCCCGACGGATATTGCAAGTGCAGCTCATTAACCTCGTGTGTGAACTCGACCGAGTCAAAGACATCGAGATGATCGTGATCGCTCGCTCTATACTGAAGCTTCTTGAGACGAGGACACTCAGAACGTCGAAAAAAGGCCTTGAGTGTCGCATCGCCGACGAAGGGCATCTCGAGACTCTGCAATTTGGGCAGGGTAAGCAGGTCGATGAATGGCCTTCGCCGTGTCACCACACTGGTATCGTCAAGTTCCACCATAGCTACGCAGAGATGTTGAAGATTTGGATGACAATGCGAAGCCAGCTCGCTTTCTTCTTCGGGACCATCAGAAAGAGTCGCATCTAACCGGATCAAATTTGGAAGGAGACGCAATGCCTGAAGCACCTGAGTTGTTGTGTATGATTCACATCGGAACTCTGTCAGTTGTTTCCACGGAAGCGTGAGCGCCGACATGGATGTGGATTCCCGGAGTACAACTTTGGACAACGAGTCGGGGGCAGCAAACATATCGGGAATGGTGTCCTCTAGAATGCCGAAGTCGACCATTGGGTGGCTCAAATCTAAGAGCTCAAAGTGTAGCTCGCGCAAGCGTTCCAACTGCAATGCATGGCCCTTGAACAAGGGAATCGAATCTTGCCAAATGCACATATCGAGCGAGACAATTCGCGGCGCCAATGCTTTCAGCATTCCGATAAATGGCGAGAAGTCCATATCTGTTGGACCGTGGACAAGCATGGTGAGTGGCATATGAGCTTGGCGGGCAGCCGCGTCACACCACGTTTCCATCGTGCTCAACAAGCGCTTCATGTTCTTGGAGCCTTCCCATCTCTCGCTGTCGATGTACAATGTTTGCCACAGCGACGGCGTGGACTTCGCAATCTGTGTCCATTTCTTGCATATTTTGAGCAGCACAAGCGGAGCTTCATCCTGAGAAATAAAGTTTGGTTGCGAAAGGCAGTGGAAGAAGATCTCGGAGACGATTTCGGGGGGGAGGGTGAGAACCGGGTATGTTGCAGTACATTCCAGCTCGGAGAGTAGTGCATCTCGAGACATTTTCAGTTGGTCTAGCAGTCTCTCCTGCGCGTTAATTTGATCATTTAGGCGTGCAATGCGAGCACGCAAGTTTGCAGTGTCCATTGATGACAGACTGAGAATGAGGAAAAAGAAAGGAGATAATGTGACCGTGCTGTGACCGTGCTGAGAAGCTGACGGGTCAAGGCACGGTGCACCTGAGACCATCATGCTCTGGCTCGACATCCTCGTATCCCCATACACTCTTTTGTGGGCAAAAGTGTTGGACTACCTTCAGATGACAGTGGAGAAGCTTGCCATTTCTCAAGTGCGCTTCCAATTACATTTCAACTGCAAAGCTTACGTGGTGAAAGAGCCCCTTTCTCTTAGATGTCTGACATCAGTGCTACCACCACCAAGTTTGCCCAGGCCATTGGTGCGCTCGGCGGCGTCTGCACCGGGCTCGCTCTTGTGGATGCTGTTGCAGCGCTGAAAGATATGCTTGCCTCCTTTCCTCCGCATATAGGAAAGATGAGGACTGCCTTGCTGGCAGATAAGACCGGGGACCCCGTCGGGCTACAGAACCTGGTCCAGGTGGCGGAAGTGTATGGGATCGCCACCGCTATCGAAAAATGTTTCGAGAACACCACCTACAACCCAACCGCTCAACATGCAGCGACGAAAGCTAGCCTACTCTTCAGTTACGCTCGCAGATGGATCACGGATGACAACCAAACCTCCACCGCCTACCGCACCCTCCTGCTCGGCCGCATTGACTGGGTGCACCAGTACGGCTCCCTCGACAACCCTCACATCTGCTTGGACCCCTTCACCACGTATCTCCAACTCGTTTTGCGCACCACGCCCATGCAGGACTGGCCCGTTGTGGCAGCCGAACGGGACCACCTTTCACCGCTTGGGCTAGCGTGGGATTGGGCACGTGATAGCTCCGTACTCACCCCCCGCACCCTCGAAGTCGTCATGCTCGTGGCAATCGGGTCCACCGTCGAGCGCATCATCGTCACCGCGCCGGAGCAGGCCGCAGAAGCAGCGTGGCAGCCGAGTTTCAGTGATGCACTACTCGACGACGGTTGCTGGGCCGCATTTTGTGCTCTCGGCCGGCAGATGTTCACAAAAGCCCCTCCTCCTTATTCTCAACTGGACAGCGACACCTTGGAAACCTTGGCGCACACGGCCCAGCTGCTGCGTGATGCGGGCGGAGAGTATGCCCAGCTACTACTGGTGGAACATGACAACCAGTCTGAGGAAGTTCAAGCAGATATCCTGATAGACCGCATTCGTACGTGGACGGCAACCATAATTGCAGAGTCTCCGCCCTTGATCCCCTTTTCTCCAACGTCGTTCCAGGTTTTAGCAACGACCCACACGATATCAGTTGATGGCTCGAACCAGTCATGAGAGTCACAAGAGTTCACTATGGCTGGGACGCATCCCAGCATAATGCGGACTTCGTCCTCAGCATGATATACATTTGAGCAAGGATACATTCAAGTAGAGTATATTAGTATCGTTGATCGTTAGACTACCCCGATTGAACTCAAACCCTAGGTTCAAGTTATCAAACAAAGTCGGATTCCGAAGGGGCCTCTGTTCTCGACTTGGCTACCAGGCCGTCTTCGATTACCCCGTTCCCCGCGAAATGTATACGACCCAGCGGCTGGGATTTACTGGAGCTGATACTGTCGGATGCGAGGACCGTTTGAGTCCTTGTGCCAGCAGACGAGTTCGATGGAATCGATAGCTCGATGACAGACCGCTGGTCAAGCGCACGCAAGGTTGCTCTGGAGTTGAGACTGATTCAGGCATAAGCCGAGACCGCGTAGAGAAGACTTGAGAAAACAAACTTGGCTAATAAAGCGTTGGAGAACACTGCAAGGAGATAAGCGTCGTCATGGTTGGGTTTAAAGATGACCTACAGCCCGATAATATACAGTCAATTGCGAGCCAGTTCCCTACCATGCTCGGTAAGCTGATCATCCCCAGAAAAGAAAACGCACAGTTAAAGCGGTTGGAGCAGAACTGTGAAGAGGTTAGCGAGATGTTGAATGATGCAGATAAAACCTACTAGAATCAACTCCAGCGCTGCACCAGTACTGGAAGCGAGCAGAGAGTCAGAAATCCCCAAGTGAAAGTTTGGTGCCAACCTTGTTATCAAGCCAGTTTCTGTTTTCTGGTAAGTAAATGGCCAAAACCCGAAAGTTTTGACTCACCGATCGTCCATGCTATCAGCTTGTCCACAATCACTAGTGTCCTTCTGCGGGCAGACACGCGCTGACTCCACAGACGATAGACCAGACCAAAGACTATAAGGAAATCGCAGGCAACCGAGATTGCCATCGTGCTGTACACAGACCAGTCCTCCTGGCTCACGAAGTCGATCAGTGCGATCGGGCCCATGAGAGCTCCTGCGATGAGAGGAAGGAATGCCAAAACAAATTGGGCGGCAGAGAGGAACCAGATGAGGAATGCGATGATTCTGTAGTGCCCTTTGGAGAGGCGGAAGATGCGGATACCAAAGAAAGCTTGGACTAGTGCGGGTCAGAAGGGGAACGAGCGGGAGAATAAAGTGCGTACTCAATGCTGAATTGACCCCATTAGCGAAGAATGACACAAGAATACCAATGGGAACATAGACGAGGCCTTGTGGGCGGTTGTAGTCTCGGACCGAACAAACGTAAAGCGTTTGTGCGACGGAAACTACATGCAGCGTCTCGAAAAGCCAGACGACCAAAACCTATGGAATAACTTGAGCGCCGTTGTCGATTTGATCAGACATGACGCACAAAAAGCTTCAATTTCCACGAGTCGCCAGGAAAGCGACGGTAATACGCATACGCTTGAGTGGTGGTAACTCCGAAAAGCGCAACGGCAAGAAGAACACCGATCTCGAGCGGCCCTGGGCATGGAATGAACATCGGGATGGTGGTCTCATTTGCTAAGAAACGCACCGAGAGCTCGTGTTTGCGGCGCAGGATCGACGGAGGGCATTGAAGGAGCAGCAGCCTTCCATAAACCTTGCCCATCATCTTATGGACCGGCCTTCGTCGGGCAGGCCGGGTGACATACATACTTGGCTAAGTCCATTCGACGGTGATAAATGCGTTCCAGTCTATACTGGATGTTGCGCAAACCACGGAGATGCGACGCTCAAAGCTGTTGGCGTCAGGATTGGTTCTGGTTAGGCTTAGAGTGTTGTCAAAGCGGAGACCCGAACACAGGCCGCGCAGTATGTTGTGTGTGCAAACATGGCGATGACCAGTGCAGTATCGAGCGGAAGATCATCAGGGCCTTCATGTAAAACACGACACACTGACCAGCACCGAGAAATGAGGGTCTTGTGAGCTGCGATAGTTGACAACGTGAATAGACCCCGGAGACGGATAGCGATAAGCGCAAAAGCTCCGTTTCTGATAGCATACACAGGTTTATTTCCTGTGTTGACTGAGACTCAGTTTCTGAGACTAGTTAACTGCTGCTCACTTCAGGTGTGCTCTCTGGCAAGCTTCGATGACTCGATTTTCTCATTTCTAGATTTTTTCTTGGCGCCGCCGAACTCGGAGTTCAAAGAGACAGAGCGGAAGATAATTCCCTCGAAGGTTTATGCAGCAAAGATGAACATTGTCATCTCAGGCACAACCACCGAAAGACCAAGAGCAAGGGTAAATTTATTGATCGCATCAATCCCATTTCTCTTTCCACCATCATGATGTCGTTGGTGTCCTCTGCTTCTGCCACCCCGACTGCTTCTCTACGCACGCATCTCAATGATATAGCGCAAATGATTGAACAACAGAAGCAACTGCTTGCTCAAATGGAATCCTACGAAACCCAAATCCGACACGAGCTTGACCGCGTCGCGTTTTATCCCGTGTTGTCCCTTCCTGCTGAAATCGTGACCGAAATATTCATTCACTGCCTGCCTGACCCCGAGCACATCAACGCTAATGTTAACGAAGCCCCGCTGCTTCTGATGGCCGTCTGTAAACAATGGGCGCGCATTGCCCTGTCGGTACCTGCTTTATGGCGCTCATTGGAGTTGGATGGGCGGGAGTGGGAGGACCAAGAGCTGCTGGATGTTATGGAACTGTGGTTTCGGGGGAATGCAACGCGAAAAGCTGCGCTCCGAGGCGAGATTTTCCCAACGGTTTTGGCGCGATTCATGCAATCATTTGGAGCCAAGGCGAACAGAATAACGGAGCTGACACTGGCGTTTGGCGAGGAAACGCTTCTCGAATTTAAGGAGATCCCGTTTCAGATGAGCCAGCTCACGGAATTGGCTGTTTACGGGTTCGCTTCAGCGGGGCAAAGTTTGGCGATTAACGCGCCACTTTTACGCAGAGCGTCGTTCTTCTCTATTTCCCCTGCCTCTCTCTCTATTCAGTGGTCCCAGTTAACTGACGTAACCTGCGGCAACTACTCCTTCGACCACTTCTTCGAGGCCCTAAACCTTCTTCCCAATCTTATCCGTTTTGACGTGACTATGGCGTCTGACGGAGAGCATCGCGACCAAACTCGTGGTACACTCACCCACCTGAATCTACGACACCTTAGGCTTGTTCAGGATAGCGATTCTCGTCCACAACTCCCAATGCTCCATTTTCTTGCCCTACCCCATCTCGAGTCCCTCGAAACAGACGAAGCCGATGAAGTTTTCCTCGGCGCCTTTCTCATCCGCTCTGCTGGCCCTCACCTCGAGACGCTGCGTTTCCTGGCCAACTCAACCACCTCCTCCAAGCTCCTCATCACCATTCTACGCACCCTGAACGGACTTGTCTCCTTCGACATGCGGTATCCATCCACCAAACTCGTGTCCAAGTTCTTCAGGCGTTTCTCTGCCGACACCAAGATGCTTCCGAACTTGCGCTCTCTCCAGGTTGGCTGTCGGGACAAAAGTGGCGAAATCTCGCTCGTGGGGCTGACGAGCATACTGGGACCGGCGGTCATCGAGCGGAATAAGCGGGCTAAGCAGAAGGCGACTCAGCGCATCGACACCCTTCGCCTCGTTGTCTCGGCAGCGGCCTGGTCAACGTATACGATCCCCAAATCCGACCTGCAGCCGTATCAAGAGCTCAAAGACGATGGAGTCGATGTGTATCTTGGCACTAAAGACCACCCATTTGAGTGGGATGTAAGCGGATAAAATGATCACCAGTGGAGGGGTTAACGATTGACAACCTCTCGATGTGTTTGCTCTTCGCCAGGATCCAACAGGATCCCTGGCTACTCGCCCATAACAAGAATTTATGGGAAAGCATGTTTCCCCCAGAATACTCGCAAAACAGGGCAGCAAAAGCGTTATCTCAAGACTCAGATCATTGGGTGAACCGTGCACTGAAAGCCACGACATTTCAAGTTGAACCTTGAGGATGTCGGTTATACCTTGAATCGTATACCTATGTCAAGAACAGGGATGAGTGTCCAAAAAGCCCCATGGCACTTTTGAATTCTCAACAGGTCATGTAACTACCATGTCTTGTGAGCAGGCGGATTCAGACTATAAACGTAGAATTGGGATGTACATGATCATTACTTCTATTGATTGTTGCTGTATTATCCTGATGATGAAGTCCGCATCATGAACAGGTAGGTTCTGCGATCGCGTGCTATGTCCTCTTCCTCCAAACCCCACTCTACATCTTCATCACACGTCCTAACTCCTTCCCTGATTTGCCATCTCGGAGCTTCCCACGTGCATTGCTCTCCCGTGTACTCATCTAGAGTGGTGTGAGAGGGTCCCTGCGCAATCTCCTCGAAGTACGCGTCGAGGATGTCCCTCTTCCTGTCCGAGGCTGCCTTGTTCAGAGGGGAAAAGCCGATTGTTCGGTGTGGAGTTTCAGTCGCCCGACGATATGGCGAAGGTATGTTCCATTTGATGTCATACAAGACGTCGCGGATGTCCTGTAGGTTGCTTGCTAGCCCTCCAGCAGTGGAGGCAAGGCCAAAATCGATGATCACAGGACGTAGAGGGTCCAGATCGCGTAGAATAATATTTCTAGCGGAGAAATCCGGATTGTTGACGCCGAGGTTGCGGATAGCTCGGACGACGTCGATTATGGTGTGAGCAGCGCGTTTCGCATTGGAAGGATTGATTTCTGGAAGTGACGACGGGTTGGATGGCGTGGGCGCGAGGTGGATCCGGTCAAGAGGTGCCCCAGGAATGTGCTCAAGAGCTAGGAACGGAACACTCGCCAGTAACGGGTCCTCGAAACCGTCGCTTGGAGGTTCATATGTCCCGCTGCCAAATAACCGCGGGACATGACGACCTTGTAGTGACTCGAGAGCATGGTAGACGGCCAACTCGTTGTGGTGCGAGTTCAAAGTCCGCTCCCAGTGGTCCATCTCTTGTGACCAGAGATACAAGGTCCCTTCACGGTCACAGAGGTAATCGTCGTAAAAGCTCTCTGAATCCTCTATTTTGAGTCGCTCTATCGACGTGAGAGGCTGGGTAGCGCCAGTGCATTTCCAATAGTTTGGCCACCGTTTTTCGCGAAAGTACCGTAGGTGGGAGATGAAGAAGTCGCGAAATCGGGGAGACCACGGAGAAGTGTTGCGTTCCGGGTCCAGCTTCCCCATTAACGGGGCTCGGTTGGCAATAAACCTCGGATCGCTGAATTTGAGGACGAAGCGCGGAGGCAGTGATGGTGTGAGGCCGCTTTGAAGTTCCGCAATGGCTACTTGGCTGAATGTGAAAGGTTGAAAGACATCGAGAATGCGGACGGAAATGGGAGATGGAGCCTGGTTGGTGGGAAGATAGTTGAGTCGGAGAAGCTGCCCTCTAGAGTAGGCGCAGGGAATAGTGCTTGTGTCTGAACAGAGGTTAGAACACGAATAAAGTTGGAAGAGGACGTGCTAGATGCACCACGAACGCTGCCACACCGCCAGGTTGCCAGTTTCCGGCCAGTATTTGGTAGTTTGACCATGCTGAGCTTGTTTAAATCTCTACAAGAGCTTTTTCATCGTGTTTTGACACAGCAGATGCGTAGGGCGCATGGTTGAGAAACCACAACAGTAGTAACCGTGACGTCACGCTACTCAAGTTTTCCATTCGCGCCACGCCATCGTAGACTTTGTGTTGGCGCTATGTAAATCAACACGAAACTCGAATCCAGAGATCGACTGTCTTGCTATCAACTCTCCACATACTCCATGGAGACTGCTAGCTTGAAGGCTAGCTATAGCTAGCTTGTCAGACTGTCTAAGGCTGGACTGGGTAAAACAACTGTAGCTGCATTGTCAAGCCAGCACAGGTTGCTTGTATTTTCTAGCTATAGGTGGTCTTGAAGGGCAGCTATGGTTGTTTTGAAATGTTGCTATAGATGCTTTACGGAGCTGGAGGGGCTGGCGCTCAAATTCATGCTATATCTATACTGCCAGCCACCTATCCCACTGCTTCTTGGTGTAATGGTATGCTCTCAATCTTGTGTCTCTTCTTTTGTACAGGCTCTTGTCTTATGTGAGTACTGTTGAGATTTGTTTTCTTACTTTTTCGGGGGGGTTTTTTTTTAAGAAAAAGATTTCTTCTACACACCAGCCTTCTGTTATTCATATGTTCTTCATTTCTTGCATAGAATGTTCTTCATTTCTTGCATAGAAAAATTTTCATGAAGAGATTTTTTCCCTCTCACAGATCAGAGAACTCTTCAAAGTGGCTGCAGCTGCTCTCAGTCTCAGAAGGCAGCCCAAGTTAAGTTATCAAGTCAGCAACAGATGTTTTACCAAAGCAGCCTAGGCTATCTTCAGGATGCGACACTAGATTTACCTCTGTACATGCCTATAGATATGTTCTCAAACAGCTAGTGATGCTTTAGAAAGTATCTATGGTCATACTCAGAAAGCAGCAGACTCCATGGAGAACTCTCCATGGAGAGTTGATAGCAAGACTAGCTATCTGCGAATCCACCATGGGACATTGATTGTCTTGATTTGTCACCCGTCCAGACACCCGTCCCTGACTGTAGCTGACTGTCTCCGCATGACTACCACCCTCCGTCTTCGAATCGCCGACCTAGACGAAGAGATTATTCGCCAGAGACGAATTCTCATCGAGCTCGAAGCCGCGCGCGATGCGCTGCAAGCTGAACTCCACCGTGTTTCGGCTTATCCCATTTTGGAGCTCCCTCTCGAGCTAACTGCCGAAATCTTTCTTCGTTGCCTTCCCGATAGTTCGATGGCCGCAAACGACTACAAGGCGCTGTTCAATCTGGTCAAAGTCTGCAAGTCGTGGGCCCATGTGGCTTTTGCGACGCCTGCGCTTTGGCGGTCCCTTCGTTTGGATGTTTTTGAATGGGAGGGCGAGGAGCTTGTGGACGTTCTTTCGACAGGGCTTCGCAGCGGTCTGCTGAACCTGTCAATCTCAGGCAACTTAACTTCGCACTCTCATCATCGCCAACTTATCACAACTGTTGAAACCCACTCGTCCCAACTCTCGCTTTTATCGTTTACGATTCCTCCTGAAGAGTTCCCGCTGTTGATTTCAAAACGATTTGATTTGAGACAGCTGCGAGAACTGCGACTGGTCGTTCGAGAAGGGGATTACGAGCCTCTCCGAACCGTCGACCTCAAGGATGTGTTTGTTGTCTCCACGGAGCTCTATCGGGTCTTTCTTGACGGTATCCCGCTGACTGCGACTAATTTGCCATGGGACCAGCTCACCGAATTCGAATGCAGAGTATACTCTCCAAACGAAGTTCTTGATGCTGTGGCGCTTTTGCCCAACCTTATCCGCCTCATCATCACACTCTCTTTGGAATCTGCGGACCCAGAGCGCTCCCCCGCCGAACACCAGGTTACGCACACGAATTTGCGGCACCTCTCCGTCTCGGAACTCGCCGTCCCTCGCCATGAAGCCCACATGCTTGATTATTTCACCCTTCCGAACCTCGAGACTCTAGTCGCCGGCAGAATCGAAGAGAGCACACTGCAAGGATTTCTGGAGCGCTCCAAATCCCCTCCTCTTGTCCAGCTCAAGTTCTATGACAACTGTTGGGACCCTTACGAAGCAATTTTCACATCACTACCTTGTCTTGCTGACTTGGCCATCGAATTCCCGTCCCCCAATCTCATCAATACACTCGCCGATTTACTAACGTCAGATGATGTGTTTCTGCCTAGTCTTGACAGGATTTCCATCGAGTGGAAGGGGATTGACGGCCTCGACGCTTTTGTAGAGCTCGTTGCTCTCGCTGTTCAGACACGAAATCACAAGGCAGAGGACCATGGTTCAGTGAAGCGAATCCAATCTCTTGCTTTGACAACCACACTCCAACTCCCCGAATGGAATACCTTGACAATACCAGCCGAGTATCTGACAACATACCGTGAACTAAAGAATGACGGCGTGCACATTCATGTTGGGACTCCAGAATTTTGTTTTGTCAACGGTCCAAGGTGAGACCGTTGCTTTTGGCTTGCATGTCCTAAGACTTACGGTCTGTAATACTTTACTTGTATTAGGTCTTGTTCCCAAACGATGACTTCACAGAGAACATGTTTCTGTTGACTTGACTGGAATATAACATTTTATGAACAATCACAGCGCCTGAACTGAGCGGCAGCAAGTCATAACAATGATGACAAATCAAGAAGAAATCGCGGAATCTTGGTGACCACGGGGATGTGCTGCGTTCTTGGTCCAGCTCGCGCATTAACGGGATTCTGTTAGGAATATGTCGCGGATCGCTGAATTTTATGACGAAGCGTGGAGGGAGTGGTAAAACGCCACTTTGAAGTTCGGCGACAACCACCTGGCTGAATGTAAAAGGGCGGAACGCCTGCAAGACCCGAACAGAGATCTTTTGAGGAGTTGACGTTTTCGATAATGATAGACTGAGTTGATTCAGTTGAAGCATCTGTCCCTCGGAATATTGATGGGGTACACACTCCGCAGGCCTCAAGAAATGTCAAACGAGCTGAAAAGAGGTTTTGAACAAGAATACCTAGTATCCAAAGCCATTCGCGACCGAGTGAAGTACATGTGACGGACTCCTTTTGGATCGAGGAGCGACACTCCAGATTCGTGTCGCCTTTGAGTGGGCGGGGCCCGGGCGTATACGTAGAGCTCTCCATTGTGAGAGCATTCACCAACTGATTTATCGGGGCTTGCGCAGTCGGCGAGAAATAATCTGGTGTCCTGAGAAGAGGATGTGCAGGCCCAACTTTACTAAGTTTGAACTGCACGCCCCACGGGCAGATGGGTAAAACGCGACGCAAGACTGAGCCTGTTAGTCTGTCGCCAAAGCAAAGACAGAGAGCCCAGAAGCGCAGAGGAGGGATGGGTTGGAAGGCGAGGGCAGACGAGGTATACTGCAACAGAAGTCTAAGTCGCGAAAAGTCACACAGTCATACGTCACACAGTCATAACACGCACCTAGACGCACCTTTCGACCAAAATAATGATGATAATAGTAACTGAAGGTCAGCCGACGGCGTTGCACAAGCTGAGGACTACACTAGCCACCTACTACCAGATTTTCTAACCATACACTTGCGGCAGCAAGTCAAGATCATGATGACAAATCAAGCGTGATCGTGTCATGAAAAATCTCGCAGTCTACAAGTCCCAATCCTCCAGTGCGAAGGCGAGCACGCTAAACGACGCCGAGGCATCTCCGCCTCCACTCGCCAAACTCTCCACCCCTCGCCTCACAAATCGCACCAGGCCATCCAGCTCAGACGAGAGCTTGTCCACCTGGCCAAACCCAGTTTCAAGTTCGTCCACCGAAAATGACGTGGCAGCTTGTCCTTCATCTTCCAGATCGATGTCTTCCTCGCTCTGATCAGATTCATCCGAGCTCAGGTCCCCATCCTGCCTCGAAAAGCTGACAACATTCTTCCGACGGGCTCTTTGTCGCCGACTGTGATGGCGTCGCGAGACAAGCGAGTGGCGGGAGACGTCAAGGGTAACGGTGGTATTGCCCGTGGTGGAGGTGAAGATGTTGCAGAAGTGGAGGGCGATGTCCAGAATTGAGATGATAGCACGATGAAGAGCAGCGGTCTGTTTTAATGTCCAGAAATACGTAATTTGAACAATCAAGCAACCGACCTGGGCCCCCAGTAAGCAGAGACGATGAACATTTCCAACGCTAGAGAAAAGAGGTGAGACGATGACGAGGGAACTGCGTTCTACACACTGTTTGCTATGGGCCTCCACCATCTCATCCAAAGACTTGGTTCGCGCAAAAGCTTTGTGGAAGTCGGTTACTTGAGCGTGAATAACCTGCGTTGTGAGAAAATTTAACATGGTACTGCATAGTTCAGCCATTGCGATCAACAAGCACAAAAGAACTCACTTAATGAACCAACTCAACCTGCCTCGGAAAGCATAAAAAGCCTTCATTTCGCTCCCAACCTTTGCCCCTCTGACGAGTATACGCTCGAGCAGAGATTTCGCCCTTCGGAACTGCAGCAAAAACACGAAGACCTCGCCATATACCTGTAGAACCCGCGGCGGAAATATGTATGCAACCGGAAATGGAACAGCATATTCGACAACGAGGTTATTGAAAACGGTGACCGAACGATTGTTGTTCTGCCCGCCCCTATATGACAAGCGCACGAGGAAAGACTGAACCCATTCTTTGCCTTTGCTCGCTTCAATGACATCGCGGAAAGCGCTGTTGAGAAAATGGAAGTCATTCCATGCTTGTTGTGCATCCATCTTGAGCAGAAAATCAGCCTTATTTACGCGTGTCAGAACCAAAACGAACCTTGACAAACAACACGTCTGTGAAATGTGTCATGGCATCCCCTCTCCGCATGAAGTACAAATCTTCAAGAGCTGCAAGATGGTAAAGCAGTTCGCATTCCTTGATCAAAACCTGACCAAGAACGGTCCCAGAGGTATGGCAATGTGGCTGCAGCTCTTCGTATATCAGTCGGGCAAGTGCGTCGGCCGAAAGCGATGCGACATTAGTCTGGCCGCCGGATGCTAGAAGTGCGCCAAAGGATCGCCATTGGTGAATGACGAACAGACCATCTGCACCGGGAGGGAAGCCAAGAGCTCGCAAAAGGCCCACCGCTTTACCGGAGCCCAAAATTTGTGGAGCAACATGGTCCAAAAACGATGGAACGGCCTTGATATTCGCGTCAAAGGCTTCATCGTCATTGTCGGATCCTCCTCCAGCGACACCGTCCCTCAAAATATATCCGTCTGCCCAAAAATCAGGGTCTAATAGCCCTCCGCCACCGATGCCAGGAATAGTGACCGTCAAGCCACTACCCTCAATAAAGAATTCTTCGTCAAGCACATCGCTCGGGCGACCTCCCAACCCCATCCCATCGCGGAGCCATCTCCCAACCATTGCCCATATAGGCTCTGCGGTCGTCACGAAGACTCTCATCAACATCCCCGCCAATACTTGGCTGTCCTGCTCGCGATAGAGCTGGACCTTTTCTAGTAAAGTGTCGAGTAACAGCGCGCTAAGCACGGCTGGCGTTCTTGGTAGAAGGGCATATTGTCGGAACTCGTAGACAGCGATTACTTGAATCACACTCAACAGCACATCAAATCCATCGACAAACTTGTCATGGAGCGATTTCTGCATGCTGAGCAGACTAATCACAAGTTTGGTGTTTGGGGCTGCTTGTCCGGTACGGATCCAGCAGATCGCCTGTTCTTCTTCTGCACACCAATGGTCCAGCATTCGAAGTTCAGCATCAACGGCGTCAGCGAAAGCTTCCATCGTGCGGGCCATTCTTGGGGATTTGATGCGGGAATGGGCGGGGTAAGACAACTGCAAGACAAACGTGACGAAGGCGCGGAGATGATGAAGTGTCGTTGCAACTCGAGCAATGTCGGAAGTGAGAGAAGATTGTGAAATAGCGGAAAGATGGACAAGTCGAGGAGTTGAAGTTGTCTCTTTGTAAGTCCCGTCGATAAGCGACAACATAACGTTCTTGCGACCTTGAAGTGCTATCAGAAACTCGCGTACGGCGTCTTGTTCGTCGATATATTTCTGTTAAATTTTAGACAAGACAAGGTAAAAAATGACAAGGCATACCTCATGAATTAGCTCAAGACTATTAAGGGCTCCTTGTTCGTCAGCAACTACCCTCCGTAATGCAGGTCCCAGAGTTGAAGCATCTCCCAGATCAAAATTTTTTCCTTTGGCATCTCCGGTCCATACATAATCGTCCCGCCAGTATTGACGTGACTTGAGCTGTTCAAATTCCTTTCGATGGTTGTATGTGTGCGGAGGCTTATTTGGTTGGCTATTGGCGATAGGGGGGTTGTCAAGGGCCTGATCCTCTTCATCGTCAAGAGAAGAATAGGTATCCTCGTCGTATGAATCGAATTCATCAGAGAGCGGAGAGAGAGATGGGCTGCTGTTACCACTACCACTTCCGCTAGCTTCAGGTTCGTCGCTGCCAAATAGTTCTGCCCAAGTTGGTGCCGGGGGTGGCATTGGAGGATTGTTTATGCCTTCCAGATACGCATCCGCAAAAGCGAGGGTCGATGATGTCGAAGAAGAAGATAGTGACATCTTGTTGTGCTTGAGTATGGATGTTTTACAGTAGAGGAAGCATGTACCAGAAAGCGCATATGATCTGGGAGACGCGACCGCTGGTAGAAAGGTCGCAAAACTGTTAAAACAGGTCGGAGTAGACTCACCTGGATTTCCTGGTCCAAGTCATTGTCCTTCATTGCGCGTTCTTTTAGCCGTTCGTAACATGTCTCGAATGCCTCCGCAAGTGTATCTCGAGATGTTATTCGAGCCTTCTGCACGTGTCTTTCAACTTTCAGGGGCACAAATAACTTTCTGTGTGCAATTCACCCATGGACCTGTTTATCGATGGTACTCATATCCACGCTTGTCGCCGCCTTGGTAATTGTGGTGCTTTCAAGGCTCTTGATAGCATATTCGACTGCGTTATGAAATCCATCGTCGTCTTCCCGTAAACCCGTCAGCTGTATGACCAGGGATTGGCAGATAGGAAGAAGGCGCGAGCGCGCGTGTCGCGAATGGGGGCGTTGGGAGACACGGGAAACCGGGCGGTTCGACAAGCTGGAAAGTGGCCGTTGATCAGCCCGAGACAATGCTCGCCGTGACGCGCTGGAATGGGGTCTTTGTGATAGTGCTGAGAGTGGACGCGGTTGGGATATGTTGGAGTTGACGGAGAGACCTGAACTGCTGGAGGGCAGCATATGGAAGTTGACAAGAGAAACTTGCTCGCTGATCACGTGCCAATGAGTTTTGCATGAACTTTTCGACTCCCTGATCTCACTTCTTATTGGTTCTCCCCAACTCGCAATGAGGACTATGAAAGCTCTTATTACTGTCTCATGCTGCTCTGCTACTGTCCACTTTGATGCAGAATGAAAATCTATCCGCTCTCTCCCGCCGATATGACAACGATTCACAAATTACAGTACCAGTGCCTAGTTTTAACCAGTGTCCGTTCCTCTACTCGCCGCTCTGGGACCACACATTGCCTGGCACGAAGGGAACCAATTCAAGCAATCGGGACCTCGTGTCGCACTATGCGGCGACCAAGTAACGCTGTATTTGGGTCACGATAAAGGAACTCGAGCGGGAAAGCAAGGTTTGCTTTTGATTTTCAGGCTCTACGATATTCAATGCTTGTCTACAGCTTTGCCTATTGCATGCTAAGCCATAGTGAGGCCTGAAGCTGGCAGTGAATAATCACGACTAATTCGCGTCACTATAGTTCCCTTTGCACTTAAATCTCCATCATAATTCGATATGGCTGCTCGGACCGACCCAAATACAGCGAGGCCTGTCTCTCTTGACAGACCCCACGCCGCACTCCTCCGCGACAGCAAGGCATCAGCATCGGCCCTACTTCCCACTGACCCTACTTATTGGATCATTCTCAGCGCCCACGTTAGCAAGCGCTTATACTTCCGCCCACAACTTCTACATGAATAACTTGAAGTCGTTTGAGTCTGATACTGGCAAGGCGTATACCGCGCACTGGTATTCTCATTCTCCAACGAATCCTCCCTATGTGACTAAAAATCTCTCTACAGTCCACCCGTGGCTTCAAGTTCAGCCCCTCGTCGACGCTCATTCTTCTCCGTGCTCAGTGGAAATACCAGAGACATTTCTGCGGAAAGACAAGATGCGCCTCCCCCAGCATATCACAGCATTCAATCATCACAACAGAGGAAACACTCGCCTCGGTGTACGTGGTCTACTTTAAGTTGGACCACCATAGACAACAAAATATCTTTAGGGCTCCGGAAACCCGGGACAAAATATAGTGAATCATTCGAGGACGAACTTGAAGTGCTTCGCAAATACGATATCGTCCTCCTCGTCGACGATTCAGGCTCTATGGTTTTGCCTGGCTCGAAGAAAGGTCGAACGCGCTGGGAAGAGGTGTGCATTATTCATCTGTCGTGTGGCCTTGAAAACTCAAGCAAAAGAGGCCGGAGAAGCACTTGCAACGCTGGCAGAAATCACTCAACAATATGACACAGACGGCATTGACATCTATTTCTTGAACAACCGGCGCGAGGCACTCAATATCAAAGTTGGCATATTTTGGAGCCCTTCCCCGGACGCTACCTCACTAATTAACAGTCATCAATCGAGGTTCAGCAGTTGTTCAGCAGCGTGAAACCAACTGGCTCTACTCCAATCGGCGAGCGGCTTGACCAGCTCATCAAACCGCGTCTATGCGAGTTGGAGGACGCTGTGATTAGTCGGGATGGCACCCCTCGAGACAGAACCACTAGGGAAGAGATCAAACGTGTAAACTTCATCGTGATCACGGATGGCGCAGCCAGTGAGCTCAAATTCTGACATTAAATGTTTGCACCACCTGCTGCTTTTGCCAGGCGACGAACCCCGCCAGACGATCATCGACGCAGCCATACGTCTTCAGGCCATTCGGAATTTATGTCTGGTCCAGGTCAATCCCCACTGGCACTTATTTTTGCGTGAGACTCATTCGAGGCTAGCTTGGCATCCAATTTGTGCAGATAGGCAATGACCCCACGGCCACGCGTGCCCTCAAAGAGCTCGATGATGATTTACACAGGGCGGCAAACATACGTGTCAGTCTTGCGTATTGTTTCTCTGGTTGGGGTTGACCATGCACAGGACATCGTGGACACGACACCGTCGGCGAAGCTGAAGCCTGTGTCTGCGGAAGGTTTGATCAAGATTCTTCTAGGCGGTATCAATCGCCGGATCGACCGATTATAATGAGAAGACTTCGGGATCCAACTACCGCTGTACTTGGTTCCTTGAAAAGAAACATTGGCAGATATTTTATTGGGTCATTAGTGAGCTCAGGCACATATTGATATTCTTCTACATACGAGACGTCCGCGAGTCAGACTATTAGACTGTAAATAACTGCAACCAGCTCAACACTTTTTTTTTAAAAAAATGGATGCTCTCTTACGGGGGTTTCACCTTTTTTCATCCTTTCTTCCAACAGGTTTTCCGCCTCATACTGCCAATCCGTCTCCAATATCCGCCCCAACCGATCTTCGACAGCACGCATGCGCATACGTTCCAGAATGAAGCTATGAATTTCTTCAAACTTCGCATTTGTAGTACGAGAATAAGACAGACCTTTCAATCGGGTTCGACAGAGCGCTCTGGATGGCTTTGATAAAGGATTGCATATCGTTCTTGAAGACATTGTACACGTAGGGCGGGTCGAGATCCTTCAACGCAGCGTGCTGCGCAACCCACTTGTCACGATTCGAAGGGTCATTGGTATCCCACTAATCGCCAAAGGATCAGAGAGGGTGAATGGTAAGTATTATCGTATGTTACCTCCAGAATGGGATTGACCACGGGCACGCCCAAGCATAAAGCATCTTTGGCCAATGTCAGAAGTTTCAACCAACGAGATGAACGTGAGCTATCAGCATACCGTACATAGTTGGCGAAGTCCACGGTCGCCCGACACCGATTGCGACGTTGACACTGCTTAGCATCTGGTAAAACCAGTCTTGCGGCATTTGGTCAAGATTCTCTACGACATCGATCGGAAAATCATTCGGAAGACTGCCGTCTGCCCCCATGAAGAATTGTACACCAGTCATCTTTGCCGCTTCCCGATAAGTTTCAGGCTCCCAAGCATGGATATCTGGATGCAGGTACTTGGCGTCTTTTGCAATAAGGAAAGCGGAATGCGGCGTTTTGCGTTGCTCATGCGGCAAGAAGGAGATATTTCTGCACCCAGGCTCGACACTGTAGCCAAGGTAGGTGTTTGGGACGACCCAACTATGCTCGCGGTTATACTATGCCAAAGTTAAGCTGTAGCAGGAGTAGTTTATAAAATAGAACCTCCTCTGGACTGAGTGTCCATTTGTGACCCAGAGGACTAGCTGGCCCCGCCCAAAAACTGAAAGAGAGGATTTTCCAAACAGGAATACCATATGGGTTGTCGCGATTTAGTATGCAGCGAGGGTCGTCGAAACAGTTGAAAGCCTGGTCGCTTTCCGCAATGACTGCCTTGACGAGGTCGGGAAACATTCGGTAATAGTCTATCGTCCTCGACAGCCCTTGTTGGATCCTGGCGCCATCCCAGTGAGACGTGAAGAAGTACGTGTAGCCTAGAGTGTCCAGCGCGGCTACAGTCGATTGCGCCCATATCTCTTCCCCTCCAATGTGCCCTTCTTGCTGCGCGATGAAATGATACGAGGCGAGCAAGATAACTGCAGAGTTGAATGCATTTTCATTGAGAGGTCAAGAAATAGAACGGACCAGAAGTTTGATTGCGCCGGCAGGTGTGAGAATCGCGCTCTAGACATACCAAGAGCTGACGAAGAGCTCTCTGGTTGTGATCGATCCAGCCATTCCAAGACGCAGTACTCCCCACCGCTTTTCTGTGGGGCGAAAAGTTTTCCATGCCTCGTTGGCTGGATGATCGTTCCTCGGGGTCTTCTAGCCGTCCGAATGGAAGATAAATGGAAGGGATGGTGGATCGCCAAAGTGAGAGGAAAAGGCCGACAAATGCAATGAAACCAAGTGTGAAGATTTTAAGGTTGAGCTTTCGCCGAATTCGACTGGAGGCATGTCGTAGATTCCATGTGCCCATGGATTCCGCGAGGACGGGTATGGTTGAAGTCGAGTCCAGGATTCAGGAACATTTCTCGGGGAACTCTCCTATTGGATTGAGGGGAGTTGTCGCGGTCCAGTGACTACCAGCACTCAGCTGCTTTGGATTCGTGGAAAGGTTGAGGAATAAGGATGGAGAATTTATAATGGAACCGAGTATAGTTAACGTCGGGTCGTAGGCTCGCTGGAGCAGTAGCGCGGCAAAGGACTTGAGCCAGCGACTGCCAGCGACAACTCGGAGAAAGTCGCAGTCATGGCGCAGTGACTGCGTGTCATCACGTGCAGAAAAATGGGGTCAACGTCGAGCGAAAACAAGTCGATTCCTAGTCAATCTAACATAAAAATACATATTGATAAAGAATTAATTGTGAATTTGTCCTTGAGCAACGAGTTCGGTCAAATATTCTACTATAAAACAAGTATAAATCACCGCTTTTTGGCGTTAGGCCAAACAGCAGCTAGAAGTCAGCGCCATTGTGCCAATAAAATCCGGACTCGACATCAATTTCGCTTGAATCGCGACCAACTCGAGCGTTTCGACTTCGGGGCACGCGGCCCGGGCTGGGGTGAAGGTCGTAGAACGGAATCCTCCAAGTCCATTGGCACCTTCGGAGGGAGCCCGATATGAACGTCTTGTGCATTTACATGGCGCTTTTTCAGCTGGGCTGTCTGGTTACTCGGGGCTTGAGTCTTCTTTGGTGATCCCATCCAACCTGGAGCAAGATCTTGCAGTGTTTGACTTGAGAAGGCGGAAAGTCGGATGATAACGGATGGACATACCAGGTGTACTCTGCCCTCTACCTTGGAATAAAAGTCTCCATTTCGAAGCTCCTAAGCTTTCCAAACCGCCATCTACAACGGGAATATATGATTCCGAACACGGGTCTGGGCTGAATGGGTCGAATATTGGTGTAGACGGCATTGCGAGCGGACGATCGAGAAGGGGTTTGCGTCGTGTCACAGGTGTGGTGTCGCTTGTATTATAAGAGAAATGGGAGGATTAACGCGCAAGCTACTGCGGCTCGTGGAAAACATGCTTATGCAGTCCCGTTGTAACATGTGTAGAGACCATAGACCTCGAGGCGACTGCTTCCGGAATATGGTCGGAGATATCGCCCTTTTACAACCGAGGATGTCTACAAGAGGATGTAAGGTGCTTGACTCGACTGCCATTGTAGTATCCGCGACGAATCTAACAGGCAATGATTCACAGCTGCCCATAATGATACGTGAGCAAATGAAAGAGTGTGATCAAAGTCTCACCAGCTTATTCTTTGCAGACCGCCTTACGACGTGTCATCTTGTAGGCATACTTGGTCAAGCCGGCGCAGCTTGAAGAGTGGGTGTATTGAGACGATCTCAGTATTGTCGCGCTTTACATTGGATGAAAGGCGCAACTGAGCCAGCCAGTTAGAAGTTGATGCCAGAGAGCACCTCCAAATAGATGCCAATAATTTCCGAGCGCAGAATACATGGTTGGATCGATGGAAAGTCTTGAGACGTGAGAAATGAGGACAAGCTGATGCCACATCGAGCTATTCCGAGCTAGAGTCGCGGAGCTGAAGACAAGCTTGAGGGTGTATCGCGAAATTCGAGCGCTGAATACGTGGTTCGGTTCTGGACAAGTTGATATGTGGTCACGTGGGTAATCGATGTCAAACTCCTTCCACTGCGGCCAGGGTTTCCTTGAATGAACCACCAAGCCTCCATAATACCCTTCGCTTTCACAATCAGCCCTCTACGCTGCAATGACAAGAGCCGAAGTACTTAGCAGACCCAGTGCACTGTTCACTGCAGAAAGGTAATCGAGTGGAAGCTTCTTTTCACGGTCCAGGCCGCCTCGATGCGGTGGAAACGCGTCATCTTCTGTCGAGAAAAATGAACTGTCGCTGTCTATGAGTTTGACAACATGGGCACGACTGCGTAACGAGTTGTCCCAATATGTCAATGGAATTCGCCAAAGTCGAGCATGTCGGCTTCTAGCGCCGTCCAAACGCGGACAGCTGTGGCGTGACCGATACTGTCCTTCAGAGTAGCGTCAACATGCCTCCTGCGACCCTTGCTCTCCCCCCTCAACCATGGCGAACATCTCAGCGATGGGTGGTCACTTTGCAGGTGTGGTCCTTTCAACAATGTACGATGCAGTCCATCTCTGCTCTTCCCTCCCATTAATCGCTCATAGACTCTACGGGATCACGATGGCCCAGATATTCTCATATTTTCGAGCATTTTCGTCCGATCCACGCCTCATGAAGTTCATCGTGAGTCTCAAGCAAACTCTCCTCTGAAAGGCTGACCCTTGCAGGTTTTACTTCTGTTGTGAGCCTGAGAACATGCAGACTAAGAGCACATCTCATTCGCTGAAGCCTTTTCGACACGACTCAAGTCTCTTTGGTTGTTGCCTCAATTTACTCATATACAATTGGATGGAGAGGAGATCATCTGAAGCTGCAATATGTCTCTCAGTGCGTATCCACTCAACGGACACTTCGATTTTGCTTACTCTCATCTCAAGGCCTTTCATCGTGAGCTCTGCCATCCGAATGTCGCGTATTGGAATCTTGACCAATCTCTTGAAGGCATCGATGGGTGTAACAGTCAGTGTACGCTTGTCTTTCTGACGGGCTCCACACTGAAGTTTTCCCAGTGTGTGGTTGCGTTTACTGTCCAAATGTCAGTCAACATGTTCATCACAGTTATTTTTCCACTCATCCAGCAAGACAGGATATATGCATATCGAGTTTGGCGTCGTATGTAAACTCTATGTCATCCGTTCGCTTGTCTCAAGCCATGCAGTGAGTGGAGGCAACGTATATCTCTCGGCGACAATCGTCTCTTTGGCACTGGTTGCTTTGGGGAGCGCAGCTGCGATGATCGCTAAAACGCTTCGCAATCCGCGATGGGACGAGGCAAGGGTTAGCACGGTGAGTAGACAACCACTGTAAGCTGTTGCACTCAGCGTAGACTCAAGCTGCCCGCCGGAATCATTCTCGCCTCCACCGTTACTTGCGATCTGTTGATTGCTTTGGCTCAAGTATGGCTGTTTCACAGAGATCGCCTTGCAACGCTCGATCGCGCGAAACGTTTCACGATCCCATTTCCGTTGCGCCGAAGCATCTCGACGACATCGATATCTTCGCCCACAACCACTGAAGCAGGATGCTCACCACCACCACTTCAAGGCCCATTGGATCGCGATAAAGCCGCAGCCGATGACAACGACGGTCGTCGGTATGTGCTTTTTATTTTTCAGTTTAACCGTTACCCATTACTTCGCAGACTAGGTTCATTGCTTACAACTCTGACGATTCTGGTCATTAACGTGGGTCTACTAACGAGGTATTTTCTCATACCTGCCCATTTCAATCTTCTGATCGATTCTAGTCTTGATGCGTGTCTTTTCTTCGCCCTGGTATGCATTTAACAAGTATGCTGGGCGATTTGACGGCCCCTCCAGTTTCTCGCATGTCCACAAACGGGACTGTACCTCGTACCATACATCCTCCTGAGTAACTGTCAGTCATCCGTTCATTAATGCTCTTGTTCTCATTCTTCTCGGCACAGGCTACGTCAACTCTTTCCTCAGCCTGTAAGCTGCCGTTGCTCTTCGTGTCGTGACAAGTCGCTCATAGTCTTTTTGTCCGATAGACTCAATTCGCGCCGCCTCTTGCGCAATCTTGTGGAGAATCCAGACCACTTCAATCTTGCGCTTGAAGCGGGCTAGGACTTCGTGTAGTTCCAGGGATCTTGGGGGCATACTGGCTGTTATGTCATGACTTGCTACTGTATCGGACCATGTATTTTTCTGTTCCTTTTACGGACCATTTCGTGGCAGTCGTTAACATCTGCGAAAGAATAGGTACTTGTTGTGTTGCCACTTGGCAGCGCAAGGCTCAAGTTTGCAAGGAAGTATCGCCATGTATGAATTCTCTCGGACAACTTCGTTGCTGACTCCAATTGGGAAAAACAACATTAGTTTGATGATCCGAGTGGATGCCGTTTTGCGGAGTGTGACCTTTCGATGATGATGTGTGACCCGCATAATTTGCTCTGAGCAAACCGTCAAGCCGACCCAAATTTGAGCCAATTGTCCTGCACACTCGCGGCGGCTCTTCGCACTCGCGACCTCAATGGTCGATGCATCTGACTGCCATGTTCCTTGCGAAATGAAAATCTGACAGGAGCTGCAGAACGAGGAGCCGACTCCGCCATAATAATATTGCAAAGGCCTTCTTGGACAGACAGCCTGTCGACGCGATGCGAGTCCTCCATTGTTGCAACAAAAGCGAGAAGCCAACTAATTTGGAGTTGAATTCGCCACAAAAGAAGATAACGCAAGCGCATCACGTCCACGATCGTGTGTAGGCGCAAGCTTTTATTGTTTAGTCCATTCTCAGTCCTCTCATTTAGTTTCCGCGGCCAAATTTCGCACCGAGAGTACTATGTACCTAGGTCGTATCCTGGAGTGTTAACTAGCTCCAATTGCCGATGAACGTGCGGTCTTTCTCTCCATCGTCATCCGGTGTTTTTCGAAGGTCGAGGCGGTATAGTATATGACTCTTATAAGGTATGTCTGCGCATGGGCCCTAGCTTGACTATTGTCTAATTGTCTGTAGACATCGCCAATTTCCTTTTCGGGTTGATTTTGATGGGTAAATCTTGTCTTCGTCCACAGCCTGGGAATGCGTTAGCGACACAAATAAAAGCGCAGAGAATGGAGCGGAGGGTCTAACCTCCCTTTCCTCCCCTCCGACGTGCACCTCATTCCTTCCCGCGACGCCCACGACATTTACGCCATGGAGGACGACCTGAAGCCTTACACCAGTTCAGCAGAAGTGCTCCCGCAATACGTACGACAACGCCGCTCTGTGCCGGATGTCCCCGAGGATGTCGAGCTACTTGATCATCTCAACGACCCCAACATCGACCTTGATGAACTCAAGAAACAACGGGGCTCCCACTTAAGACCCATTACGCTCCAGTCTGTTGGCCACGAACGCAAGACCGGTTATGCCTCTTCGGAAACAGACTACGAAACATCCGACCGATACTCTTCTCCGTCTCGTGCAGAGTCGCGAAACTCCACTGCAATTGAGTTTGACGAGTGCGTCTAGTCCTCATTGCAATCTTCGCCTGAGATTTACTCTTCTGTCAGCGAGTCACCATACCCCGAAGTTCGTGCTGCTGTATCCAGTATCGACGACCCCACGATGCCAGTGAACACCTTCCGCATGTTAGTGCTTGACTCCTTTGCCATTTTGCATTTCTCAAGCTCGTTAGGTGGTTCTTGGGAATCGTTTTGACCATTATTCTTGCTGCTGTTAATCAAATTTTTGATCTTCGAGGTATGAGTTGCGTTACGAAATCGTCGTTTCCTAACGTTAATCCAGCTCCATCCGTCTTCATCACTGGTATCGTTGGCCAATTGATCTCGCTTCCCATGGGCAAATTTCTCCAATGGGTTCTACCTACTCAGCAATTCAAGACCCTTGGTTACGTCTGGTCATTCAATCCTGGTCCATTCAACATCAAAGAACATGTCTGCATTACCGTTATGCTCAATGTTGCCTATATTGGTTCGTTATCCATTAAACGCCCTTTCGGTGCTAATTGTCCTCCAGGTGCATATTCGACCGAGGTTCTCGCTACCCAGCAGAAGTTCTTTGGGCAGAAACTGCCTTGGAACTACCAGATCCTGCTTGTCCTCGGTACCCAGATGTTCGGCTTTTCACTTGGCGGCATGTTGCGGCAATTCGTAGTCTGGCCTTCATCCATGATTTGGCCCAGCGCCCTCGTCAACTCGGCGCTCTTCAACACTCTCCATAAGCACTACGGCAAACGCGACCGTGGACACATGCCTCGCGAGCGATTCTTCTTGATCGTCTGCGCCGCTAGCTTTGTATGGTACTGGGTCCCTGGATTCTTGTTCACGGGATTGAGCGTTTTCACCTGGAGTGAGTTGGCCAATGACTCGTCCGAAGTAATCTGATTTTGTCAATCATAGTTTGTTGGATCGTTCCTACCAATACCACTGTCAATGCTCTTTTCGGAGGCAACACTGGGCTCGGCATGAGCGTGCTGACATTTGACTGGGCCATGGTTTCATTTATCGGCAGTCCCCTCGTCACACCCGTAAGCCCTTTCCCTCCGGATGATACTTTTTCTCATCAGCACTAGTGGTGGTCTGAAGCTAACACCATTGCATCTATCGTCATCTGCTTCTGGTTCATACTCCCAATCCTGTATTGTGCGTGGATCGACTTGCCAAACACTCACATTCTCACTCTTTCGTAGTCAAAAACGTCTTCTTCACTGGCTTCCTTCCCTTGTCCGCCTATTTCACCTTCGACAATACCGGAGTCCCATATAACATCTCTGCCGTTCTGAGTCCGGATGGACAATTTGACCCTGAACTATACGCCGCATACTCGCCGCTCTTCATGTCTGCTGGACTTGTTATGGCATATTTCGTGTCGTTTGCTGCCTTTGGAGCTATTTTTACGCACACCTTCCGTATGTCTTCCCAGATTTCAGCTCTTTCATCAGCTGATCAGCCCTACAGTCTGGTTTGGTCGCGATATTGTTCGCCGTTTCCGCACGACTCTCAAAGACGAGCGCGACGTTCATTCCCGCATGATGCAGCGCTACCCCGAAGTCCCATATTCATGGTACCTTTTCGTTGGTGTCATCTCTGCCATCTTCACCGTTATTGCTGTCGAAATCTTCCCGACAAGACTGCCAATCTGGGGTGTCGCCCTGGCGCTTACCATCGCCACCGTTGCCGCGATTCCATTAGCCATGCTCCAGGCTATTACCAACCAGTCGGTCCAACTCCAGGTTGTTGAGGAGATGATTGCGGGCTATGCGCTTCCTGGTCAACCAGTTGCGAATATCATCTTCAAAGCCATTGCGTTTGCGGGTACCTCCCAAGGTGTCGCTTTTGCCGGAGACCTCAAGCTTGGGCATTACATGAAGATCCCCCCTCGCATGATATTCACGGTCCAGATGGTGGCGGGCGTTTTGACGTGTTTCGTCGTGACCGGTGTACAAAGCTGGATGTTTGCGAATGTTGAAGGCATTTGCACGCCCGATGCGGTCAACAGCTTTGTTTGCCCTTCCACTACCGTCTTCGCACAGGCCGCGATCATCTGGGGCGGCATTGGACCAAGCAGGATGTTCAACCACGGTCAACTCTACAACCCCCTTCTCTACGGCTTCCTCGTCGGCGCACTCCTCCCAATCCCTTTCTACTTCCTCGCTCGCCGCTACCCTCTCTCATACTGGCGCTACGTAAACATGCCCGTCTTCTTTGGCGGTGTCGGCGCGATTCCTGCTGCATCAGCATACAACTACGCTGCGTGGGGCCTCGTAGGCTTCATCTTCAACTTTGTAATACGGCGACGCAACTTCCGCTGGTGGATGCGCTACAACTACATTCTTTCTGCAGCACTTGATGCAGGTGTCGCCCTCTGCCTCATCATCATGTTCTTTGCGGTCCAGTACCCGAAGGGTGGGATTTCCCTTGACTGGTGGGGAAACAACGTCTGGGTCAACACCAACGACGCGATGGGCGTCCCGCTTCTCGTCTCGGAGACCGGAACCTTCGGGCCGGCGACATGGTCGTAATGACCTGACCTCTTTCCACGTAACATTTGGCTGCGCCACTCTTTCCATCCCGCACTGTAGTATTCGGTTCGACCTTTCGGTATATCTCTGTTTGTCACTCACTCGCAACGCACTCATTCCTGTATCATTATTACTTCAGCACACTTGTTTTACTACCGCTCTCCTTGTGCATTATACATACAACTCTATACGACCTGCAATGCTACTCAATGTCCGTTACCACTTATTGCTGTAGCCCATCGACCAATGACTATCTCACAAGTTACCTCAGTACCTGAGGCAGTACTTGGAAGCTCAGGCAGATGTGCTTTGTATCGCTGTCTCAATGCATAAGAGTCACAGCGTGACTGACGCGTGACCGCCGTGACTCACGCGATCACGCTCCCGGGCGCTCAGCCAAAAAACAACCATGTTCTCCCCGAGGACGATAAGCTCTCTCACGCGCACACATTGCGTCAGGTTACGATGTACCAATCGTTCTTTCCGCCACCAAACTTCTCTGACGAACCTCAAGTTTCGAGATGGTCGTCAACTATTGCGCCGGTAGAGCTACATTCGATAGCCCAGATACCGTCCACGAACAAAAATGACGGCGCTATCGTCATCCTACACGGGTTATTGTAAGGAGCATAGCCAGCGCAAAGGTCGGACCAACTTGAATTCATGCAGCGGATCGGCTCGCAACTGGGGAGCCCACTCAAAGTCATTAGCCCGTAGTCTCAACAGACCAGTATATGCGCTGGTATACCACCTTACTCCCTGCTCCCGCCACCTCATGCCCGTTAGGATCTCAGGAACCACGGAAATTCGGGGCATGCGGAGCCCATGTCCTACTCAGCAATGGCTAGCGACGTCATACACTTCATCCAAAAACACTCGCTCTCGGACGTATGCCTCATCGGCCATTCCATGTCCGTTCTCTCCGCTTTCTTCGCCAATCCGAGCTCATGGCGTCTATCTATGCAGGGGAGGAAAAGCTGCCATGACCGTTGCCCTGGAACCGACGCTCCCCGCGAACACGCTATCGAAGCTCATTGTCGCCGATATCGCCCCTGCTAGAGGCCAATTGTCCGCCGAGTTCAAAAGCTACATCGCAGCTATGCAGAAAATCGAAGCGGCAAAGATATCGAGTCGAAAAGAAGCCCTTGAGATATTGAATGAATACGAAACGGTGCGTCTCCCCCACATGCTGCTCACCGTCTTGCATGCGAATATCCACAGGACCCTGATATCTGTGCCTTTCTGCTGACTAATCTCATCCCCAAAGCAGACGGCACCAGTCGTTTTCGCATTCCCGTAAACCTGATCGGAGACGCGATCCACGAAATGGGATCATTCCCATTCACGCCCGAAGAAGCCCAATGGGCGGGAGAAACACTCTTCATCAAAGGAGCGAAGAGCAGGTGTGCCCCGTGACCAGTTTCGTTGACCCAAGCTAAACCGGGGATAATAGCTATATCAATCGCCACAATATCCCGCTTGCAGAGAAGTTTTTCCCAAATATGAAGTTGGAGACGATAGACACAGGGCATTGGGGTATGTTTCTATGGGCTTTCTCGTGTAACTGACAATTCTGCAGTACATTCGGAAAGGTAAGGAGTCAATGATTAACAAGTCACAACTGAAGAGTTGATGAACTAGACCGCGCGAGTTTTTGGGACTGGTAGAAGGGTTTCTGGGGCGACTTGCAGACTAATCAACAAGCCATCTCGACTTAGTACACACGCTGTATGGCGGCTCCATGCAATAGAGACGGTTTCACTATTCCTTGCAATGGACCTTGTGCTCTCACAGAAATCTATAAAATACACCATTTTTATTCCTTTCAATGCAAAAATTGTTACTATTGTACCATGTATGCGAGTAAATATATAGTAGTACATTTGGTAACCGAAGACGAAAAGAATGGACAAATGAGACAGTTTTTTGTAGTACCGTTGCAGGGAAACGTAGACAGCGACGCTTGCGCTTGCTGGTTAGAATAAGCTCAGGTGGGTACGTTGGAAGTATTCCCTATTGTCGTGACGATTGTATTTTCCTGGAAAGTAAGGCAAGTGAGAGGTCAAGTTCACCAAACCCAAAGTGGCAGTGTCAAGTACGGATTCCATCGAGAAGCTTGACGGCTGATTACAGTGCTTGCACAGAGCAGAAAAGACGAAAGGGGGCTTGACCTAGCTAGTGAGCCAGAATCCCCAAGCGCCAGTCCTATTGCGCAGACACCGTTCCTTGAGCAATGGAGACATTTTCCCCAAACGGCAAATGTGGTGACCTGACTTGCGATTGCGGCGTGTCTTTTGAAGATGAGTATGGCCCAGTAGCCTCGACCACCGGCGTCAGTGCGAGAGGAACATCATTCTCAGTCATTCGTGGTGATGCTTGATCAGATGCTGCTGGATGGGAGCCCGACCTATACAGAGCAAGAACAAAAGCAAGCAGTAAATATCAAGTTGATCAAGGAAAGCAGAAGAGAAAGGGTTGGGGATGAGGCGACTTGTAGTTGAGGAGGCGGGAGTACGGACCGTCGGCGTTTGGTGTAGGGCATATCTGGTGAGGTGTTGCTCGACTTGCTTGGGCCCTTGAAACGCGTTACTCCCAGGCTGGTATCGGAGGCATTATCCATACCTTGGGGCGCTTCCCAACAAGTTTCTGTGGTCGTTCTCCAGGATCATACACATGATCAGGCAAGTTAGAGCTAGGAAAATGAGCGCAGTCATACGAGTAAAGTGGCCATACCTCTTGATATGTTGGACGAAAATGCTCATTGAACCTTCGTCGAACTTCTCCCACACTCTGACAAGCTTGGTGAATTCTTGCGTTGGGTAGGAGATATCCAATTGCCGGGGACCGACCGCACCAGCTACAAATGGATAAGAAAACGAGACGAATGCAAGTGAGAATCACCTTGTCTCGGCTCGATCATAAGTCCGATGTAGAATGTTGTTGAATATACCACGCCACCACCGTCTTTGCCCTCCGTGTCCTCCTTCTTCCGTTTGAGAACCGCATCGGAGATAGTCCCTTGCGCAACCTGTCGCACTTCCTCGTCCGTTAGACAATAGAATGTCTGTTCGAAGCCTCGGGTAAAAGGGTGGGCTAAGGTCAAAGATTCGACATATTCAAGCTTCATGACAAGTTGTCGTATTCGAGACTCCACTGTACCGGCCCTACAAAACGCCTGAGATCACCAACAAGAAGAAGGTGCGGGTCACTCACCATTTAATTTGCAGGTCAGGTTTGCCTGTTGAAGCGATGACTTGAAGATAATACCGATATTTGTGAAAGAAGTCGTGTTTCGCGAAAAGGTCGGCCCAAGTTGCCTTTCCGACAATTACTCGATCAACGATGTCGGCAGCTGAGACCACGTTAGCAAAACAGGTGAATGGCCATCGGAGGGAGCTATGCCTTTCTTGAACTCCTCCGTCATAATCATCTGGGTCGAGGCAGTGACGTTATGTGTCGCACACATAGCAGGATATGCTGGAGTGATTATAGGCATCCTATGTGCCCGATCCGCAGGGTAGAGCTAGGACGAATGTGAGCCTTAGATTGCTTCAGGCGGAGCAGCACCTTTGGATTCCAAACCCGGACTTGTAACGGCCCTTCTTCAATTTGTTTCAGCAGCACAGGTTGTGGCCAGGACCTGTCCAACGGAGTTAACAGTCAGAAGGCGAAATATTCAACATACCATCGGTACATTATAATGAAAAATCGGCTGACAATAGCTCCGGCGATAGCGTTGGGGTATAGTTGACATATTCGGGCAACCAGCATTGCCCACGCAACACCCCCTAGAAAGCCATTGACATTAGAATAGATAGCGCGTTCTAAGAATCATCAGAGAAGAGAGAGAGCGAAGACAATGGTAACACACTATGGGCCCATAACTTGATACACCTCAACGAGTCCCTAAACACCTCAACGTTAGGAACGAGCCTTAATATTTCGTCAGTCACCCTGGAGCCACCAAGGCTCCGGACACATCGTTCATCGAGATTTCTTAAGAGCGTGTCGTCCCTTAAGGATAGGTTGTCAGGTATGGACGAGAGCGCGAGACGAGCCATAAGGAAATCAAGCGGGATGCCAGACACCTTCGCCTTGATTACCGGAACATAGGCATCTGGAACTCCCTGCAGACAGTGCTTAGCATCGGAATAGCCGCAAGGGAAATGGAAACCGACCGAAACTTCTGTAACCCCCTCTAGTCCCTTCAACATCGGCTCAAAATGCTCGAAAAAATCTTCTCTTAGGATGTGTTTTGGAACAACACACAACGTGTCGATGTCTGACCCAGGTCCATGCACCCCCAAACGGTACGACCCAAAGGTGAATATCTTCCCGCCTGCAGCATTGGCTGCGGCCTCGGAAAGCCCTCGCAACATCGACACCGTTCGCACAAAGTCCTTGACAAGTGCAGCGACACGGCCGAGCACGAGCTCTCTACAAATGCATTGTGAGAAGAGGTAAAACTCGCCACGGACTGGTGGCCGCACGCGGAACAAGGTTTACTCGCCTTCTACGCGACTCCTCCTCCGATTCAAACACGTTTTGCCGCCTCAGCTCCTCCATGAGAGTTACCGTCACCTCTTTTTCGCGTTCGTTCGATTCGGTTGTGGCAATTGGCGGAGTTACTCCAAGAGACCTGTGATCGTCATTGTCGTCCTTGAGGGAACTGCTTGGTATTTCAATGAGCTGCTCCTCGTACCCTCTGTCGGCTGTCATCTCGTGAGTGGGAGATTAGTGCTGGTGGTGGTGGTGCAGAAGTTGCTTAGTGGAATCGGTGTGACGCAGCGTCACACCGAGAAATACTTCGAGGGAAATCTCAGTAAAATACAATCGTAAAAAGCTTTTAGAGCTTCGACCAAAAGTCTACAAATCTATGTTGAATCTATGGTATCTAAAGGAGTACCTATGTGTTATATTTGTGTGTATAGTAGTTAGTGTGAAGTAAACGATTAAGATCGTCGGTCTAGCATTGTTTCACGTACCCCAGTCCTTCCCCGCTCACAACCACGCGGCTCATATCAAACAGTTGCTGCTCCTCGCTGCGCTTGACCGACCAGCGACGGAGCAACCACACCAAACAGCCGAAAATCACCACGCCACTGACCACACCCAAAACAATCCCAACGGTCGATGAGGCAGAGGAAACAACGGAGGTCGTCGATTGTTCATTGCTCGAAACACTCGATGGTTTGCCCCCATATGGCCAGTAGTCCCCTCCGTCGGGAGGGAGAACGCAGGTTAGCGATTTGGCATCCGGAATCAACGCAAAGTCCGCCTGGAGGGAACAATTGGAAGTAGAGTTGTCGTAGACGAACGGGGCGGGCGTTGGTACAATGTCTGTCATTGAACAGTTTGGCCCAGAAGCACCAATGAAGGAGGTATTGCCGAAGAGAACATTGTTCTGAACCTGGAAGTTCCTCGCAGAGCTGATGGCAATTCCATAGCTGAAAGCCCCGGAAAGCCGATTGTTTTCTACAACGCCGTTGAAGCTGACGTTCGAATAGTAACGGCTCCCAAACCATGTCTCGGGTCCGATTGCAATTCCGATTCTATTTGAGTCAATTAAAGCAGTTTGCAGTCGTCTGGAGGCACAAACTTGATGACGGCGTCAAAAGCGTTAGTACCTCTCTGGTCGTCATCTACATCTTGACTAGTGGCAAACCCGCCGATGATTGTATTGTCGCGGACGACGGTGCCACTATAGTTTTCCGAGCCAAGGTTCGTAGTCCACCAGATTGATACCGCCGAGGAGGGTTTGCTGTAGGACGAAATGAGTTATGGTTGTTACGATGAAATAACTCACATTTGATACCCATATAGTGTTATTGTAGACCTCGAGGAAAATAAGCAGAAAAACACGGACGCCTCAAAAAGCAAACCTGTGTGCCAGGACTCCCGAATAACACAATACCACCGTCGGTTGCTCCCTTCACCATATTGTTGCGCACGACAGCATTTGCGCAGCTCACACTAATGCCATCTGCCCATTCCTGGAATGTATCCACGCCGCACGGCCCAATGTCGTTGTTTTGAATGACGACGTTCGAGCAAGTGAAGGGACCCTCGGCAATGTGCAAGCACGACCAGCTTCGTGGGTCATATGAGCGCACGTATTCAATCGTTTGATTGGTATTTCCGCCTCCAAACTCGATATTCGCGCCTCCACCAGTCGGCGGGGCGATCCGACGCGCTCCGTTAATCTATAATTATCAAGGTTTTGGACAAATCTCTTGCAGAATACACACCTGGACGTTCCGCAGCGTTATTCCACCACAGTCATTACATGTCCCGTCAACTGCTGTAGTATGCCCAGTCCCATTCGCAACAGGCCCATTCACGGTAAGCAAGGCGCGACTGCCGCCAAGCGGGTAGCCCTGAGTGCTAATTTCTTGATTCCTAGCGGCGAAGAAGATAGGGCTCTGTAGGACGTATTCCCGATCAGGGCAAAGGCTGAGCACATAGCCAGGTCCTGACGAGTTAAGGAGCGTGTTGATTCTATCTGCGACAGTGTTGGCGGGATCTGGGTCGACGCACTCGCTCTGGCGTGTTGAAAGGCGTCTGCGAGATACTTCAGACGAGCATTGTGCGAAAGCTTGAGTCTCGCCTATAATTACGATGAAGTTTCGTAAATTTCGTTCGTTTCGTTCTGAGGGGAAGGTTAACAGGGTTCCCGTATCTGGGTGCTAGACTTCCTCAGATTCCTGTCGCAGTTCTAACACCGACATAGGAAGAGATCGCTGGCCGTTGAGGGCCAAAGAGGTGTAAGTACGCGAATCTCGCGGTGGAGGAGAGACGTTCTGGTGGTCACGGGTAGCCGTGACAACTTGAGCAACGACGTTCAACAACGTTCAAATTGAACAGACTTATTATCCTGTCATACTCGCATACCCAAATTTCTCGTGGCGTGAGCAAGCGCGCTCCAGCGGTATCGTATTCTGAGTCGCGCAAGGGAATGTATGCAGACACTTGCTTTGGGCCACCGGCAATTTCTTTCTTGGTACTTCATGCACTTGTTGAAAAGCAACCGACGTGCATTGGAACGACGCTCTCTCTCTCTTAGCACAAGCTCAGGGGTCGCCGACTCGTCCGGACCCAGGCCACCCGCTCCCCGACCATCTTCATATTACAATCCTCTAGAATCTTTGCGGTACAGAGTCGTATTCTTGCTGGCTCAATATACTCAATTGCTCTCAGACCTCGTTCAAGGCCTCCGAATCGGCATCTCTCTAGTATGAATAGTCAGGGCGGTTCATTAGGATCCTCATCCCAGAGGCAGACACATACATCAGCGCCTTCGAACTCGTCAACTTTGGAGTCGGTGCCAGTAGAGTGCCCTTACACCGAAGGCTCTGTACTCACGTTGGATATATCCCCGACCTCGGGAAGCCGGAAGCCTCTCAAAGTTGATGTTCGCTTGTTGCGCATGTTCCGTCCCTTCAGTTGCGGTATTGTCGCTCTCGCCGAGCTTTCATCGCCGATTCCCTCGACACTTGGCCTACCGAAACGGTTCATTGTCAAATTTATCGACCCTCGCTTCTCTCCAGCTCGGTCTCAAGACGAACTTCATCCTGAACGTTTTGGCTCGCCATGGACAATCCATTATCGTCAACTATTTCTCGACAAATTACGTGACTTTCGGCGCTATGGATGGCCAAACTACTGGCCCATCCTCGGAAACACTGTCCATCGCCCTGATGAGCACTTCTATGACGACCACGATGGCGACCGTCAGCTGAGCTGGTGGTCGGCTGAGATGGATCTCTGGCAGCTCCTGCGAGACAATTACACCAACGAGATCGCCTCATATAAGGCCTTGCGCCTTCTTCAAGGGCGCAGCATACCGTTTCTATACGGGACATGCATATACTATCCTCCCAGTGATGGGTATATGGAACCTCTGCTGGCCACTGTGCCTTGTATTCTTCTCGAATATGTTGGAGGAACGTCAATGAATCTCATCCAACTCATCGAGGACGGAAACTCACACTCTTCTGGACCACAATTCAACAAGGCTGATGCGCAGTTGGCCTCTCACCGACTAATCGACGTCTTCAGATCCATTCGGGACCTTGGAGTTACCAACTACGACATAGCACCGCGCAATATATTGTTTCGGAACATGAATCCCTTGGAGCCAGTCGTCATCGACTTCGGTGCAGCGGAAGTCAACGGTGGACATCGAAATAACCTTCGCGAGCTGCGTTTCCTGCTCGGAAACGAACTTCATTGGAACATTCCCTCTGAGTACCGCCAATTTGTCGAAAAACCCGATCCACTGACAGGCTATCGTTCTTGCAACATTTTTGTTGAACAAAAGCCTAGGGAAATCCAAGAAGCGCGCTTTGATTATATCCCAGAGCACATGCGGGAGCCAACCAGGACGATCTCTGGTCCGAATGGGACATATATATGGGAGCCGGCTCGATGGAAGCTCAAGCCAGGTGTCCGCACAAGGGATTGTGACGTAGACTGGGAAAGACCCACTAACTTCAAGCTACAATCAACAGGTAGATACAGGTAGAAAGATGATGATTCAAAGTACCTACTGCGAGTAGGTCAGATTTTGTTGTCTGAGAAAAAACGATTGTTGTCGCCCGCTGTATGTATGCGATGAGAAATTTGAAGGAACGTGATCGCAATAGTCATCGTCTGGAGGAAGTCACATGTTGCTTACTCTTCTGTAGAGCTGTTATAGCATTTGGAAGTACCTTATACATAGGTGTATACAAAGGTACGATGAAGTTTCGTTCTGCGGAGGAGGTAACAGCCTGAGGTTAAAATATAGGATCGCAGATTTGGGTGCTGTCACTGCTGGACTTGCGCAAAGTCGTGTCGCGACTCTATCACCGACATTGCAGGATATCGCCGGCCGTTGAAGACCAAAGACGCGTTGTACGCGAATCTTGCGTGAATGCTCGAATGAGGAACGCTGGTGGTGGTCACAAGTGACCGTGACAACCAACCTTGAACTTGAACCCAGTGTCAACACTGCTGGACAACTTTTGCTGGTAGATGTTCTGGCGACTCGCACTCGGGCGACAACGGGTTAGGGCTAGCAAGGAATGGCCCAGGCTCACACGCCCAACTTTTCTGAATCGCTGTGGTTTTGACTCCAAGCACTGCCCCGGGCCGCAGTCAAGTAGTCCCAGTAGTACCTACGGCGCGAACTCTCAAAGGACTCTCCCTTTTTACTGTTCGAGGCAGAGGCAAGTATGTGGGCCCTCGTGACTTTTCTCCGTTGACCCTTTCTTAGCCTTTCTAGGTATGTTCTGAGATTGCTTTGCTGGCTTGTGTATACTGAAGCTTTACGAGACAAAACTATCGATCTGTAGGGCTTCGTGTGATGGGCCTTGACGATCTCGGCGGCTACATCCCGAGAAGATTGCGGACCAAAACCAACTCTGCGCGTACCTTTTCTACGGCTCGTTCAAGTTCAATTGAATGCCCTTATACCGAAGGCGCCGTCTTGCCTTTGGAACTGTCCATTCCGACCGGCAATATCGACTTATACCGGGCTCGGGCTCGCTTAACTCGCATGTTTCATCCTTTTAGCTGCGGTATCGTGGCTCTGGCCGAACTTGTATCGTCGATTCCCCCCACGCTTGGCTTACCGAACCGGTTCATTGTCAAATTTATCGACCCTCGCTTCTCTCCAGCTCAGTCCCCCAACGAACTTGATCCTGAACGTCTCGGCTCGCCATGGACACTTCGGTATCGTCAACTCTTTCTGGACAAATTACATGACTTTCGCCGCCACGGATGGCCCAACTACTGGCCTATTCTCGGACACAGTGTTGATCGCCCCCGCGAGCACTTCTATGACGACTATGAGGACAACCGTGAGCTAAGCTGGTGGTCGGCTGAGATGGATCTTTGGCAGCTCCTGCGAGATAACTACACCAATGAGGTTGCCTCATATAATGCATTGCGTCGTCTTCAAGGGCGTAGCATTCCAATTCTATACGGGACAGGCGTTTACTATCCCCCTTCTGACGGATCCACAGACCCTCTGCTGGCCACTGTACCATGCATCCTTCTTGAATATGTTGAAGGAACGCCGATGCGTAGCATTCAACTCATTGAGGAGGATGGAAGCAAAATTAAAGGCCTCCCTGGACTGTGGATCACTAAAGCTGATGCGCAGCTGGCCTCTCACCGACTCATTGATGTCTTCAGATCTATTCGAGACCTTGGGGTCACCAATTACGATATAGCAACGCGCAACATTTTGTTTCGCAACAACAACCCGTCAGACCCCGTCATTATTGACTTTGGTGCAGCTGAGGTTGACGGTGGGCATTGGGACAACCTTCACGAGCTGCGCTTCCTCCTTGACAACGAGCTTCACTGGAACGTCTCCTCCGAGTATCGTCAATTCGTCGCAAAACCCGACCCATTGACGGGTTATTACCGATGCAACCTCAATGTTGAACGAAAGGCTCAAGAAATCCGAGAAGCGCGCTTTGATTATATTCCAGAGTATAAGCGAGAGCCAGTCAGGACAGTCTCTGCACCGAATGGTACGACATATATATGGGAGCCGGCTCGATGGAAGTTAAAGCCAGGTGTCCGCACACGCGATTGCGACGAGGATTGGAAACACCCTGCCAACTTCAAACTCCAATCAACTGGGAGATACAGGTAGAATAGCAATTTGTATTATGTAAGTAGTCAATTGATAGACACATGACTTCAAGGTGTTGAATTCACCAGATTGGAAACAAGAGTTAAAAAAGGTCAAGTGGATAGAAAAGAAATCTATAGGGAAAAATGTTTCCCAGATCATGATTCATAGCAAAAGAGGTTGCCTCTGTTAGCAGTAACGGAAAGGGTGTCAGACTGCGGGTCAGGCCATGCAAGGTCTCTCCTAAGAATGCGCGCCCGGAACAGAACAGATGGATTGTCGGGCCCGCAAGCAGAGTGAGTGGAGTAGATAGTCACTGAAAGGGCCTGTTAACTCAGTCCCTTGGTGTTTGTTGGTGGTTGAAGGTTCGAATCGGGTCGTGTCGGGCCCGATGAGTCGTTGACGCCTCCTTGCATGGAGAAAGGTAGTATTTCAGACGATCTAAGCAATGGAGTACATGGTACACTATCGCGCATTATATACGCGGGCCCGTAAAGGGGTGATCGGACACTGTAAGGGCAACCCTGGAGACTCTGATGAAAGCCTAGCAGGGGAGGATCCAAAGCGTGAATAAGAGCTATGGAAATACACGGAGGGACCGACCTAGCAGGCGAGGATCCAAAGAGAAGAAACTCTAAGGGTCTGCCTGCTAGAGCGCCAGAGCTATAGTGGTAATATATAGCCTAATGTAGCCCAGTGGCTACTGGGAATGCCATTGCCTAAATTGCCAGCTACTACTCACTGTTTACTGGGAGATTACTGTAGTATTTCAATCAATTAGTCCTGTCACGGTCACATTGACTTTTTTGGCCGAAAATTTTCTGCCTGTCACAGGTCACAGCAAGTTTCTTCGGTCCCAAACCGTCCCAAAATGGTAATTTCTGAAAAAATTTTGCGCCTACGGCGCGCAGAACTTCTATATAAGGCAGGAGGTCACACCAAATTCAGCCTTTGGCTGAATTGCACATTTCTGCCACATGTGTCACAGGTCACAGGCCCGCAGAATTGAATGAAATAGTACAGTAGGCTAATAAAATTTGGCTGGAGTTATATAGGTCACTATGCTTTAATGCTTTATGTTATTATTGTTAGGTTTATTTA